GCAAGATAAGATTGATCGCGAGAGAAAATGAGAACGAAAGCATGTTTTTCCGACGCAATTATTCCGGAGAAAGTCGAAAAAGGTGCGCGTGTGCGTCAATCCCGCGCAAATCACGAGGTGCATCATGCTGAAAAAATGTGAGATTTTCGAGGTGTTATGTCAGGGCGACTGTTATCTAGCCGCGATATCATCATCGGCAGTCTGTGTATTATCGTCCAATTTCCTCTCTCCTTCTCTCTCTCTATGCCCCCCCCTCGCGCGTTCTCTCTCTCTCTCTCTCTCTCTCTCTCTCTCTCTCTCTACATAGTAGTCTCGTGAGAAGCGAGAGGAGCACGGCTCTCGCGGCCATTGTCCCCGATCGGGTAGCATTCGAGATATAGGCAGGCAGGTAGGCAGGAAAATAGGCAACCAGGCAGGCAAGGCAGGTAAGCCGGCAGGTATGTGACTCGGGGGAAAAAGGAAACGATCGACCAGATGGAACCCGGGCGCACTCGTGCAAGGCGCGCGCGATTCGCAACAAGGAATAAAGAAAACTAGGCGCACCTGTTGCCGCACCGTTCTAATATGCTGCCGTGTGGCGCCGCTCTCCTCCTCCTCTTCTCTCGCTCGCTTATTCAGCGGCGCCGAATTTCAAAAAGAATGAAGAAACGTCGCGCGAGTGCGACTTAAATTAGCCACGAAATTAGCGCGATATAGAAAAACAGAACCTATTTTTGACGCACCGCGGTAAGACGGTGCGTTGTATTTGCGTTGTATCGCGACGTTTCGGTCTTGCGATTACGCGGCACGCCGTTGTTATCAGTAACACGACTTGCGGACTCCTCGCGCGGAAGTGGAAGCATGAAATTTTCGCACTTGCGTCTCTTTTGTCTTTTTCTGCTCTTCTTTTCGTTTCTCAATTCTCCGGGTTGCGTCGCATCGCGATGTTGAATCACTCGGGCGCGGGCACTCGCGGCGCGAAATTACGCGGAACGCGCAAGAGATGTCTCAATCGTGAAAGGGAAGAGACATCGCGACTACTTTTACGCAAGATCGAGTCACGCACGGCGTTGCTCGTGTCTCCTCTTCCGAGGACGCGAGTTTCAGTTGTAGCGAGGGAATCGAATTAGAACTCTGAGAATCTCCAAGAGATCGTTATCTGGGAGAAACTATAATATTTCCCGAGATAAGACTAATTTCCGTCTAATTTGCGAAATACGCTCACTAATTCGGCAGTTACGACGGTATATATATTCTCGGGGGTTTGATCAATGCGATAGAGCTGCAAGTAAACAAAAGGATTCAACGATATTCAACGCGCCAATTTCCACTCCTTATTTCAGCATGCTAAATGAATGCAATTCGCGACGCGCGCACTCGTCAGTTCGTTTCATTAGGTTTTCCGGTTATATGTTTAAATTGTGTTAGACGCTTTCTTTCTATCTTTCCACTTCCCAAAATACATTTCAGATTGACGAGTCGCGACGCGGGAGAGGTCCACGTGATCCACGAGCAAAAGCACGAAATTCGCAAAGCGCCAACCTCACTGGCGACATAACGTAATCGGGCGGTCGCACCGGGGCACGTTAGATGATAGAGGTAGCGGACGACCTTTCGAGGGCGCGATGCTCCGCCCCCGTCGGGTAATTCGAGAAACAATGGCAGCCAACGACATGCACCGGCATGACCGCGCAAACGTGCCGTGTATGATGCCGACCGGCTTCCGTGAGAGTAGAAGTGCCGCATTTTGCACAACGAATTCAGCGTCGCAAGCTCTTACAATGGGCATCGCATTCAACTCGTTGCGTTCGAGGACGATTATTGTTTCTACCGCGTGGAAACAATCGGAAGGGTCTTCCACGAGTGTCTGTGTAATCTGACGGACGTTCGGAAAGCCTCGATATTTCTTTCGGCATCTAATCTCGACCGTTTAGAAACGCATGTAATTGTAAAATTTAATATACCTGATTATTCCTGCGTATATTCTATTTGAACATAAAACATCGGTTATTTATTCGGCGAGATACCGTAATCGCTCGGAACAGCGCGTATTTTGAATCAATGTCGCGAGTTTTTACTTGGAGGTCGTAAACAGTTTTTTACAATCTTTTTCGATGATTCAGAATAAAGAAATTTATCTCGTGAGATTTCTTCAAAGTTTGAGGGAATAAAATTCCATTTTCTCCTAAATACTTTCTTCACTCGTTGCCTTCTTACTTTATCCTCATTTAATTTCTAGCTTATCAATTGTTTGTTCGAAGAAAAGTTTCCTCGATTCCGAGAACATCGGCAACGGACGAGTAATGTTAAAAGTGAAAAAGCGGCTCTACTGATAACGAAAAATAATCGGAGGTACACTCGAATATGATTATTTATGGGACTGGATAAAATATATAATGCGAAATACGTCTACAAAATATGAATAATAATATCGGAACATTACCTTGTGCACGAAATTAAAATATTTGCTTAGGACTGAGAGATTGTAGTCAATGATACGGAAACTCATGAATAAATAGGAGGTCTTTATTATCTATGAAGGTGAGCTTCTCGATAAAAGCGTGGTCGACTTGTTTCGCGCTTTTATCATGCGGCTTAGATACCGAGGTATTTCACATTTTAAAGCAAAGCAAAAAAAAATACAATTCGCAGAAAAGCGAATTCCAATAGCCATGGTGGTTTCCCGAGAGAGAAACGGGGAATTTTTTATTTACACGTGCGCGCATGCGTATATTTGCCTGATTTTCCATAAAAAGCGCGATCTTCAACCAAGAAACGAGAAAAGAACAAAATTCACAAGATCGAGGGAAAAACGCAAGAATGTCCGACACAATCTGTATTACTCAAGAACCGGAATCTCAGAATAAATATTATACACTGCTAATAATTTTTTATCAGAAATTACACACAACTTTTGTTTGGAGAGGCGTGTTGAAACTTAAGAAAAATATCGTGATAATTTATAGCGACAGATTAAGCGCCGGAATGGTTTCGCGCAACGTCGCGAGATACTCGAAGATACTCGAGCTTGAAGACGCTTGAAATCAAAAGCGCGATGGTCAATGACAAAGTTGTTGACAGTTAGCGATCAAAGCAATTTTGACGTTGAACGCCAATTTCGAAAATTCTAGCGTTGCTTCGTACTGTCCCGACAGACGCGCGACTGATTCGACCGCGTGATTTTTATCCGCTCTCTGTACGTCGCTCTGTTTACAATGTGATTCTCGGCTTGCATTCTGCAAGTTCCTTCTATGAGCTGCGACAGTTTCATAATAGAGAAATCATTCTTTCAAGCGTAAGATGACAAACACTTTCCGCTCGTTTCCTCGTCGCCGTCACAGGCATAATGAATCACTTTCTTGAATTGAACCGCAGAATACATTGACCGGAAGACTGCACCGCGTGGCCGTAAAGAATTCTCCGTTTTTGCATCGTCAAGTCGATATATTAATATAAAATTGAACAAAACGAAACTGAAAAGCTCGGTATCATTAAGTTCAATGATAATTATGCTTTCACTCGTCCAACGTTGTACAGAACGGCGAAGAACTGATAGCCTGAAAATTAAGCGAGGTATAAGCTCGCGTACGCGACCTGAGTCGTTAACTTTTTTGCCTTATTGTGATTCTTCGAAGAAAAATTAATTATTTATATCAGATCGCGACATTGCACCTGTTATCGCCATAAGTCGGTACCTTGGTCGTATGTCGCAACTCTCGAGAAATGATCACGCAGAATATTAACGCGCGTTACGTCGATGAGTTTTTTGTTTATATCATAATTTTTTTTATTTACATCCACGTCAGGACGAAGACGGGGCTAGAGTGCAAAGTTTTAAAAAACTCGCTAATCATGATACTTAAATCGTGCGCGTGTTCTCTTGCTCGTCCGTTACGGACACTTCTCGATCTCTCCGTGATATAAAAAACCGATGATGATTCCGTCGACGTCGACCCTGTCGTCTCCGCCATATTTCCGCCGTTTCGAGAAATTCAAAGCACCGGGCATCTCGATAGACAATTCGATTATCGCTAACGATTATGTCGTCGACTCCGATGACTTTAAAATCATTCCTAGGCATTCGCTAAGCTTTTACCATGGCGGCATTTTCCATGTTCCTGTCGGCGATATTCTCATCGACAGAGTCGAATTAGCATGTAAGTCCAAGGATTATGCTAAGCGAACTACAACTCGTGTGTATGAAGAACTTCCCATCGGTCTGGTGTGAAATATCATTTTTATTTTTATCACCGCTTCGCGGACAGGTGTTTTATTCGCGAGTCATTCGCGATTCGCGTCATAATTCACGCGGCGATTTAAGGACATTTAAGGACGACTGGAAATCTCCGGCCGACGCGACGTGTCGACGACAGAATTTGAATGATCCGCGCTCGGCGAAAATTTCGCCGTGAACGTTGCCGCGGCACACCTTCGCACACCGAACGCACCTATCTTCAGGCCTATTCGTTACAATTGCACTCTCTACACTCCGCTCTTTGCTCACGTCCCCCCGCGACGCGGTCCGATTTAAACGAATCGACACCGTTTCTGAACTTAAATATGCTCAGACATCGCGAGTAGAACGAACGGTGATCCTTCGATTTGGAAAATCACGGCTACATCGATCCGTGCGCGATCGATCTTTCGAGCCGGCGATCGTTTCCCTCGTGAAGGATTTTCCGGAGCGCGGCGTTTTCGGATCAAGAATCCAGCGATCCAGCGATCCAGCGCGATGCTCGATCGCTGCATTATCACGATTCACGAACGTTACAGCGAAAAGGTGAATCCTGAGTCGAGAATCAACTCATCCGTGGCGAACCACTTCCGCCTCTCCCTTCCCCTCCCTGTTCTTCACTAACTCGCGCTCTCTCGCTCTTTCTTTCTTTCTCTCTCTCTCTCTCTCTCTCTCTCTCTCTCTCTCTCTCTCTCTCTCTCTCTCTCTCTCTCTCTCTCTCTCTCTCTCTCTCTCGTTCACCTACACCTCTTCTCTTTTTCTCTCTCCTCTCTTTCTGCCTCCTTACCTTATTCTGCAGCACATCGATGAGTACATAGACGAGTAACGTGATCTCCTCCTCGTCGGAGCCCAGCGCGTTCCCCTGGAGGCCAGCGGTCGCCACATAAAGGACGACCAGGTGGGTCGACGAGCCTCCTCCTGCTGTTGCTGCTGCTACTGCTCCTCCTGTTCCTCCCGCCGTCCTCATTCCTGTCGTTTGCATCGTTCCCGTGTGAGCCAGGAGTGTCTTGATAGCGAACCTGCTTCGTCCCCTGCTAATGCGATTTCACACCTTGTGTACTGTGCGCGACGAACGTCTTCCACGAGCACGATGTTGCACTCTCACACTCGCGGTAACTAGTCTCGCCGCACTCGGCGTCGAAAATACATAAACGAACGAAGGTAGCAACTATCGACCGATTTTCGTGATGTGTCTATCTATCTATCTCCTCTCTCTCTCTCTCTCTTTCTCCAATTCCCTCGTTCGGCACTGCTTTATTCACCGATTATCCGCGAGTCGCGACATGCTTCCCATTGCTCACAGCGGTTTGAGGTTATGAATCGACTGTGATTTCCGACCGAGATAACCGACACCTTCGCGGACACGCGAACGGGCGCTCCGCGAAGACGGAGTCCGCGAACAGGATCGATTCCCGGTCTCGAGACTGGTCGCGTTCTCCCCGTTCGTCTCTCTCCCTCTTTCTCTCTCACTCTCTGTCTCCCCGTCTCTTTTTACTTGTCGGTTGGACGTTCGCTCACGGTCGGACGGAGCACCGTCGAACGTTGCAAGGTGTTTCGTGCAGCACTGGCCGTATGTCCCCCCGGCCGAGCGTCGCGAAGCGAACACGTCGTCGACGTTGCCTCACCTGGCGACTGCGCGTCGACGTTGCCCCTCTCCCGTTGGCTAGTCCTTGCTTGCACGGTGTCTTACGAGGGGATAAAGAGGAAGAAGCGGAGGGAAAGAGAGAGAGAGAGAGAGAGAGAGAGAGAGAGAGAGAGAGAGGACACAGGAGTGTGGAGGGGTACCGAGAGAGGAGGAGAGAAAGAGGGAGAGAGGGAGAGAGAGAGAGAGAGAGAGAGAGGGAAGGAAACGCGTTGCAGAGTAGTTCTTGCCTGGCAAATGGCAAAAACAAATTAATATCTAGCGGGATTTCGATCCGCGTTAATGACAAGTTGGTTGCGTATCGCGTTAGACAAGGATGTCAGGAACCAACATTAAAGGGTTAGGTAGTGCAGGTAATGGGAGAAAGAGATAGAAAGAAACAAAAAGAGATGGAAAAAGAGAAGGGGAGAGAGAGAGAGAGAGAGAGAGAGAGAGAGAGAGAGAGAGAGAAGGAGAAGGGAGTACTTGTTGTGCTATGCTGTGCAAGGATCTTGTCGAGCGAATAGCAAAAAAAGAAAGTAAAAAGGAAAAAGATAGTGAATATCGGGCAGGAGTTGAATTCCCGTCAATAACATGTTGGATAGAACGAGGAGATATTAAATATTCAGGAGTTACGTAGCACGAACGGAAGAGAGAGGGGAGAACGAAAAAGTATACCTGTTGCGCCGCCGTGAGGCTGTTCTTGCTAAGGAAACGGCAAAAACAAATCAGCGTATAACGATGGAATTTCAATTTACGCATAATGATAGTACGACCTGTTTGAAAATACACGAAGATATAAAAAGAAACGCTTATTGTGCGCTGCCGCAAAAAAGAATTGCACGGAGTGAAGATAGCAGCGAGCGCGGAGCGCTCAAGTCGGATGTGTGCGTGTATATGTGTTTCATATCGCGATACATCGATCTAATCGAAGAAAAAACGCTCGACTTGTTTTCTCAGGACGAACCTTGAACTGCCGGCGTATTATCGAAACCGCTGTATAACCCGCATGAACCGTTTGCCGTTTGCGAAAATGCAGCTCGAATTGGAATCGAGAGACTTGGCTGAGAAACTTGGGGAAAGGAGCATCGAGTATTTGCCTGCTTATACCTGCCTGAAGTGAGGAGATGGAAAATGGAGACAGGCCGAACGAGTAGGAGCGAAATAGTGTATGTGTGTGTGTGTGTGTGTGTGTGTATGTGTGTGAGAGAGAGAGGAGGAGAAGGAAAGAGACAAGAAGAGAGATAGAGAAAGGAAGAATGGCAGGAAGACGCGAGATATCGGCGAGAGATAAGCGCAAAACGTAACGTGAAGTACACGATGTACGATTTCATCACACACACACACACACACACACACATACACGCACTCACACACGGACAATGACACGACCGATATACCTGGGGCCGCGATCGTCAGTTGGGAGCGAGATGCGGCGAGAGTGACGGAAATCCCGGCCGAGCCAGATTAGAGCGGCGAAGGGAAAGGCAGGTCAAAGTGGAGGGTCTGCGCCAGGTGCGCAGACCCTCCACCACTCGCATCGCTCCCGGTTGAGGCCGCTTGTCGGTGCCATTGCGTTTACCTGGAGGGATCCGGAGCAGCTCGGAAGAGCCTGTGTAAGAGGTACATCGCACCGTTGCCGAGCCTCGACACCGACACATTCGTCGCCAATGCACATGGCGGGCTCCGCCGAATACGCGCGCTCAATGGAACATGCGCGCGCGAGAAGTATTCTCTACGTCTCGACGCCGTCTATCGTCGCTACGCGCGGATGATACGCGAGCGCCGCTCACGATGGCGCCGTCGTGCTCCTCCCTCCGCCGATATCCGTCGGAACGCACGACGGTAACGCGGAAGAAGCTAGCTGCATTTGGAGAACACGAGCGATCGGCTTTTGAGGGACGGCTGTCATTGGTAGGTCCGAAAGTAAGCACCAATCGTAGATAGGTAATTCCTACGGAACGGCGTGGTATTTTCCGAACGCAATCGTTGCTTCCTTCGGCGAGAGAGCGAGAGAGCGAAAGAGCGAGCGCCGCGGAAATCGCCGATTCGACGTTGAGCGGTCCGATGAACGGTGAAAATGGCGCGCGACCGCTCTCCAAGTGCTATAGTGTGCACGTATCGGCGACACGTGCAACGTAGCAACGATGTCGATGTCCTCGATACCGTCGCGCCGGCTCCCTTCGCGTAATCGCGATCACGCGGCCTTGCCGCACGGACGGGCGGTTCCGTTCGACGTCCGTTCTTGTTGTCGCTTTTCTCTCGGGCGGAGTGTTCGCTGCTCGAGACGCGCGCCGCTGGCCGCAGCGCGGCGCGGAAGGGTGGCGCTCACACGTGCCGCACTCGAGCCGTGTGTCGGAGAACGCTGGACGCTCGACGGGAAATATCTCACGGACGTAATCATCGTCGGCAGCGGAGCAGAGAGGGAGAGGACGAGGAAGCGTCGCGCGGAAATGACGAATTGATACTTTCCATCGCGCTCGGACGAAGTAGACGTGCTCGCGAGGGAACGCGAGGGTACTGTGTCGAAAACGTCGTCGTAATTATGGGAGAAAGTGCGGAAAATGTCGACGAAAGCGGCGCAACACGATGATATATCGCAGCGCAAATCGCGTAAATTGATTCCGTTCGGTTCCTCTTGTCGATTTTTGCGCGCGTCGGATCGCCGATTGTAACGCCGCACTTGCCACTCGTCGCGAGTGCTGGGAGCGAGAAGGAGAGGGAAGGAGAGAAAGAGACGGACGAGACGCGAATATAGCTGCTCTCAGGCAGCAGATTCGGGTAGGATACGCGGAATATCTGCCGCGGGAGCAGAGCGCTTAGTTGTAGGTAAGATCAACGGGTGTCGCGCCGACGCAGCGTCCGGATTGGCCGGCCACCTGTTGCCTGCCGGCCGCGATTGGTCAGAAGCGGCGGCGCGCATCAGCCGCCCAGGGGAAGGAAGGCGCACGCAAGTGCATCTCGTCGTTCTCTCGCGCCGGCGCGCTCACGGCTCCACGATGATGAACCGGGCTCCGCGATGACGGCCGGGAACTGTTACGTCGCCGGAGAAGCGTCTTCGCGCGAAATATTAGCCGTGTCGCCGCGAGAGAGGGAATCGAGCGGGCGAGAGTGCCGATCGATCGGCGAGAATAATCTCAGCGTGACTCCGCTCTTCAGGGTTGTGAAGACGCGCGGAAATGGCGGACTACGGAGATGACGCTTCGCGATGATAGGTATTACGTTGTAATATTGTTTATGAGCCGCGTTAAGTCTCGTAGAGCCGCGTGAACTCGTAAATAATACCGTTCATTTGGTGTAGCATAAGTCTGGAGCTCGCAAGGCCTTCGGAGAGAGACAAGAGAGAGAAAGAGAGAGAGGAGAAAATAGCGATTTACATGAGAAAGAGAGCGACGAAACATTTGCTTCGGGATGTCCTTTTCGGGAATTTGACTCGACGAGATCACGCGCTCTTTCAATGCCGAGCGAATCGAGAAAGAGAAGAAGAGAGGACGTTTCGACGAACACACGCGAAACGTATCATTGGGACTCGTTGCTTTCAGGTGCGCTTTAGCATATTCCGAAGGAACGCGAACGGAGGCATGTAATGGTAGTTAAGCGCGTTAAAACCTCCGAGAGCAAAGTCTGCCTGGATTCCGGTATATTCCGTTGAGGAAAGCCGGTTTACGATATCGGACTCTGTACCATCTATATCCATACTTCGTTCGCTCGTCCTCGGTATGGATATATATCGCATTATTGCGACTTAGCTTTACCGCTTGAAATTCCTCCCCCCTCGCCCCGTGTTCGTCGTGTTTTAACGGATCCTACCACCGACCGTCAATTAACGCTGCTATTCTTTTTTTCCTCTTCCCGCGGCAACAGCGAACGGTCGATTCACACGGCAAAAACGAAAAGTCCCCGCGCGATGTCATCGCGGAATGCGCGACGAAGCTAATGAGCAATTTTACCGATAGAATTGAAGCTCGTCCTCCGGGGTTCTCTCAGCTTCCGGATGGGAAACCGCGCTCGGGAAACAATGTGGCCTGTGAATACTGATTGAATACACCGGCTCCGTCATGAATTTTTCTTCACGAAAGATTGTGAAAGATCGTGAGATCCTGAGGTTCGATTCGCTTAACTCGCTGTGATCAACGGTCCCCTTCTCTGTCTCTCCTTTTCTCTCTTCCTTTCCAGAGACAAGATCTAGCCTCAGGATAAATTCTTCTTGGTGAGAGATCGCGAGAGGATCCGAGGATCGATTTTTTAACGCTGATTAACTTCTTGGATATAACGATCCTTCTCTCTCTCTCTCTCTCTCTCTCTCTCTTTCTCTTTTGCTATCTTTCTAGAATCAAAATCCGAAGAAGAGGACCGTTAAGATGATGAAATTTTCATCGGCAACACCGCGCGAGGGCAGTCCACAATTAGACTCGAGGTTTGTCGAGGAGAGATTATCAAAGGGATTCCTCGCGATTCCGGCGACGAGGTCGATCCACTTTGGATTCTCTTGGCCGCGCGCCGCACGGTAAGAGGATAGAGAGCGGATTCACCGTTGCGAGGAACTTTCTCTCGAGCGGCTGTGCACGCTCATACACACGTGTCTGCCTATGTAACTTTCGAAACGCCGCGACAGGTCTTTCGCGGACCCCCGGTATGTTATTTCGAAAGATCATCGGAAAGCGAATCCGAATTAACCCTCACCGTGACATTAACTCGCGCACCTCGAGCAGTCGATGGTAATGTATGACAATTTATTAAAAGCGCACGCATCGTCGAAAGACGAAAGGTGGGCTACAATCCGCGACATCGTTAAATTCCCCGAGTCGAGTTTTAAGTATCGCTGGATAATTCTCACGTAGATCATTGAATCGCTCAGTCGCGCGTCCTTGGTCCTTGCAGGTACGCCGTAACAGTTGGATCCTAATAACCGCACCGCGAGGGTGGCGATTCACGAGGAGGAAGTCCAAGGAGTCGGCTCGCGCACGCAAAGCGCGGTTTCACGGATATCGCGCGCGTTCGAGCGAGTAGCAACGCGGCGCCGCGCAAGGAAGCGGCTCTCGATGAAGACGGAAGAGAGAAGAGGTGTGCGATCAGGTGAGAGCGAGCGAAGGAGCGAAGAGGAGATCGAGAGAGAGAAAAGGAGAGAGAAGAGCAGAGGAGAGTGCGAGCGAGCGAGCGAGCACATTGTGGTCGCTGACCCGCCCGGAACGTTGACTCCATGTAGTCAGTCCCCCCTTTATATTTTCTTCCATTCTCCGTTTACCGGCCGTCTTCTTGCTGCATAGCGTATACCTTCGATTACGGAGTTACCGTCGAGTTAACTTACTTTATCACGACTCGCCGCGCATCACGTTTCGTCTGCTCGCATTGCGTTGCTGGTGCACGATTGTCCATATCCTGGTGTTTCTGAAAATCCGCATCCCGATGTGCAGCCGTCCCATGCCGCCCCGTCGCCTCATCCTTATTTCCCCTGATTTTTCGTACTGCTCTATTTACTCTCCGCTTTCGTATCTCTATGCTGTTCGACGCTTGCACTCTCTCGCTCTTACCTCATTTCTTATTCTTACTCAGCAAAAAGGATACCGAAAAGTTCTCGCAGGAATGTAAAACATGTGACACTAGGCGGTTGTTTTTCCTTTTTCCAGCTGAACCAGTACCTCAGCACGCACAGATTCTTCGGCTCTTTCATCTTCAGCAATATATTACACACTTTTCTCACCCTCTAAGAGCAAAAGATGCAACCTAATTCGGTGATGAAGAGTCGATTTATTATCAAATGCAACCTATAAGTTTATCTCAATTTTACCGAAAGTTTTCGGTTCGGTGTATAATCGAGATGTAAATGGAGCATCCTTGACATTTCAATATTTCAAGCACGCGTCCAAATGCGAAATACTTTTTTGGAGTTGTGCGTCATATTATTTCTTATATTAGCATTTAGAACTGTTGCATAATAGGTACTGCTATAAATCTATGTAAATATTGTTGAATTGTAAAATAGGAATAATTTCAAGGTTTTCAATAAATTCAGACGTTATTTATTTTGACATATTCATGATCGCGAAGAAATACGTCGACGGGATATGCTCCTTGATAATTTCGGCTGACAATTGCGTCCCGGTACATTAGGTTTCAAAACGGTTTTGGACGGTGAGAAAGAGAGAGAGACAGAGAGAGAGAGAGAGAGAACTTCTGGAAATTTCTCAAGAAAACGAATTTTCTCAGTGGACTATTCAAGAAATTTACCCAAGAAAAGGAAAGACACTCGAGCCATTTTGAAAAACCTAAGGTTTTTCTCTCGCTGAACAGATTGCGCCATCTGAAGCTAGTTCTCTCCTTTCCTCCTTCTCCTACTCAACTCCCAAAAGTGTACATCAGTTCAGCAATAAAAAAACAAACCTCCAGTATACGCGTCTCTAGTGCGGAGTTACGAGTACCGTTAGAATCGTTATCGTTCCCGCATCGGGTCTGGGATTCGAGTCCTACTTACTAACGGTACCCATTTATTTCAAGCGGGGAGGGCTGTACTCTCTTCCTGCCCCTTCCTCCGGGTCGTTTTTAGCGCGAGTGATCCTCCGCTTTTATTACTGCTTCGCCTAATCGTTATTAATGACCGAACGAGTCGGAGGTGCGGCTTTTTGTCATCGATAGCGAGAACGCCGGCATTCCTTCGATCATCACGTGGCGACGAGCTGACTTTCCTGAGAAATCGCAAGAAATCGCTGTTATCCTGACCGTGAAACAGGAGAAACAATTCGTGGAACGGGGAAAATTCTATCTTCTCTCTCGCAACAGAACTAATCTTAGCACGGTGAACGTAGAAATCGGAGGTCATCGAGAGATCTTTCAGAGAGAAATTGACATATATATATATATATATATATATCTCTTTATTGCAAAATTTCAATTTATTCGTTAAATACAGCTTCCATTATTACGTCCACGTAACGAAGCGTGTTCCTTCAACTGAAAGTAGCGTGTTTATACAACAATATATATCTCCCATAATTCGACTCTGGAAAGTGTGTGTGGAATACTTTGGCGATCAATTTATAAGAGCGCAAAAATTCCGTTATCTTACTCGCGACGTTATCGAACGTTATCACGTAGGTCGGTAACGTAGCGACCTTGTTGCTAACATAATTGTCGTCAAGCCAGGTCGACGGGTTCGCGAAAAATCGATCCGCTTCGTCGACGTAGTATCCGGAATTGCCCAGATTCGGCTCGCAAGTTAAAAATCTTACGGACGCGTTCACGTGCAGATGACTGTAGAGCGGCATGGCGTGGCACGGGGCCAGGATCAGCGTGTCTGTCGGCTGCGATGGGTCCGCGTGAGAGATTTCGTCCCGCAAGAGGCCCATCGCGTCCAACGTGCCACGCTGATGGATCAGGGAAAAGTAGAGACCGGGCACGACGTTGCTGCACACCAACAACGCCAAGATGCTCTTACGCGCGAATTCCGTGACTCTGATTTTCAGACGATATGTGCAAGCGGAGCTCGTGTAGATGAACATCGGCAGGAGCGGCAAGATGAATCGGAATTCCTTGTGGGACAGCAACGAGTAAACCGTCAACGTCCAGCCGATGACTAGGAGCATGACCGTTTCTCGCTGCAAATAAACGGAATATCTGAGTATCCGCCAGACGGCCAAGACGAACGGAGCGCAGTATAGCCCGAGCAGCACGGGCAAGCCGGCGAAGATGTACCACAACACGTGCTGTTTACCGTACACATCCCCGACGCCTCCGAGCACATTCGCTTGGAAAAATCTCCACGGGGTGATCACAAACGTTCCGTAACAAACGCTGTCTATTAGCACAGAAGTCGCGAGACAGGCGCAGCATATCATCACGTAGCGACCAAGTAACGCTACTTTCCTTTCTGTACTTGCAGAAATGTGGTATATGCACAACGGAAGCCAGATGACCGCAGCGGTGGGCCTCGCCATACTGAGGAAGCCCACGATCCACAGAAACTTCACACTTTGCACACGGCTGCCTTTCCACGGGAATATCGTTAAAGCTATAGTGGTGCAAGCAGTCTCTACGGTGTTTATGAGAGTTCTCGTGGCACAGTAATACCAGTACCAGTTCAGACACAAGACCAACAGCATCCACTTGCACTTAGTCCACTGGTAGAATCTGTAGTCCGCATAAGCGACGAGAACAGCTTGGAAGACTCGAGGCAACATCGTCAGGAGCCATATGAAGTCTAAAGAGAACACGGCGAGTACACGATAGAGGATCGATATCAAGAACGGATACGTATAACTGCGAATCATCGCCGCCCATTCCCAAGTGAGGTGGCCGTAGCCGAAGGCTGTACGATGAGCCACTTCCAGGGACTGCCAATATTCGTCTGGTACATGGGCGGTCTGCACGAGGACCACAGCAGTTAACCGCCATAGTATCAGACGAGATAACGTTCCGAGCTTTTTCGGCAGGAACATTTCTCAGGCTAATCCATGCGTCATTTTTTTTTTTATCGGAGACGTACCTTCTGATCAATCCAGCTATCTGTACTTAAAAAGCCGGTACTATATTACCGCTGCTGGATAAAGAAACTGAATGCATCCCTCGGACATGCAAATTCCTATGACGATATATATATATATATATTTTCCATGTTTTACAGAAATTATATATATATATATCACCGAGTATATAATCCAAATCCAAACCAAATCTCACGACAACCTCTAATCACTCACCAGCCAACAGTTCGTCGAAGACCAGTAAAGTTGGGTTAGGTTTAACCATAGACAGCGTGGAACAAAGAACAAACCACCAGACTTATGTTTTCCAGACAAAAGATGTCGCCAGCTGAAACTTTCAGATATCTCGACGTGACGCGACGTTCAACATTTTTTAGAACTCTCGAAAGTAACAAACACATACTCGTTTCTGCCGACATCGATTAAATTTTGATCTGAGTTCAAGTCTCCGTAATAAATAGAGTTTAAACGCAACTCAAGATTTTATCCACATTGGCAGAAACGGGCAGCAGAGAACGATTGACTGGATCGCCGTCTTTTGCAACGTTTGAATAAAAGCAAGATGGCCAATTGAGTGTACTTCCGTTCGCACAGTCGTTTCTCTCCCCCTTCAAATCAAGAAATGGTAGCCGGATCCAATCGACGCGTTGTTCCTGCGGAAGGACGGTGAATCGATTGGTCGTCAGGCACATCTCGCTTCTCGCGAGTCCGCTGGAAGCCATTGCGCTCTCCCACAAAGAACAGATTGATGCAACGCGCGTCACGTTCCGTTCGTGTGCAGTGCATCTTCGTAATTTTGTGCGCAAGAGCCGAACGGTCGAATCGATTGAGCGAGGTCTGGCGAGATCTATAGATAACGATATTCCTTGGGCGAACGGCGCGAAGTCGATAGCGTTGTTGCGAGCGAGCGAGCGCTGGTCGATAGCCGATTTCTGGCCATCGGTCTTTTCGACGCGAGAAATTGAACTTCGATATCTGCGGAATAATTCATCGACGGGGAGAGAGCACGAGGAGAGATAGATATATCGGCGCGAGTGCGGCACGCGGTAAATTTGTTGATTCCGTGAAAGGCGGCCGGCAGCAGACAATAGTGATCAATTGATGCACGATGCGCCTCGGCGCAGCATTGTGCTTGAAATTATGCAACGAAAGGCCACCATTTTGACGAGATACTGACGATATTATGTGAGGTATTTTCGCACGCCGTACTGGCGTTAAATGGGTGCTGCATTGAAACGGGTTTACTGAGAGAAAAGGAAACAACAGACACGTTGATGCCGAAGTGCTGAGCTCGCTTGATATGGAGAGTAACAAGCAATCGTCGGCTTCAAACAGCTCAACGAAAGCGAACGTACTTGAGGACAGCAAGGATGTGCAAATGGTATTGGCGAAAATGATGGAAGAGAAGCATACATTCACCTATAAGAAACTGGTCGTGCCGATGTCAATGAGGAGTATTTATTGGAAATTCTTTGGGTTTCCAGCCACCGACGACGGCGACATCCTCACCAAAGTGAAGATTGTTTGTATACTGTGCAAGACGCAGATCGCCTATAACCGTAACACTAGCAATCTGCGCATGCATCTGCAAAACAAGCATGCCCAGGAGTTGTTAGAACTGGAGCTATCCAATCCACCACGTAAGCAAGGGCAGGTTGTCCCTCAAGAGACCAAGGAGCGCAGGATGCAGAAAAGACTGCTGAAAGGTCTCAGTCCAGCACAACATATTTATACCACAAATGTGGATGGCACTGTTCAAATAGATGGTGACATACAATTTGTTACGGATCCCAATATAAGCCTGTCGAATATTGAAGATGATATCACCATTGGTCAACCATTGAGAATGATGATCAAGGATGGATCCAGCAGCAACAATCAGAATGTGGCGTTTCTCATGTCGGAGGACAATGGAACAAGTCAATCCAGTATAGATGGTAAAACTGTGTCTGATGCTATAGCAGAATTTATCATAATGGACCTGCAATTGCCAGAAGTTGTGGAAGGACGTGGCTTCCAGAGATTAGTGGCTACTTTACGCTCACCCTGTGAGATTCCCAGTAAGAACAAACTGGAAGAGGAGATCATACCAAAGATATATGAGACTTTCCGCATCTCTGTGGTAGGAGTATTGTCAGATATCACCTCTGATGTAGGATTGACAATGGAAGAGTGGAAATCAAACTCAGATGAGAACTTTATTACTATGTCAATCTATTATCAGAACCCTGGTGAAGCAGCCTTAGAATGCAAAGTTCTAAGTACTATACATGCACCATTGGATTGGGACGAGTCTCAATGGGGTAACGCCATAGATATATTATTGTATGAATGGCAAATCAAAATTGAGAGAATTACAGCAGTGGTTGTCAGTACTTCAAGAATAGAATTACTTAATGCTTTAAGAAATCGTAATGTGACTATAGTCCCATGCTTGCTCTATTCTTTGCAAGTGTGTGCACAGGCTTGTTTTGAAGATTCCGAAGTAGCTCCAATATTATCTAAATGTCGAGCAGTTATTGGGACAATTCTAAGTCGTGCAGATGCATCAGCAACATTAACCATGCAAGAACAATTGACAGAGGTATCCTTGTATACAAAAAAATATATTTAATATATAATCTATTATATATATATATATATATATATATATATATATATATATATATATATATATAATAGAGTAGAAGTAATATTTCACAAGTGTTTTATTATTTGATTTTTTGTTAGCATCTGGAAGAAAACACAATGCTAATGGATTATCCTACTGTTTGGATGTCAACATACACAATGTTGGAACAAATGGTATTACGTCGCAACATAATTATGTCTCTTTTGGAAAATATGGATGGTATAGATCAGGAAATGGTTGATCTCACCAGTGAACAATGGAAAATCATGGAAGATCTTGTGAATGTTCTCGAACCATTCAAAGTTACTATTATGACACTAAGTGAGGAAAAAATGCCTCTAATATCGTTATTAAAACCGTTACTTTGGCAACTCGTATCGTCGCATCTCAAAGTGAAAGAATCGGACAATGATGTCGCTAAGACGTTCAAAGAATCTTTATCGAACATGTTGTGCGAGCGGTACTCTAATAACGACGTTTCATTGCTTCTACAAATCGCAACTACTTTGGACCCCAGGTAGATCTCGTCTTGTAGAAATCTCTTTGAATTTTCTATATTATTTTGATATATTAACAAAATTTTGTTTTCTGTCATGTGGAATATAGATTCAAACAATTACCATATGCCACGGATGATGATAAAAAGATGGTTGCTAATCCCATAAAGGAAATGCTAACCAAAGTGATTCAGCAAGAATCCGGGGAAAACAATTCTGGAAGGATTCAGAGTGAGACACCGATTAAAAGAAGTAGATCAGGTAGTCTTAAATTGCAATTATTATTACGACGTATCTCTAATGGCAATGTGATAATGAAACATACACTGTTACGCGAAATGAATGTTTCATTACAGGTATGGAGTTCTTACTTGGCGACTATTGTGTTAAAAAGAATATATTACCTGCAGACAAAAAGGCAGATTTGGAGATGGTCCAGTATCAATCGGAATCGACGGCTCCGCTCGACTATTGTCCCTTGCAATGGTGGGCCAAAGTTTCTGCAAAGTGTCCAAACCTAGGGAAGCTAGCGAGTAGATATCATTGCGTACCTGCTTGCTGTGCACCGCCTACACGAATACCGGCAGACGTGCAGATTCTGTACGATACAAGACGAGCCGCGATACCACCTCATCTAATCGACAAATTACTTTTCCTACACGGTAATCACACAGTGTGAACATTTTCTTACCTTTTCTTTGCAAAAAATGTTCGAAGGATTACTGTGTGTTTATGTTAAAATACAAAATATTTTCATAAAGAATGAAGAAAACTTTCATTACAATTTAAAAAAACCCGAATAATATGCACGAAAGGGAACTCCCTGTGTATAGATGTATATTCTAGGAATTATGCATGTCGCGTATGTGTGTGTATATGTATGTATGTGTGTATGTATATTTCTTACATATAGGAAACTTAAATTGTATGTTTCTGACCGTATGTATTTCGTTGATTAAAATTACAAATTTGATACTGATGCTAAATGTGAATGATAAAAGGATATAAAGAAAAGAATTTAGAGTTGTACATTAGCATTACTTTAATAAAAGTATGATTGTTCCGTTTTATCAAAACTTTAATATATTTTATTGTTTCAATATTTCTTGATCGTAAAATTACAAAAATATGTCATTAAATTGTATGTAAGACCAGAAAATATTGTTTCCTCGAAATTAGAAAATAATTTATTAAAACAATTGGAGATTTCTAAATGGTCAACTTTAATCACCTATTTTCTTTGATAATTAAAATTTTATGAATTCATGCAAAAAAGTTTAAAAAAACAATATTTTATAATATAATTTTACTGCTATAATATTGCACTAAACCAAAATTGATAAAGTAAAAACATTATATATTACGAATAATAGTAAAATAACATAATCACAGGCAAGTTAAATTAATCTTATTTTGTTTTTAATTGCATTGTAAATAATTATAAAAAAAAAGTAATTTACATGTTGTTGCAATATGTAAACAAAAATTTCGTAATATTTTTTGTTAGGCGACTTTACAATAATATCGTAACAATATTTTTTTTTTATAATTTCTTGACAATAGGTTTTCATTGCAATTGTACGAACAATTGTATCTAACGCGCACGCATATGTTTCTTATATCGTTATATTGTGAAATGGAATTTTAATTGGTATTAATCATGAGTATCACAAATTATTTTAGTAATTTTTGAAATTGTGTATTTAATGAAAACATATATATTTATATTTTATAACTTATAATAACTTTTATATTTTAAAATTCTATGTTAATACGTAAAAATATTACAGACACGCAACAGCAGATTGTAAATTGTAAATTTTGCATCACGATTACATTTTAACGCGAAAAAAATGGCATACAAAAGTCCTACCATATAGTTATGCGTATGTAACACTTATATATTAAGAACTAAAAGTCTCGATTACTAAGTGTATTTGCTTTTTTTATGGTTACACTCGATTTACATTAGTTAAGAAGATTAGAGAATAAAAAGCAGAGACTATTGAGTCAATCGTCATACCTAATACTATTGACAGTGACTACATATAAAGTAAAAGATATTTATATTTTAAAAGAGTCAAATGATATGTCACACATATAATGCGTGACAATAGAATCTCTAAATGTATACAAACATGAATCACTGTGAAACTTTTTTGATATTATCTGTTAGGATGTTGCGCGCAAATAATTAGGGTAGAACTCTTTCTTATTCCTGTTTATGTTGAATTTTGTTTTCACAAAAAATGTTTATACTTTATCATTTTGCCATTTAGTCTTAATTATTAAATATCTATTAATATGATACAATTTATATCATGCAATTAATAATCACAAAATTATTTGCAATAGATACACAATTGAGAATACATACACCTTTCAAGCTAAAAAATATATAGGTAATAAAACTTTGTAATAAAATTTTTTCTACATAATGTATATTACCTGTATACATATTACATATTATATGTATACATATATGTATGTATATGTAGATATATATATATATATAATATATGCATATATGTAAATATTATAAATATAAAATATTTATGTATCTAAATTTAGAAATCAGTCTATTTTGATACATAATTTATAAACTATATAAATCTTATATATCTATGTGAGTTTAGAATAAACTTATAAATGTAAGTGCATTCTATATATAATCTAAATATGATAATTGCAATTGCATTTTTTGCACATATATTATTCAATTTTATGTACATGTCATTATTCATGGGATACTCAACTGCTTTTGTAGCCAAGCAGAACCTCTATAAAATCTTGGATCACCGATTCTCAAGGAAGCTCTCTTATAAAAGTAATAATAAAGTACTGCAACTTTATAAATTTTAACGTTATAACATGCTTATTGGGAAGATATTATTTTCTAAAATGTTTAAAGTTATACCTGTCCTATGCATCGAATAAAGAGCGTGAAATCCTCTTGTCCAATAATGGTTTAATGGTGCTGACCAATGTAGAGTGATGTGCCATGTATGCAAACTAATAGACAGTACTATATATACAATACATAATATCAATGTCATACGGAATCTTGTATATAATAATTGTATTAATCCTGCCTGAAAGCAAATGATTTTATATATCAGTTAAATGTATTTGCTATATAAGACGAAAAAGAGAGAGAGAGAGAGAGAGAGAGAGAGAGAGAGAGAGAGAGAGAGAGAGAGATACAAGTTAATATACTTACCTGGAAAATATAAGTAGAAAAGAAATTTACCAAGAGAAGAGTCAGGTTTGTAATAAGACAAAAATCTTGAATCCTAAACAAGATATTATATCATATAATAATTAAGTAAAATATTCTACAATATGTGATATGTTATAAAAATATAATAAAACTTATTACATACACATAAAGTACCAGCAAATCTGTTGGATGTTGTCTGGAGAAACTTGCAAATGAATTTACACAAATATCAAAGAGCAATATAGCATGTTGTAATATAACAATTGTCGTATACTGTTTTATACTTAAAGTATTCATTTACTACCTGCAAAAGGTATCGTAGAATATAAAAGTTCAACATATGCATTTACAAGTTTTGTTGTATCGCTTGAATGTTGCAGAAATATAATTGGTTGCTATAGCAGCGTCTAGTGAGAAAATATAGGGACCTTTAAATTTCCTATTCTCAATAACAGCACTGTTAATTTTTAACGTGCTCTTACCTCAAACTGTTCGGAAAACTTTTCGCGCGAAGTGTTTGATAGTTGAGAGGTTAAAATCAACTGTCTTCTGTAACAATTTACTCTTATTTATTACTTTATAATACGTGCGAGCAAAGTTCGTTTATCAAGCTTAATCGAGAAAATGAAGTGCGTGACTCCTGAAATTTCATGGCACAATCGTGATCCGGTATTAAGCATCGACATACAAAACGGTTCGTACAAAAATAGGGAAGGACAAATATTTTGGAGAGTTGCAAGTGGAGGAGCAGATTATCATGTTTTGGTAATATAATCATAAATCATATATTTTTTAAAAGGAATTTTATTAAAAAGAAACACACCAAAATTAGATGCTTATTTTGTACGTCCTACTTTTGTTTCTTGATATATCGAAGTAGTAATAATATTGATAATAAATATTTTTTTCAATGTTCTTTCTAAAATAACTAATTCAATTTTAATCACTCAAAAGTAATTTACAAGTAATGCAATTTGAACATTTTAATGCAGATTTGGCATATGACAATAACAGAATACAGCGGCGTTACTATGAATTGCATGGCGGATTTGGAACGTCATCAGAAAGCAGTAAATGTGGTGAGGTTTTCCCCATCCAAAAAGATTTTAGCATCGGGAGATGATGGTTAGCAATTATTATATTTATATATTATCTGGTACACATTTTTTCTCTTATGTATAAGTATAGGGTAATATTGATTCTAATATTGTTTGCAGAATCTGTTATTATCTTGTGGAAATTAAAGGAAGGATGTGACAGTTCTTCAGATACTGAAAACAATGAACAATGGGCTTCCTGGAAAGTATTAAAAGGCCACCTTGAGGATATTTATGATATCAGCTGGGCACCAAACTCTAATTTTCTAATCTCTGGTTCTGTTGATAACACTGCTATACTGTGGGATGTTAAAAAAGGCCGTAATATAGCAATATTATCAGATCATAAAGGTTTTGTGCAAGGAGTATCTTGGGACCCTTGCAATCAATATGTGTGTACTATTAGTACAGACAGGTATGTGTTTCACTATGAATTGTACAAATGATAAATATTTTTTTAAACTTGATTCATCAATATATCATAACATTATTCACATTTTAAAAGTATCATAAAAAAATATACAAATATTTGTATAACAATACTGTTTCTAGACAGTGCCGTTTAATAGACATTGCTAAGAAGAAAGTCGTTCAACGCGTCCATAAATCGAAAATACCAACACCACCTGGTCACCCATTGGAAGGGAAGGTCGTTCGTTTGTTTTACGACGACACATTCAAGTCTTTTTTCCGTAGGCTAACTTTCACCATAGACGGATCGCTGATTATCGTTCCTTCTGGAATAATCGAGCCACAAGAGACTACAGGGAATATATCGAACGCAACAATCATTTTCTCTAGACATAATATAAAAGAGTCGGTGTCTCTCTCGCAATATTTGATTCCAATTTGCTTTGGAAGAAAATTAACGATAAAATTGTCCTTTTAGGCCGATAATGATCCTCCCTACTCAGAACGAAATTACTATAGCTGTAAGATGCTGTCCTGTGTACTTTGAGCTGCGAAAGGACGGACCAGATCCTACAATAATGTTGCCTTACAGGATGGTATTTGCCGTCGCGACACAGAATTCTGTGTTATTTTACGACACACAGCAAATTTGGCCGATCGGCATGGTATCGAATATTCATTATGGTAGACTGAATGACATTTCGTGGTACGTTATCTGAGATATCTGTTACGTTAATTGTTATTCGAATTAATTGGTCTCAACTTCTCGCTCGTCTTTCTTGTAGGTCCAGCGATGGGCGAATTTTGATTGTATCCTCGAGCGACGGCTACTGTTCGATAATACACTTCGACGAGAATGAATTGGGTCAGATTTATACGGCGAAGGAGCCTATAAATCTGCCGAAAGAAATACTCAAGAGCTCTGGCAAAAAATCGTCGAACGTCGCAGTTAAAGACAGCGTGAGCAAGAACAAAGTCACGACAATCGACGTGGATGAAAGTGCGGTGGACATCGATATCGTGAAGTATAATATAGTCGCGAAAACGAAAGTTTATCCTGAGAAGTCATCCGAAAAAGCATCAGACAAAATCGTGCAAAATCAGACTAAAACGACAAGGACAAGCAACGATCCACAGCAAGGAAGCAAATTGAACGAGGAGATCGCCGGAGAAGAGACGGAAGATATCAAGTTGGTGTATCACGAAGATAGTACCAGCGATGCGGCCAAGACGAAAGAGAAAGCCGCTTCTAAGAAGACCAATGTCGCGCCGATCAAGTGCAACAAAGCACCCAGAAGAGTGCAACTGATAACTCTGTCGAGTCCGCGGGAGCCCGCGCTCAAGAAACAATAGTTCATTGTAAAAAGCGGATAGAACTGTCTTAAGACTTTATTGTGCGGAAGGGGAGTTTTATCGTTTACAATTGTTTTTATAATTAAGAATATTGCCAGAAAGGGAACACGGATGTATAATTGTATACTCAAGATTATAGATCTATTCAAAGTTGTAAGTTTGTACACACGAGAAACATAGTATATTTTTTCTTCCATGCGTAAGGAGGATTACGAGGTCGGAAGGAAGCTACTTTTGTACCTTGAACCTTCTCATTTCCGGGAAACCTACCTATACAACGGACTTAACGGCCTGTGCACGCAGGTGTGCGATCGTCGTGCTATAGCAAGCATAAGATGATCGCGTCGCCTATGACTCCGGTACACAGATATCACGTGTATATAGTACGCTGCTACTATTAAATGGCGAAGCACAGTGATCAGACTATCCGCGAAGTCAGACAGTGATCGAGTCGTGGCACCGTCCGGCACGCTGCTCGCTAACTCGACTGAACGCAATTGTAAAAAATGGTGAGTACTCATTTTTTCAGTTTTTTAATTCGATATCGAGTATCTACAATTGTACATTCCTTCACGCGACAAGCGCCCGTATTTGAACTCGATCAAAGCTGTCTGCTTCTTTCATTCAAATTTATAACCGAATATTGTAGCATTTTTTAGAAAGAGAACCTTGTCTCCCGAATTCGTTTCGTCGAGGAACGAAGAAAAAATATTCAGTAACGCTAATAAGTCGTACAGCGACGCTCCATCGCCGTTTTATTATTTCATTGTTTTTACGTTGACGTTGGAATAGAGTCTTTTCTATACGCGCTGCATCGATCCGCTTACGAAAGGAAATAAAAAACATGTGCAGTAAAAATATGGATTTCTTCTTTTTAAGAAAACTCGAAATTTACATTTGCCGTAATCGTGACGACGAAGAGCGCGCTCATAAAAATTCTAGTAATAAGAATTGATCGTGCCTTTATATGACAACACTGTTCTTGGCGCATAGCACGTATCGTATACACGTCGCAAAGCAAACGTGTACCTGGCCTGGAAAATATCGTAGCATGCATCGCGTACTTTCGCGAATAAAATTCCTTCGTACGCGATTACAGCTTGCGAGGCACATTAAAAGTTCTCCCAAGTGCGCGAGCAAGGCGAAAGAACGTAGAGAAAATTCAAAACATAAAATTGAGTAAAATAGTCGAATGCAAAATATGCTCGGAGAAAGAATAATTATTCACGCGAAAATTCGATCTTTTTATTTATTTCTACTACAAATATATTTCCTTTTATGTGAGCTTTCTATTATCTATAATTCGAAGAAAATTCGCGATGGCTAAACGTTACCAATATTTATTTTTAATATTACGCGAACATTGAATTATAGAATGTCGATACACCTTACGAACGCGAATCGCGATCATTTGTCAAAATAAGTATAAATAAGCATGTAATGAATATGCAAGATGGCTAAATCAATATGAGCCACTTGTTGCGATTAACAATTTCGCAATTCAATAGCGAATGTGCTTATAAAAAAAAATCGCGAAATGCAAGGTACGTTTCTCTCGAGTGTCCGAGCGCTTGAATTAAAATATATAAGGCCGGTTGTTCTAACTTCTTGTTAACTGATAGTTAAATCATATATTTATCTTTGTTTTTCCTTAAATTTAGACAAAAACAGACATATGATTTAACTTAACTCAGTTAACTTATCAAGAGGTTGGAATAACCGGCTATCTTTTGAATACCTTCTTCTGCGGAAAAGCGAACATTTAAAATAATCAGTCGACTATCCAATCGCAGCGATATTTTCCAAACTCATGTCATACATTTGGCGATCCATATTCGGTCCAAATACCCGATCGGTATGTGTGTGTATATGTATGTGCTCGTTATAAATACAATTTCCTTTCTCTCTCACACGACAGAGATCATCTCTTCGGCGAATCGCGGAACCGTATCACATGCATGTGGCATACAGTTTGATGTTCGATTAAGCTGCTATGGTTACAGTGTGTCAACCTGTAAAAAATCGATTTTTACCGTCACATGCAAATATAGATAGACTGTATAATATCGCGAGAAGGAGAGAGGCGACACGTTGCCTACGGGCGTCTGCAAACCGGCGAAGTAGGCCGGCTATAAGCATATCGATATAGATGCGCGAACTTTTAGGACACGGTTGAATTATGAAAGAGAGACACGTCAGGTCAAGGTGGACACTCTTCCACCTTGACAGACGTTGTTGACGGATAAGCACTACTTTAGTCGACGGTGTCTCGGCCTCCAGTTAGTAATCACACCCTGTTGAACATACTTCCGTGCTCAGTCAATCTCGTTAGGCTGTGCTCGACAGATCTCACTCAAACTTAATCGAGTGTTCGGTTCTCCTGCGGTAACTCGTAACGTGCCTTCAATGTAGAGCGAGAGTACCGTTTGCCTTCCATTCTTGATCTTGATCTTTATTATCAGGTTCTCGCGAAGATTTTTATGAAAAGTTCAAAGTTCACATTTTTATAGCCAGGCATAGCTTTATCCTTTTGTTTCTCCCGGTGAATCTACCATCAAGGAGAACGGTCAGTAACATTATTAAACGCAGTTGTGTCTAGCTATAAAGATATCGACTTTGCATTCTTCGTAATAATCTCTACATAGTTATTGAACGACTAATAAATTTGCTTCCTGCCCATAGCAAGGAGTTCACATTGCTCGACACATTGCGAGCACATATAGCTCGACCCCAAATTTGAATAATGATCATTCGAGATGAACGTTCGTATAATCGCAATATGAATTGAGAAATCAAATTATTTGAAATATTTCAAATATTTCGAGACCGAGACTTTGTATTCAAATGATTTGAACATTTATAGCGCCGAAAAAATTAAATTAAATTAAATTTAAATTAAATTTCGTTATATGATATTAGAAATCTCCTAACTTCGCAAAAGATTCGTAATAGATTCTACCGATTCTCGTTAGGTCGTCTGTCTTTCAAAAAAATAGTTACTCCAAGGATATCTGCAAAGCATTTCGTCAGGAATATGAGAAATTTAATATGTTTCCACAGGAATCTGTAGTTATTGAACTTGCAATATAATGAAGTATTCAATTATGACGAATGCGTGTCTGATGCAAGGATACCGTTAATCAAATTAAATTTAATCAAAGTTAATTAAATATGAAATTGTCTTGATATTACTGCGTGTTCAAGTATCATTTTTATCCTCCATGAATGTGTACTGGGCTAATTATCGCGTGAACATTTAATCTTTCGTCTAATCATCCAACCCAAAGCAAAGTCTGCCTTGCAAAAATGGCAAAAAAGGTAACTCGCACAATAAATAACTCGCTCTTGCAATGAGATTTAAACTCGGTGCTCATTATTGAGCGATTTGCGCGCGTTGTGTACGTCTTTTACGAGTCCATAAATGCGGCAGACGTTGTCGTAAATTTTTTAACGGCACACGTTGCAATCATGACTAAACGTAGCGTGATATAGTAATGCGTGACAATACTCGTAATGGATTAATCTCGTTTTTAATGCGCGGCACATTATAAAAAGATTATTATTAGTGATACCAAGACTACGATTGCATTCCTTTGCATCAAGCAACAGTTACAAAGAAGCATCTAATTACATCAGCGTACTTGTTAATCTCACTATTTACTTCGGAAGAAAGTGGAAGAAAATTTGTGTCCTTTTTCGGACGGTCTTCCCTCGAAATCAAAGAGATGTCTGTGGAGTACCCGTTCATTCTCATTCGCAGCGGGAATGCATATCAATCCACATCGGGCAGGCGGGCGTGCAAATGGGAAACGCCTGCTGGGAGCTCTACTGTCTGGAGCACGGCATCCATCCTGACGGGCAAATGCCGAGCGACAGCAGCGTGGGCTACGGAGATGATTCCTTTAACGCCTTCTTCTCCGAGACCGGCTCGGGCAAGCACGTCCCGCGCGCGGTCCTGGTCGATTTGGAGCCGACGGTGGTAGGCAAGTGTCTCAAGCGATAGTTATCGATTACAGTCGTAATTCGTACATTCAAAACTCCATCGATTAGAGTGCTATAAAAGTACATAAAGTAAAATTATAGCGAATAAACGTTTGAATGTTTAAATAAACTTTGGATTAAAATTGAATTTTTCAGTTCACACAAAGCGTTATTTCGTAATACCAATAATTTACTTTTTACAAAATAAAAAAAAAATAAATATAATTGATCAAATTATTAAATTTATATTAAATTAAATTAAATTTAATATATTAAATTGTAATTAAATTTAATATATTAAATTGTATTGAATTTATATTAAATTTAATATAAATTTAATTTCAATTGTAATTTAAGTTTTAATTTAATATAAATTTAATTTAAATTGCGATTGTTTTACTAGCATAAAATAATATTTCAGACGAAGTTCGCGTAGGCACTTACAAACAACTGTTCCACCCGGAGCAAATGATCACCGGGAAAGAAGATGCGGCCAATAATTACGCCAGGGGCCATTACACAATAGGTATTTGAATTTTTCGATATTACTTTGCACGGAGAATTCGCGCCTTCCGGAACATTAGTCAATAACACAAATTAAAAAAAAAAGAAATATATATAATTTCGCAAAAAATGTACATAGTGTTAATTCGTCCGCGTGATTCACAGGGAAAGAGATCATAGACCTCACCTTGGACAGAATACGCAGGCTGACGGAGCAATGCAAGGGTTTGCAAGGCTTCCTGATCTTCCATTCGTTCGGTGGTGGCACAGGATCCGGATTCTCAAGTCTGCTCATGGAACAATTGTCTGCAGACTATCCTAAGAGGAGCAAACTGACTTTTAGCATTTATCCTGCACCCCAGGTCAAATCATTTCTCGTATATAAAAATACAATTATAAAAATTTGATATCTCGAAGAAACTCAAGTAACAGTGCAATCAGTCAGTGATTATGTCTAACGCGAATAATTCTATTCTTTCAAGCTACATAATTAATAATTGGTTACTAATTGGTTACTGAGTGTTTCCTTGATTTTTTTGTAGGTATCAACTGCAGTAGTGGAGCCCTACAATGCGATTTTGTACACTCACCCGACGCTAGAACACAGCGAGGTGGCTTTCATCGTAGATAACCAGGTGGATTAGTTTAAAATAAATTCCTTCTCAACGATAGCCGTGAATTGCATCTCTCAGGTTGCTTCTGAACTTCCGCGTTAAATATCTCCCATAATTAGAAAGACTATTCTTTCTCATATCTCTATGCCTGCAAAAGGCATATCTCTATGCCTTCAAGTTCTTCAAGCTTCCTGTTCAAGAGTGATCGATTGCGAAATGACAGCTATGACTTGTGCTGTCATTAAATGGATGTCATTACCTGAGAACCTGTCCCGCCAAACACTATATATATATATAAAACAAAGTTCATCACGGCTGTGTCTTTCGTTTATATCGCTACATCCTGGGCGATATAGCGACGTTTCGTGTCTAACTTTGTGTACACTTTATCCGTAGGCCATTTACGAGTTGTGTAGAAGGAACTTGAACATCGATCGGCCGACCTACACGAATCTAAATCGGTTGATTGGACAAATGGTTTCATCCATCACCGCCAGTTTACGATTCGATGGAGCTTTGAATGTCGACCTCACCGAATTCCAGACGAATCTCGTGCCTTATCCACGTATTCATTTCCCACTCGTAAGCGTGATACTTGCTCATTAATTTCATCGATCTTAATATAACACACGCATATAAAATTTTAAAAATATAATTCCTTCATCAATAAGTATTCGCTATGAATTAATTGGAATTGCTGTAAATTTGGTTAATATTCTATATTCCGACTAATTTGTATCGTCAAGAATTTGTATATTAATTAATTTTAATAAGGTTTAATCAATTAATTTTAATGTGTTACACATGCAGGCAACATATGCACCTGTCCTGTCGGCGGAGAAGGCCGGCCACGAGAGGGTGACAGTCTCAGAGATAACAAGCTCTTGTTTCGAGCCGAATCATCAGATGGTGAATTGCGATCCGCGCATGGGGAAATATATGGCGGTGTGTCTGTTGTACAGGGGCGACGTGGTGCCGAAGGATGTGAACGCGGCGATCGCGATGATAAAACGACAGAAGCACGTGCAGTTTGTCGAATGGTGTCCGACGGGATTCAAAGTAAGACTGAAGCGGTTCTAGATCCATCTTGATTCATTTATCATATTCAGAGATCCTATTTGATTAAAAATTTCACTATTAAATTATTATAATTATATCTGATTAAAAAAATTTCACTATTAAATTATTAATTATATCTGATTAAATTTTACTATTTCATTAAACCTTGAAATTTAATCGTTAGTCATTTTAAATATTACCGTCGGACATTCCAGAAAGTATACAATTTTTCGGATCTCAAGTTGATGTGCACTTATCTGCAGGTGGGAATAAACTATCAACCACCGACTGTGGTACCTGGTGGCGATCTCGCGCGAGTGGAAAGAGCAGTTTGCTGCCTTTGCAACACAACGGCGATCGTCGACGCATGGGCCCGACTCGATCATAAATTCGATCTCATGTACGCAAAACGAGCTTTTGTACACTGGTGAGAAATTTTGTCTGAAAATAACTTTCACTCGAAGAATTAAATGACCTTGTAACTTGATGATGAACGAGGAAAGATAAGTACACTGTGATATAAAACTCGCAGGTTTGTCGGGGAAGGTATGGAAGAAGGTGAATTCTCGGAAGCGAGGGAAGATTTAGCTGCCTTGGAGCTTGACTACCGTGAAGTGCAAGAAGATGCTGTCAACACTGAAGAAGAGGAGGAATATTGAATCTGCTGTTGTCATGTCAATTCGATATTCATGTATGTCTATGTCGTAATATGTTCTGAGAAATGCGAACTCCTTAGCTTACTTTACCTGTAATTGTCATATATATACTCGTATACATATACAGACGATTGTATCCATATAAATAAATCATTTATACATTCTATCAGTCATCTTACTGAAGTATCCATTTTAGAAATTAGAACATTCATACCACCGACGAGGTAATATAAAAACCGACAGTCCAATTTTCGTATCATCAGTATTATGATAAATAAAAATTAAAATCGGGCTGTTAAAATTTACAATATACGATTCAATTTTCCGTACCGGTTTGCATGTGAGGCATCTTTCTGACTAATAAATTACTTAAAAAATATTTAGTAATTTCTCTAGTACTAATGTTTCCTCCCTGTCTCACTAGTATTTAACCGGTATCCTCTTCATTGGTGAGGAAGGTTTCTGAATTGAGGTTATGTGGTATTATATCTTTATGACTATTTTTTAACTAAATACAAATTAATAATATTTGTATGTCGATACGTGACCTTAATGTGAATATATATGTTATCAGCTGGCAGTTATTAGTTTAATTTATCTTTTATTCAATTTTGCAGAAAATATAATATATCATATACATCAAGTGTGATATAATCATTCTGTATTAAATATTTACAAACATGTTACCCGTATATGTATCAAAGTAAGTATGCTCTCATAAGAATGTAGAGAATAAAATGTATAAATTAAACGTAACAAAATTTTACTTGATCTTGAAGAAATATAGTTTTTATTATATTTTAATTATACAATAATAAAGTACTTTATTATGCTTAATTTTGTATTCAACATGATATTTTGCAGATATAATATAAGACCGAACAAAGTGTTATTTCAATGGTTAAACACCAATGTGAGATTGTGTTCTTCATCAGACTCTTCATCAGATTCGGATTCTGATACTGAGAAAATAAAACAGAAGAAAACTTCTATTAAGAGCACAAAGCCTACATCAGATAACAAAACTAATTTAGGAAGCTTTTTAAATAATATGATACAAGTAAATTATAATCTTTTTATTATTTTAGTTATCTATCACATCCAGAATATTTTAATATTCCAGTTTACACAGAGTGAAAATAAATTATCTTTTTATTTTCAGGATAAAACACTTATAAAAGTAGCTAAGAACACTTCCACAATTTCTTCAACAAAAGTGGTTCAAGTAAAAATTCTTTTATGTCCTCTCAGTTATATTTTATTATATTTCAGGACAATAAAATATTTTGTTTTGTTTAGGAAGAGGAAAATACAAAAGCAGCCATTGGAAGTACTGATTTAACTGAATTTGTAAATAATATGTTAAAGGTAAAGTATTCTGAAATATAAGATGTTAGAATACCTAAAAGTGTAATATAAAAGCAACCAAATATTTCTCAAAGGAAATCCTAATTTAATGAATTTCATATTATTATACTCAGACAAGAAAGCTAGAGAAAACTATTGATGTTGCTATACAGCCTAGAAAAAGTAAACCAAAGAAAGTTAAACCCATGTCTTACGGTAATTCAATATATAATAATTAACTAAAACTATAAAGATTTAAATTTTGATACATTATTAAATTGTTTATTTTTATATTCCATGTAGAAAAAAAATTGGTAAGTGCAGCTGAAAGTGTAGCTGACAAACTTGGTGGAGATAAAGCAAAGACCATGATGGATTTACTTCAAAAAATTGTACCGAATAAAGATGAAGCAGAGAAAAAAGACAAACAATTAACAAAAAATACTGATAGCACTAAATCCGATGCAGACCTTATGAAATTCATGTATGTGGATAATTATGTATTTATCATAAAATACATTGCATGTAATTGTATTCATAAAAAACATATATGTGATGAAGAATTTTTGCATAACTTGCTAAATATTATATAATCTTGGAAACTTATTATTATATAATTTTTTTAATATTTAGTAATGATAGAAAAGCAAAGCAGTTTGCAAAATCCAAACAGCAGCTAGAATATGAGGGACAAAAAGATTCCACAAGCAAGAAACATTTAAAACAGAAATCTGTTATACAAGATCTTCTACAAGAATATAACAAACAAACAGAAGCTAGAAATATATCACAACAATTATTAAAACATGCTAAAACATCTGAGAATCAATTTGCTGAGAAGCAACAGAGTAATATGAAGCCTTTTACAAGGTATATTAGAAAATATATACATTATGAAATATATATATATATATATATTGTGTAATAAGTTGAAAAATATATCATTCCAGTCATTGGTAATTTACAATGTTCAAGATATTCTATTATCTTATTTTCATTCAATTTTTCTATGATAGACAAATTCTTCATATTTGGAATGGAGTGTCCAGTCAAGCTTTTAAACAGATGAATGATGTTTCACCAAATATGCCGGAATTAAAAACATGGGCTGCATTAGAGCAAAAAGAATTAAAAGCAATCACGACTTATTCACCTGCTAACATTTTCCAAGAAATGATTCTTTGGACAGAGCAAGGAAAATTATGGAATTTTCCAATTGACAATGAGCAAGGTTTCATTTCGTATAATATCCACTATTGCTTTACTTTTTCCAATATTCATAATACTTTATATAATTTACTATTTATGTTTTTATTTAAGGAATGGAAGAAGAACACAATATTCATTTTTCTGAGCATGTCTTCACAGAACGTCACTTGAAAGGATGGTGTCCTACTTCAGGTCCAATACGTCATTTTATGGAGTTAGTATGTGTCGGTCTTTCCAAAAATCCGTATATGACAGTACAAGAGAAAATCAATCATATTATGTGGTACAAAGATTACTTTAAATCTAAAGAAGCCCTATTGCAAGAATTAAGAGCGATTAAAGAACCATTTCCTGATGCACACATAATAAAACAAACTACACAGTAAGAGTAAAATGTAAAATAAAATAATTGTATAAAATATTTGAATGTTCCACAAATTTTGAATTTTAATATAAGATGTATATATTTTTTCCTATAGATCTTTATAGATATATTTAAGAATAGAATGAAAATATGTAAACAGGTTTAAAATACATTTTCAACATCTTTCATAGTAAATATTCATCAAAATATTTTAATATTTTTATTAAAATTATATATTAAATACATTGCTTATTAATAATATATTATTATTCAGATGACCATGGTTCTGCATAATCTTCAATTAGCAAGTTTCTGTCCCTGGATAATTTTATTTTCATGTTATTAGATCCAGGAGTTATCGATAAGATAACAATTCTATGTATAACAAGAAAATTATCTAAGTTTCGATGTAGGATCATGTCAACTTCATCCCCTGTATCTAGCTGTTATAACACACAAAGTTATAATATACATTTTATAGCATATTAGCAAAATATAAAATATAAAAAATTATATCTACTTGAAGATATGTTAGATGTTATATTAATTTTATTTTATAATTGTATAAACTTTGGATTTTACCTCTTTAGATTTTTTAAGTACTTTTTGTCCATTTAAACGAAGTTTACTTGCATAAAATGCTTCATCTATTTTACTAAAAATAAAGATAAAAATATATGATACAAAGTATCATCATAATATTGAGATTATGATATATATAAATATACATATAAAAATAATATTGCAATTATTAAGATCTTGATATTTATTATAAATGATGTTTGCTATGTTCCATACAATCTGATGTTAATTAAAATTAAACAAATCATACCTGCGTGATATACCAAATCCTACTTTGGAAATGGTATCTAATCGAAGAGATTGAATATTTATTGTGACTACTTTTGAACCAGCAGGTGCCTCTTCTTCTATAACACTCTCTTCATCATCAGAAAATCCTTCATCTTGTTGCATTTGTTTCATCTATATTTTTTAAAAGTAATACTAGTATTTATGTTAGAAATGAGAAATATATGAATATATTATATCAATTACTTGTTCTGCCTTCTTTTTCTTGCTGGACTTGAATCTTTTCGTTACATATAAGTTGCAATGGTCTTGTGCACAATGTTGCTTAGCATTGTTATTGTATGATAAATTGGATTGTAAGTAGTGAAGCATACGTATATTGCTAGTCAAAGATCTTCTAATAATATTAAATGTGACTTTGAATAACATGATTATGATATATTTTTAAGAGCCAAGTGAGTATTATTATATAACCTTATTTACGATCAAAGAAATTTAATTATTTCCACTCTATCCGCATTTTTTCAACAACGTAACACACATATTTTATACTGTATGATTTTGTACTTTAGGCAAAATCACATGAATTTTACGTTATATTAAATTTTTTATTTTTAATCTACTATTAAAATGATATAGTTTGCCGGACTCATTAGTGAACAGTATTATTCTCAAATAAAAAGGTCTGTCAATTCGTTGTATGTATAGTAAAACTTAAAAATACGAAACGGCTGACTAATGATAGAGTCGTGCTACTTGAAGATAAAAACTATTAGTCTGTTCTTTGTAGCTGCATTGTTGAACTGATGCAATAAGTTAAAGTGAGACAAATATAGGTTTTCTCACTCTAGCTTATTGCACCAGTTCAGCAGTGCAGCTACAAAGAACAGACCATATGTTCTGATACTCACTGCTAGTATTGAAGATCTATGGCTGCGTTCAGAAAACACAACGGTTACACAACGGTTGAATAATTCGTCAATGTTATTGGTCTGAATGTAAGGATCTAACAGTAAGGACCAATAGTTACTAAGCGCTCAGTGAGCGCTTTGTTTTCTGAACGCAACCAATGGCCGCGTTCAGTAGAACAAAGTGATCAGTGAGCGCTTAGCGATTATTATCTGTGATTGGAGCATTCTTTTAGATTCTACATAGACCCAGAAGTATTTACCAATCAGTAGCGAGAATCACTAAGCGCTCACTGATCACTTTGTTCTGCTGAACGCAGCTTATAGCTCATGTCACATATATTATAAAGTTTCAGTCTGGCAGTGAATATATAGGAACACAACCAAAATAAAACCTACAATACATGCGTATTTTGCTGTTGATTTATTTATTTATTTTAGTTATACTAAATTATTAACTTTATGCCTTTAAAATAAAATAAATATACAGGGTGTCCCATTTTAATGTTCCACCCCAAATAACTCTTCAGTATTGAAGTTTCAAGAAAAATGATCTGAATAAAAGTTGTAGGGATTTAAGTGAGCTACCTTGTGATGACCTTGACTTTGACCTTGACTTCTATTTTCAAAGTTATTTGAAGGTGAACTTGCGTTTTTTAAATAGGAACCCTTACTTTTATTACACTATATTTTTCTATTAGTTAATTTAAACAACTTGTCTAAGGAATAGACAATAGTACCTTGACTTTTATTAACTTACTAATTTTTGGAAATTTCAAAATCATCAAATTAACAAAAATCAGGGCACTATTGTAACAATATATTGTTGAGACTAAATAAAGCAAGAAAGTCTAGTACTACTTTTTCCCTCGACAAATAGTTAGCGAGATATCGTAAGTTAAATATTGAAAAAGTTATAAAGTTTTCCTCAAATATCTCAAAAAATATTAGACAAATAAAAAAATATTTTAGACAAAAGTTGTTCAAATTAACTAGTAGAAAAAAATAGTGCAATAAGAGATAAGGATTCCCGTTCAAAAAACGCAAGTTGACCTTCAAATAACCATGAAAATAGAAGTCAAGGTCAAAGTTAAGGTCATCATAAGGCAGCACACTTAAATCCTTATAACTTTTATTCAGATCATTTTTTTTGAAACTTCAATACTGAAGAGTTATTTGGAGTGGGACATTAAAATGGGACACCCTGTATAACCTGATAGTGAAAGAAAACAGAATCAAAAATGGTTTATAAATTAAAACTGGTTAAAGCTAAATCTACGTTAGGTACAGTAAACTTTAAACCGTAAGAAATCGACCAACCACAGACGAATATAAGAAAAATAATTAATTGTGATTGGTCAATTTCTTTTGATTTATTCATTATATGGTCTGTTCTTTTTAGCTGCACTGCGGAACTAGCGCAATAAGTTAGAATAAGAAAACTATATTTTTTCTCACTTTAGGCCTGTTTTTTATCGCTGAACCAGTGTACACTCAGGGAACATAAAAAGAAATAAATATCTAGGAGTTAGTGAAAAGGAAAGAAGAAGAGAATAAGTGCAAGTTAGTGCAGCCAGTTCAGCAATAGAAAACCAGAGAGGAACGTAAGAACGGCCAACATGGCGTTTTCAGCGACACCGACTTTCCGCACTGGGAAAGGGCGTCATCTACATCCATTTTCAGGCTTCGGCGGTAAAACCTGCATGTGGTGGTAGTCCGTGCTGCATCAACTTTCAGGTGGATTATGTCCGTGCTACAACCATAATAGTGTATTTGACAAGCACGGTCTCACACATTGTTACGCGTTTATAACACGAATTAATATGTTAACATAAGGTATCTGAAAACGGCCGACGCCATTCGAAAGAGCATTGTTTCTACCCGATTGTACCTCCTTTCAGATCGTCTGTACCTCAAAGGTGTCGGCCGTTTTCAAATATCTTGAAAATTGAAAAATTTATCCCATTATACATATCTCGGATATTAAAAATTCTGTACTTCCGAGCCCTTTGAGGTACAAACGATTTGAAAGGAGGTACAAACGGGTACAAACGATGCTCTTTCGAATGGCGTTGACCATTTTCAGATATCTTGCAAAATGGCGGAAGTACCTACGTCGCAAATTTTGAAAAGCCTGTACTTCCGAGGCCTTTGAGGTATATACGATTTGAAAGGAGGTACAAATGGGTACAAACGATGCTCTTTCGAATGGTGCAGGCCGTTTTCAGATATCTCGAAAATCGAAAAATGTATCGCATTATACTTATATCGGATATTAAACAATTTTGTACTTCCGAGCCTTTGAGGTACAAAAGATTTGAAAGGAGGTACAAACGAGTACAAACGATGCTCTTTCGAATGGCGTCGGCCGTTTTCAGATATCTTGAAAATTGAAAAATTTATCGCATTATACATATCCCGGTTATTAAACAATTCTGTACTGCCGAGCCCTTTGAGGTACAAACGATTGGTAGGAGGTACAAACGGGTACAAACGATGCTCTTTCGAATGGCGTTGGCCGTCGTCAGATATCTTGAAAAATGGCGGAAGTACCTACAGCGCGTATATTGAAAAGCCTGTACTTCCGAGCCCTTTGAGGTACAAACGATTTGAAAGGAGGTACAAACGGGTACAAACGATGCTCTTTTGAATGGCGCTGGCCGTTTCCAGATATCTTGAAAATTGAAAAATTTATCGAATTATACATATTCCGGATAATATACAATTCTGTATTTCCGAGCCCTTTGGGGTACATACGATTTGAAAGGAGGTACAAACGGGTACAAACGATGCTCTCTCGAATGGCGCCGGCCGTTTTCAAATATCTTGAAAAATGGCGGAAGTACGTGCAGCACGTATTTTGAAAAGCCTGTACTTCCGAGCCCTTTGAGGTACGAAAGATTTGAAAGGAGGTACAAACGGGTACAAACGATGCTCCTTCGAATGGCGTCGGCCGTTTTGAAATATCTCGAAAATTGATAAACTTATCGCATTATGCATATCCCGGATATTAAATAATTCTGTACTTCCGAGCCCTTTGAGTTGGAAGGAGGTACAAACAGGTACAAGCGATGCTCTTTCGAATGGCGTCGGCTGTATTCAGATATCTTGAAAATTGAAAAATTTATCGCATTATACATGTCCCGGATATTAAATAATTCTGTACTTCAGAACCCTTTGGGATACATGCGATTTGAAAGGCGGTACAAGCGGGATCAAACGATGCTCTTTCGAATGGCGCCGGTCGTTTTCAGATATCTTGAAAATTGAAAAATTTATCGCATTATACATATCCCGGATATTAAACAATTCTGTATTTCCGTGCTCTTACCGAACCTTCGATAGAGCCTCAACGCACGATCAAGCGCGAGTTATGACGATTCAGTTTCCGCGAAGGAACTAGTCGGAGGACGTTCGCAACCGCAGTGGAATTTTACGTTCGCGTTCGCAAGGGCCTAACATTCTACTCGCGAAGGGACGCCATCGCCCCTCTTTTCACAACGGTGCGGATGTTTAATTCGCGGATTTCCTTTCTTCTTTATTTTTTGCGACAACGATACCGCGACGAGGCCTTAACGAGGCAAGTTCGCTTACAACCAGCGTTTATGTCAAGAACGCTTCTCAGGAGAATTCCACTCGAGGGGTTAGTCCGCGATAAAAAGTTTCCAGCGACCGGAGGCCGCTGTGGTTTAAAGTTAAATTGCAGCAACAGCGTTGTTATCGAGCAGCCCTGAGACGGGCTACTGTTATCCGTCCGTGACGTCTGCCGCACGTCTTTGCGATTATCGGCAGATTCAGTTTTCTCGATTGTTCACGCGATTTCAAGTGGCCATAATATATGGCGATAATACATGTCAATATGTGGCAATAATATATAGCAACAATATACGGCAACAATATATGGCAACAATATATGGTAACAATATATGACAATAATATATGGCCATAATATATGGCAATAATTCATGGAATATATTTTTCGTTACAAAAGTCAATGCAAATTTGCGGCATGCACAATGTAATAATAAAAGTGCTCTCTGCGAGCATTGAGTCAAACGCTCACCGATGATGATGATGATCCGATATTGATGATCTCCCGTTGCATCCAACTAGATCCACCAATGTCCGCCCATGTCCGCGCTGCCGCTCTCCATGTCGCGCAGCATCCATCTTGCAGCGCGTCCCACGTTGCTTGCTACACTTTCGTCACACTTCCGCGATGCCGATACGTCGATACGCGGTATTTGAGCGGCGATATTTGCGTCACGATTAACGAACGTTTTACGTCGATATCGATGGAAACTTTTTACGCGCTGCGAAACGGACTCTATAAACTCGATCGGCGAGGAGCAAGAACCGTGTGAAAATTTATCGACTCGTCCAATGGATTTTTACGGCGCTTTTCGCGATCGCGCCTGAAAAGTCGCGAAAATGTGGGAGTATCGATATCTACGAATGAAATATTCGCGAATACACGAGGGAAGATTAGACAATCAGAAACCGGTCACCTCGAGGGAGCGCAAAGAGAGAGAGTAGGGCACAGTTTTCACGCATGATACTTGCGTCACGACGAAGCTTACGTTCGCGATACTTTGGCGAAATGAGAATTTAAGCTTTCTTTGTTAGCAACGCGGGAAAAACGCGTATATTGATAACCGCGGTCGCGATATTCAAACGCACACGAGCGAGGATACCTCAAGCTCGGCGTGCGCTGGCGCAATTTCTACGCAATTTCTGGCGCATTATACATTACTCGAGACAATAGGGATCGTGATGAATGGATAATATTGCCAAATAATTCTACAGCCTGTTTTGGAAATGAAAGAAAAGTAGTCAACAGTATCGGCATTTATACGTATGAATATTATATTTTACGGACAAATACGGACAATCGAATATTGTCAAATATTGTCGTTAAATAATTCTGCGGCCCGCTTGAAAAATGAAAATAAAGCAGCTGATGACCGTATCGCGTTTGTAGATATGAATATCTCTTATTCAGATCTGACTGAACATCAAAAGAGAATCATTCGGTATTTTAAATCTCGTATGTAATGCAAGCTATCGATCAAGTAATCCCCTGATTGTTTCGAGCAATGTATTTTATTCAACGTCACAAACATACACATGCAAGAATCTATTTGCAATTCGCATTGACTTGAACGATATTTATTAGTCCCACATCCGTCATGCAGAATTTTGTTTCTTTTTTCATTTTGACTCACCGAAACGACTTGCAGTCAGAGCCGGCCACGTTCCGCTTCAATTCTGTAACAAAAAATTCACATTCGCTCATCAGATCAGACCAACGAGTAAAAGAGTAGTTTACCCTCTACGATCGTAATTCTAGTCGAGCCGGAAATTATATCCCAGCTCTAGATCGCCAAGGGTCAACAGAGGACTATAGTAAACTTGTAAACTTACCTTCAAGCCGACTCTGCTTGGCCCGAACCGGATCCTCCGGTGCGGCATCCGCGTCCGTCGGATTGCTGTTGCTTTCCGCAACAACTGAAACAGAAAAATAATTTTCCTATTTGATAATCTGCGGTAGAGAAGGAATATCTTTCACCGAGACGAATCGAAAATATGGAAATATTTTGATATGGGATTTTTATCTTTATATTTTTGTTCCAACATTGAAAATTTAAATGAGACATGAAGCTTTCAAGAAAGCTGATGAAGAACAAGTTGCAAAGGCATTTGTTGCAAAGATTGTAAAGTTGCAAAGTTTATAAAGAGTTAAACACAGATGTGTAGTAAACTTTACCTTCCAGCCGATCCTGCACTGCCCGAACCGGATCCTCCGGTGCGGCATCCACGTCCGCCGGACTTGCTTCCCGCAACGTCTGGAAAAAAAATTTAGCGTTCTTAGTTGGTAGGCTGTGGTAGAGAAAGAATGTTTGTTCGGGATGAGTGGAGAATATTCGCTACGATTTTTTTTCTTCATTGACATTGAAAGTCTAGATAGGAGCTCTTGAAAGAGCTGACGAAAAAAATGACAACAAGAAGCGGAGACAACAGTTGTGTGCTCTCGAAAATATTCTTTTACGAATGGACATTTAAATTTAGATCCCGTAACGAGAGTAAACATACTTGAAAAACGCGCTGACCGAAAACAAGAAAGTTCGCAGTCTAAGAAGCGGTATGACGTTGAATATTCTACACAAGACCGGTATACTCATACAGTTGGAAATTATTCAGAGTGTTTGATTGAGAACATGATGAATTAGAGATCCGCGTTCATGGACCGTTATCTGTCTCTGTCTGGATCAATATTTTTTGTATACAACGCAATAAATAGATAAACAGACAGAGATTGACGAGAATAATTGCAGATTCATAAAGTCATGATTACTAGTCGGATGATGACAAATTGTGAATGCCGAGCGCAAAATTCCGACTTCTTATTCCCGGAAAATTCGTCAAACGTCCGCTCTCGTTATCGGAGACCTTCCGCATAATAAATGATTCCACATACCTGGAAACGTGACATATTGCTGCCGGCGTCCTGCTACCCGGCTGCTAGAGTCCTCCGGATTTCACTCACTCACGCTTCTAATGCCGATATTCGCGATTCGACTGTGCGGTTAATCAACGAGATGCCGATGCGATGCCGATTGAGTATCTCGAGGACCGACGAGATACATTTCTTTCGAGACGGAAGTGACGAGCGCGTCGCGCACGGCTGCTGTTGATAGAATGAGGTCGAATACACGAGGTGCGCGAGTATTATAATATGAAGGGCAAAAAGTGTCGTCGCTCGCGAGCCGATCAACACAATCGGCGCGATGTAAACATTGCGGGCCTCGGCGGCGGTTGAAGCAAGAGAGACTTGCGCGACCTTGAGCGTCTTTTCTTTTCTCGAAGGTCTCGAAGGTTCCGGGACGACGAGGGGAATACGAGGAGGCCTTTCAACTGTACGCGACATTGATTTACTATTTATTGATTACTGAAAATAAAGAAAATTATTCTGTCGAAGCATCGGATATTTGTTAACTTTATGTTAATTAAAGAGGAATGTGTACGATTAGAAAATGTGCTAGCAACTAATTGTACAGAGTGTCAAAGTTGTTGCGACGCCGTTTTCGGAGAATAATTAAAGGTCATGGTAGCGTTAAAAAGTGGAATTTCATCCCATGCGAATTTTGTCTCGTTCTTATTAAATGTTAGATTATCCGTTCCGGACAATAACTCTTCTACTTTTCATCTAATATTCAATAATGATAAATAACATTTAATTGCATTTGTTTGGCTTTTTTATTCCGAAAATAAAAAAAATATATACCAGGGTGAGATTTCACCCATGACAATATCAACGTGATTTTCTTTGATGCTTTTTTTAAAAGTTCAGATATTTCGTCGACTCGCGGGATATTTATAATCGGAGTCTCATATTAATTAACATGTGCTCCTCCGAGCGAATGGAATGCTCACCGAAGGCCACTGTCGGACATTCGCTTGTGGCACCGAGTGCCACGAGCGAATGTCCGGAGCGGACGGGATGCTGAATTGTGAAGCAGGACGAAGGGAACAGGACTCGGGCAACGATACATCATGCGTCTCCAGACGTGTCAAATCGTTTATTATACAGGAGACTTTAATACGGCAACATGATTCGAAGATTTAATATTTAATACGTACTTTTATTTTTCCTGGTCCTCGCCCCTCCCCCTCCCGCTCTTTTTAGACCTGCGGTCATAGTCTGGCATAGAGATGGCAACTGTGGTTGCAGTACGAACATAAATCGTCTGAAAGAAGATGTAGCATCGTAGTTCCCCTCTCAAAATGGATGCAGATGGCGTTCTTTCCCAGTGCGGAAAGTCGGTGTCGCAGAAAATGCCGAGTTGGCCGCTTTCAGGTTTCTCTCTCAAGTGTGAATGGCGTTGGAGCATTTATTGTCTGCTCAGAGCTATCTATGGAAGAAGAAGAAGGTTTCTCTCTGTAGAAAACGAACCTTTTAACTTATTGCACCAGTTCAATAGTGCAGCTAAAAAGAACAGACCAATAGACTAGCCTAAAGAAAAGCTGTGATTGGTCTACAGAGGGCTTCAAATTATTTGCAACGTTTAGTAGATCCATACCCCTTATATTCTTGCAACATGGTCGAGTCATCGGTCTCTACTCCGTTGGAAGTTTAGTGCGTCAGGGCTCCTCGTGTTATTTGGCTATATAATTTGTATCTTTCTCGCTCAAGAACATTGCATTAAAATACAATGCCAAAGAATAAAGGTCAGTAGAACCACCGTTTCAATTTTCTCGTTGAAATTGGACGATTGAATGATTGTTATGTTCTATATTCTGCAATGTGGTTAAAGTTGACCTAACCTTGTAATATCAAGCTTCGATATTGTGTCTTTTTTTTTTGTTTCATATTTGTAACGTTGTAACTAAGTTTTTTCTTTGCCGATACAAAGAAAGCTTTGCTAGTTAACGTGATCCTCGTCGAGCGTTACCGTAAAATATATTCTTTGTCCGTAGGAAAGGGAGGTAAAAACCGGAGAAGGGGAAAGAATGAAAATGAAACCGAAAAGAGAGAGCTGGTGTTCAAGGAAGATGGACAAGGTAAGAGTGTTAGTGCAGTGAATGTGACATGGTATACATAGTATTTAACGCTATTTTATTTAGAATACGCTCAAGTTACGAAGATGCTGGGTAACGGTAGACTCGAAGCTATGTGCTTTGATGGTGTCAAACGGTTATGCCACATCAGAGGAAAGCTGCGTAAGAAGGTATGGATAAATCAAGGTGACATCATACTAATCGGACTGAGGGATTATCAAGATGCTAAAGCAGATGTCATATTGAAATATACATCTGATGAAGCTCGTAACTTGAAAACTTATGGTGAATTTCCAGAAACTGGTAAGTAAAATTATATGAGCATTGTAACCAAAATTGTGAAATAGAGTTAACAAATTTTTTCCATAATACAATATATGAAAAATTTTATTACTATAGTGGATTACTAATGAAATTAACTGTTTTAGTCCGAATCAACGATACTGTTACTTTTGTGGAAGATGGACTTGATGAGGACATCGAATTTGGTGATGAAATCAGTAATGATGATGAAGATGATGTGGACAATGTAAGTTTATATATGTATATTTTTTGGAATTGCCTTTGTACATTAGTCCTGTACAATTAGCTATTATTCTTTAACTTCTTTAGATTTAACTTGTATAATTTTTTTCTATATTTGAATGCAATATAATATTAGCTGTTATCAACTATTAAAACTTCAATCAAATTAAACTAAACAATTTCCTGTCATCTTAATGATAAATATATTACTATGTTTGCAGATCTGATGACCTACAACATAATAATAATAAAATTACTATTATTATGAATAAAATTACATCACCATACAGAATGCATGAGGACAGTTATTCATTTCATGAAATGCAATTATACATCAAATTTTTCTCCTATCAAATAGCCTATATATATCTCCCTGTATTTATAAATAAATTATCAATTTATGGGTAACATTATGTTCTGTTTTAAAGTTGTAGTGGATTTTGATATTTGGAAATTTTGTGCAAACATGAATTATCCTCTGATAACAAAATATACAGAGATAATAATAGATTTATGGTATGAAAAATTTTATACTAATTTCAAATGGAATCAAGATGTGTTTAGATTGCAAAGTAATATATATAATAAAATTTACTAATTTATACAATATATATTTAAGTTCTTTGTGATTCATATATCCACTACAATCAATAAAAACGACATATGTGTACCATTGTTTAAACAACAAAATAGAAGTATCATCATATATACCATAGTAAATACTATTTTATATGTTTTAATGTCTCATTAAAATGTATGTCAAAACATATATGTATAATTAGATCTGTACTATTTGAGTGAGATTTTGGAAGTACTCAAATTTATAGAGGATTATTGTAAAAAGCCAATGCATGAATCATAGCTCCCAGTCGTTGTACATTTCTCTATCCTATTTTAGCATTGTTTCACTGGTAACTGATCTGCAGATTAAATCTTGTTAACGGCGATGTAGATTTCGCATTGCAATATACAACGTGAGGTCTTCAGGACGTGCATTTTGTTGTGTTTTAATGCAATAGCTCGGAGTGTCTTATCCATTGTACTAAAATTCAATCTCTGCGTGAGATGCATATGTGAACGTGTAGTAGATCTGTGCAAGTGCGGCTGTAATGACGAATGGAAAAGAGGAAAGAAGAAACCCAAATTACTCGATTGTATTTATATTAACAAAAAGTTCAAGGTATAAATACCGTTGTTTCGATCGATTGTGTGTAATTAATTAGGCGAGACGATAAGTTTGAACCGTGAACTTTGATTTTTTCTCACGATTAATAAAGAATTACGTATGTTTAACGAATTTTAGAAGTAAGATACTTACCATGCGCATCGTCCGTGTCCCTTTTCCTGTGAATCCACTCGAGATACTCCCTTTTTCGAAAGGACAATGTTATTTTGCTAACGTAATTATCATTCGTGCGTGATGTCATCGTCTTTATAGAGACGTTTCGACGCATTTATTTTGCTTTTTTCTAATGCTAATATTATATATTTATATTTACGTCTGGTCATCTTGTCTCAAGATTTAGGTCAAAATTTAGACATTACTTGAAACTCTTCTCACGCGAGATACTTAAATGCTTTGGTTGAACGTGATACACAGTTATCGAAGATAAGATGTAAGCGAGAGAATGAGACGGGCGCTTTTACTTATTCTTCCGACGCGTGTTTTCGCCCTTCCGTTGTAGAGAACATCGTGATTCTGATGCAACATTTTATTTATTATGCCGCTGATAGTTCTATCACACAGTATTATATAGTAAATTATAGTCTCTTTCGGTTTTTCTTTTTTTTTTGATATCTTGATGCCATGCAATGCCATTGTAATGATAATTTTAATGCTATTATAATATTAAGGAGGACACGTAATTATAGAATACAGAGGGAAATATGCTCTTGGCTGCTTTGAGACATGTCACGTTGTCCGCGAAAAAATCAGGTTGTACAAAAGTATGTGAGATATAAAGCGTCAACCGGACGATTGGCACGTCAATGTTTCGACGACGACGAGACGATGACGATGACGACGATGACGACGACGGTGAGAGCGGCGATGGTAGCGGCGACGTCGAGATGACATTACACACGCAGTTTCGATAGCGTGAATTTCGAAAATACGCCTCAGAGACGCCCGAGAAACGTTTAAAATAAGCAGGATGTCTTCCTGATGTCTCTAAGACGCCTTTTACATAGTTACGCTGTCTGGGAATATACATTTGCAATTACAATCAATACAGATATATGCAAATAGCACGAAACAATACTAAAGTGTATTGCTGTTGCACGTAGAATGTATGCACTTTTATCGTATTTTGTATGCTGCATCAACGGCCATGTCACATGTTCGCGATGTGATATAACATATAACAAGATACATATCGCGTAGAAAATATTCTCTTTTCTTAAGATCGCGACTTTAAGAGCACGAGCATCGTCGACGACAAGCATTGAGGTGGCAGCGCGTCGCGGCACATTCGTAATAATGAACTATCCACTAAATGTTATTACGACAATACATGGGAGCATATTATTTTATTTTGATGCGCGTGTGATTGTGCCTTTGGTCCTTAGGTCAGATAGGCTCTAGGCAAGTCTATTAAACGTAGTATAACAGTCATCATATAGATTATAATAATTTATAAACTTCAGATGCATAATCATCATATATATATCTTTCAATGTATTATACATTAATAGAATATCTTATTTAAACCTTTTTGTGTGTATATGTGTTTTCATATAATGTATACACATATATGTATATATATTGGACATACAATATATATATATTCCAATACGATATATATACACATATATATTATATGATTCCCCCCTCCCTCCTATCCCATCTGTTTTCTCTGTGCTCATTAAAATTGTGTCGTACACTGAAAGCTAACACCGCTTAGGATATATTGAGAACGAATTGTTAAAATTTCGAACAACTTAATCGTCGCATCGTCCGCGCGCGGTACATTCCGCTTATAAATCTCGGTCACTCACGCTCGCTTTCTCTCTCTTTCTCTCTCTATCCTACTTCACGTTGATTTACGTGGATGACAATACAACACCGACGACGTCGAAACTCACTCGATCTTAAACAAATTAACGAGTGTAACGAGTTCTTCCTTCCTTTTCTTTTTTTGTTCAGGGGGCTCGCTATATAAATAAAATATTCCTGTTAGAATCTTATAATTATTACAATTGTATCCATAGTACATTTATATAAGTTATACGCTAAGAACTTATTATATATACAATTAAAAACTGTTAGGAAATATCCTTCTTTAAACAATTTAAATTTACATTATATCCCGATGCATAAAAACATTGATCTCTCGCTGCTAATCGAATCAACGCGAATGGCTTGTTTCATATTTTTCCCTTCCTACCACCTTCCCCCTTTTTACTGTGCCGAAGATCGCGACTGAGTCGAGTAACAGCAAGAAACTTTCCCCATTCCCTTTCAGAAACTTCGTCAATTGTCCATCGTCGACATTGTGTTAATGAAATATATATTTATATATATATATATATATATATATATACACATACACATATATATATATTTATATATTCACATATATACATATATATATACATGTATGTATATATTGCCGATCTATTAAGCGATATATTGCGCGGATAGAGATATACAACCATCCTAAAGCTTAAACGGACTATTCTCGCGAGAATCTTAATAGTCTAAAACGATCGGTGATATTGGTGGATCGTTCGCTCGAGACGATTATCCTGCTGCGCTTCCGTCTTGTTCGCACGTTTTCTTACATTTTCCTATTCTCATTGCCTTTATCGTCTCGTCTTTCCACGTTCGCCTGTTTTTTCTTCCTCGTTTCCCCTCTCTCTCTCTCTTTCTCTCTCTCTCTCTCTCTCTCTCCCTCTTCCTCTCCTTATCCTTTCTCCTCTCTTCCAATTTGCATTTAGCTTCAAACAACACGAGAAAGGCGTTGTACATGGACGGGTTGGCATAGTGAGGACTAGCAGATTGGCTAGTCGGACTAGCAACGACAATACACAACATCATTATCATCACTATCAGCGTCATCATTATCCCCTCCTCCTCCTCCTCATCCTCCCCATCATCATCGTCCATCATTGACCGCGCGAGATTGAAGAACGCAAAGAGTATAAGGCAACTGAGCGGAACGGAAAGGCAAGCAAATCCGAAGCATAGGCCATGAGAGCGTGGTAGTTAAAAATCATTGTGCATGCTTGGTGTAGCCTCGGAGACGGGGACGTGGTCCGTCCTCGAAGAATCGCGTACTCGCGTGATTCAGGAGATACTGGACATCGAGTCGAGTCCTCGCGCCTCCGCAGCTCCCTACAGGTATGTGGAAATTGAGAACTCGTTGTCGTTCGACACTCGAGGACGCGTCGAACCTCACGAGGGTCGTCCTGAAGCGATGACGGTCTTCGACCGACGTTGCGGAATAATCCTGCGGCGTCGCCGAAACCACTCGGCGATCCCTCTTCCTCCTGCGTCTGTCTGTCTCTTTCTCTCATTCCCTCTTCCTGTTTCTCTCCTTTCGCGATTCCTCCTTGAAAAGTAGCTGGTCGTTCCCCGCCCTTAGTGGTCCTTCTTCTCCTCCGTCATGAACGTGTCCATGATTTTCTGCATAGATTCTCGCAGCTCGTCCGTGCCGCCGGCTGCCGCGGACGATATTGTTCTCGTCTCCGTTCGTGTGGTCGTCGTTATACTGTAAAAGACGATTCTCTTGAAATTATGTCTGTCTCGTTTTCTCATCTGTGGTGTATTGTTCCTTGCACATCGTACCGCCGTCTGAAGTCTTCAGGTGTGTACATGTGAAAGCTCTGAGAAAAATGAACGGGCGGCGGGTACTTTGGCTTTTGTATTTCGAGGATTTCTGTGCGACAGCGTACTTTGAACGGAATTTGCTCGATCGTCGTCGTAATATCGCACGTTGAGGTGTAAAAGTGGGGAAACACTACTATTCGATATACTTGCCTCTGTTGTTACGTTATAAACAAATAATCTGGGTCGGTCAAAAAGTTCGGTTCGAGTTTCAGCAAATTGTATCGCATGCATGCAATACAGACATCAATATTTAATGTATCATATAATAAATATATCATAAAATAATAATATTATTAAATAATATAATTATGGAGATAAAAAAAAAAATACAAAAAAATAAGGAGCAAAATAAATTTAATTTAATTATTTTTTTTATAACTCTCTAGTATATAAATATATATATATATAAAATTTTTATTATACAATATATCATCTATATATTCAAGGTATATATGGTAAAAACAACTTAAATTCTTTTCTTCCAAATATATCGAACTGAATCTTTTGACTGACTCAATACGTCGGAATTGTATATATACCTTTCCTGCGTGACAGGATCCACCTCGATCGTTGTCGTTTCCATGAAGGATGGCTCGCTATGTTGCAAAAAGTCAGATTCTGTATAACAAACGAAAATAAATCAAACACCTGTGTGGCCCTTCGCGTCACAGTGGATTTCGCTATCTTTGCTGCTGCTTTACATAGAGAACAAGTACGAATCGTATATATATATCTCTCAATTTTACATCATGCCCAAAACAAGGGGATAATACTAGACACATATAAAAAAAGTCACAACATCGTTCTAAACATTTGACGATACATAATATATATAATATATATATAATACGCATTTTCACTCAACCAGCCAAACTATATGCAACCACTTTCCTTACAATTCACGCGGCATCTCCCTTTTCCATTTTCCCCGTCTTTCTACTCTCGTTCTTTTCCTTTCGTTCTTTTTTTCTTCGTTCTTTCTCAACCTTCATGTGTGTGAGTCGCGGGCGGCAGATGTATGCCTCGCATGAGACTCCGACGTTCTTCCCTGTACAACCTTTTACTGCGTCTACGATACTCATTTTCTCATATACTGTGATGCTAATTACTTTAGTACGAGTGCTACAGCAAGCTGTAAATCATCAAACTCGGCCGAATTCCTATGCCTTCGATCACGTGTCGCGCGGCAACGCGACGACCACTCGGGTTTATACCGGTTATCCTGGGGAGAGGATCACGCGGTGCAAATCTGCAGGTTTACTCGCAACTTTCAACGACAAACCTCGTAACCGTTACGTTATCGTCTCACACAGCCATAATATAATATGCAATAAAGAAACTGTGCGTAACGACTGAATGTAACGATAACGACTCAATAATAACATTCGTTGGAAGTTATCAGGGAACTGATCATCTCAGTCTCTCCGTCCAGCGTGAACAGTGAACGCACTTCCACATGTTTTCAAGTTAGAAAATGTCGACTTTTCATGAGTCCACGCCGCAGCGAAAGATTCGCGATCGTCTCCCGAAATAAACCAACGATTCCTCACCAGTTGTCCGTCAATTCATCCCGGACACCCTGTATATTCCCATTAGACAAGATAACGAGCACCCGCGAGTGGACACCAACAGCAACATCACGTCAATGTTATAACTTCCTACTCAACAACGGAGAACAGTTATCTACAATATACGTTTCATCACGCTTACATTGTTGCGTGGGAAATGACAACAATGATACAATGCTGTCGTTTGTTGGCGTTCACTCGGCAGTTGTGCGTACTGCTTCTGAACCTAAATAGCGGAAGGTTCTGATAGATCCTCTTTTCATCATGAAAATTTTCTCCATATCTTTCTGGACGCAAAAGTAAAAACGAGAGCTCTCAGATTTTGCTGAACCCCGTTGCTGAACGACCTCGAGGTCGATCCCCGCAAGGTCTATCTAAGGCAGTATCGGTCTCTCGAAGGCACGGGGCGATCATTATCTTGTCGTTTGGACGTTCTTCAGCGATCGAAGCTACTTTTCATAGGAAGACGGCACCGGTCGTAACAGCGCTCTCGAGACATACGCTCTCGTGGTCCCGCGGTTAATTGGTTACGATCATGTTATTACTGAGCAGTATCGCTGTACATACTCCTCAGTACGATTGTGCTGAGCGCAGCGAGCTCGTGTGAAGCGCTGATAAAAAAGCCGCTGAACAAAGCGTTTTAGCAGTTAGTCGTAAGAGATATATATAAGTACTCAACGTCCTCGAGACAACGGAAGAAGTAACACTACGTGTACTAAACTCAAAGTGATATGTATCCGTTCGATTGCTCGGCTGGCTCGGATTGTCGAGACAGCTCGGACTCCAACACGTTCACACAACAAAGAGAAGACGTATGAATTTTGAACGGGGACATTCGAGGTGAGACACCGACGGCTCCTCGATGGGAACTGGCGTTCTCGAGTCGTTAAGAAAGAATTTCGCAGCGAGAAATCTGAAGATTCTTTATCCCGCAACATGCAGTCTGATGCACAAAGGATCGACGATATAGTGAATAATGAACAAGTGTGAATTCGTATCTCTCCTGGAGTGAACTCGTGTCTCACAAAGAAACATAGGGAACTCGGAAATTCAAAAAATTCTGAAACTTTGTGTGGAAATAAAGTAGTTCATCCGTAATGCAAAACTATTTTTTGTTCGTGCAGAATTCCAGTTTGAGGGGATGAAACCACCCTTCGGAAAAAAAAAATCATTTTCATTTTTAGCGTATATCTCTTAAAATATGAGGAATATGCAAAAATGGTTTATATGAACGTTGCAGTGTATTTCATACTCTTTGCAACTGTGTATTCAGATTTTGCAAAATTGAAATATTTTTGAAACCTCCTCCGCTCCCCTCCAATTTTGCAAATTCTGAATACACAGTTGCAAAGAGTATGAAATACACTGTACCTTTCATATAAACTATTTTTGTACGTACCTTGTATTTTAAAAGATATATACTAAAAAGATATGTACTAAAAAAGATATATGCTAAAAATGAACAGTTTTTTCTTCGAAGGGTGGTTTCACCTCCTCAGACTGGAATCCCGTATGAACGAAAAATTGTTTTGCGTTACGGATGAATTACTTTATTTCCACGCAGTTTCAGGACTGCTTGAATTTCCGGATTCCCTACCTTTCCTTGCCAGTGGACACCAAGCAGCATCACATTGTCACGATTTGCAACGTTATAATCTCCCGAGTGTGATGCATGTTCCATGTGGCAGCTGCGTCACTGATCGGGAAATTAAAACGACATGTTGGGGTCGCTTGGTGTCCACTGGGGAAGAAAGAGCGGAGGAGGTCCGGCCGATTCGGCGACTCTCGCGAAACGGAACTTTCGCGGAGGGACGTGAAGGTGTCCCTTCTCCACGTCGAAAAAGCCCCCGGTCTACCGTCTTGTTGGTTTTCACCGCAGTTCTGTAAACCGCTCCGTTGAGATTTTCACGACCACTTTGCACGAGGTCTGTACTAACTACATCCAGTTAGTATTGTTAGACGAACGGTCAGGTAGTGCTGCGTCGGGGTTGAGCTATTAATCGCGAGCTCAGTGTGTGACGTAGAGAAGGATGTTAATGCATCTCTCTCTCTGTGGGCCCGGGCGACGATGACACGAAGCAGTTGGATCCGTCGGCATCCTCGCTTCCGCGGCAAGCATCGACGGGGTTCTGTGGATCGCGTGAGAAAGCCCGTCTTGGCTGTCGAAACTTTCATTCGTTTCTTGGATGCGAGTCGCTAGAGGAACGATCGTAGATTCGAGGAGCGAGAGCGAGAAGCGGAACGGGGATTTCACGATCCGGCGAACTGTCGGGGTCCTCCGCTTCGATTTCCCACCCCCGAGACGCGAAAACCGAAGCGAGTTCGGTTCTCGACACTGCAGACGCCGGAAGCTGCGCTATCGATTGTAATCATCGATACGACCTCGTCGATTGCACGATACTGAGAGAAAAATATCGAGAATGTAGGAATATTTACCTCTCAATGCAAATTTTTTCCTTTATTTATTTCTTTTTATTTTATTAAGAACGAATGGCTTCTTTCGCGAAAAGCTATGGTTTTAAGAAGATGCATACTCCCTTCCGTTTAAAAAGAACTTTTTTTTTTAACAATATATTGAGATGTAAATACGTAATTTAGTATCTATCGAGCAAATATCTTTTTTTTTAAACATGCCTATGTTATTAATAATACAAATGTATCAGCATCGATCGTAGCAGCCGGACTCGCCGGAACCGCTTCCCCAGCTCTCGATTCTCTCTCGTCCACCCTCCGCGACGCATGCGACACAGTCTCGCGGGATCGAAGAACGGAAGATTCAAGAGAGACAGGGTTCGTTAAGAAGCTGCAAGAGTACAGGTCGATCGGTGCAACACACAACGCGCTCTTTGTCGCGGAAGAGCGCAAGAGAGACAGAGTTATTTGGTGCCGTTCGGGAAGTAGTCGTAATACTCATCCGTAAATATCGACCAGGTCCGGAGTAAGCCATTCTCGTAAGACTCGCGTGTGCTTACACGTTTATGAGATACGTACATATACATACATGTATAAAGATTACTTACATGACGATTCGCCTAACAATCCTAACGTGATTAAAAAAAAAAACACGATTGTTGGTCCCTCTACATTTTAGCTTTATCTTGAGTTGCTTGTTGTCAGAAGAGAGAGACAGAGAGACAGAGAGAAAGATAGAGCTAGAGGGTCAAAGGTCAACTATCGGGAGGTCCCAAAAACTAAAAAAGAAGAAGAAGAAGAGAGAGAAAGAGAGAGAAAGAGAGAGAGAGAGAGAGAGAGAGAGAGAAAGAGAGAGAGAGAGAAGAGTTCTGAAAGAAAAAAAAAAATAAAAGAGGGAGCCTGGGAGGAGAAACTAGGAGAGCTCGTTTCGATATGATGCGGAGGGTGTTTCGTGCAACTAGGACACGTCTTTCTCAAGAAAGTTGGTCGCAAGGAGGATCGTCGTGCCCTTCCCTGCGCGGAGAACAGCTGCGAAGAACGCAAACTTAAGTTCGGTAAGATGCAGAGATGCGGTCACATGCGGGGGTGTCATAAAAAAAAGAAGAAAAAAAAGAAAAGAAATATCTTCATGCAGCGCATACAAACTGGACGAGCTTCAGAAAAAAGAAAGCTTGCAGAACGAGCTAACCTCGCTCGCGTCTTCAGAATTACCTTTGCCGACAAGTCCATGTGACGGCGAATCACCGGCCGTGTCACGTGTGCATGACGTATTTTCAGTATCGAGAACATTTCTCTGTGTGCGTATATGTGTGTGTAATCAATGAAAAAAGATTGCAGCACTTTTACCTCGATAAATCTCGCAACACGCATCCAATAGAAAAAGAAGAATAAAAAAAAGAAGCAACTTTTCCTATTGGATACGTATACGTTTATGAAACTCATCAAAGAAGAAAAGATGTTGCGATCTTTTCTCCATTGTACGTGTGTGTGTGTGTGTGTGTGTGTGTGTATGTGAGATAGAAGGCATTTGAATCCGACAAGCGTCGCAACCGTCGCCTTGCCATTTCCGCGAAACTCGTGTCGGAATCGCTACCACCTGCGATCGACATCGATCCGCACGCTGCACTTTTCATGCGATTCGCTGACGAACAAACACCCACCCACAACGGCTTCGCAAATACCCACCCACACCGTGCAGAGACAGTCCAGACTCGGAGGTTGGAAGATCGATTGAAAATATCGCGAGAGCGACACTCTCGCGATTAATATCTCGTTCGCGGAGCGAACGAAGCACTGATGTCGTCCACGTCGATCGAAGATACCTGTCGGCCGAAAATCGCGCCTCCTCTTCAAAAGCGACACGTCTGGAAGACGACTGTATCTTTCTAACGAATGCATCATCGCGAATTACAGCATCGGGCGTCTTCATTCTCAACCGTAGCACTTCTTCCGGTAACGCCGGTAACGATCGTTCGAGTCGCGTCTGCTTTTGAAGACGAGGCGAGCTGTCACAAGTGAGAGACACCCGTCGGCGGTTCAGAAACTGCGTCCTGGAAAGCGTCTCTGCGACGCGACATCAGTTGCGCGCTTCATTCGATTGCTTTAACATTAACAAACAAGTACTCTCAGCAGAAGTAAATATATAATGTGAAAGGGTGTTCGTACCCGGCTTGCCTCGGGGCATTGTTAGACAGGGTGTGGATGACACGTTGGAACGTTTGTGGCTCCAGGGCAAGTATAAGCGCTACTAGAAGCGCCAACGCAGCGACGGCTATGCTCATCCAACACACGCAGCTGGCTCTACCAGGTGTCTTCGTCCTAGTCTTCGCTTCTATCGCACCGGCCGAGCGAACGGACCGTACTGTACCGTGCGTTTCTGCCACTTGTAAAGATCATCAGTTTGCCATGAATCAGCGATCAGTGTTTTTGGTCGATTGACAGATTGATTGACAGATTGATTGATTGATTGAACTGGAGATGATGTTCCACCGCCGTGAGATTAGTATGAGCAAGCCGAAAGTAGCGCAGGATAGTCGATACTCCGTCCCAAGGTTCAAGAGTCGAGACTGTCGGGATGATCTCGTCGCGTTGTGTACACGTCTCGCTATTTCTCTTTCGATCCGAGGCCGAGGAGCGAATGCGACACGGGGAGATGAGATCGATCGCGATTTGCAAGTCGCGACTCGCGCGGTTCCGACCGGACGATGCGACGTAACGGTCTGTTTTTTGCTTTTTTTTTTTCTTATGATGACGGCGAAGGGACCACCACCGTCGTAAGTTGTGTTAACGAAATACACCTCCGGTCCTTCCGTTTACTTTCTTTCGAAGCACTTTCGGACCTGGACGGTGTGACGGATGCGCGGTGACGATCGCACGTGACTGATCACGAGGTGAGTCTCGATGAGAGTATGCTAGTCCCAGAAGCCCCGAATCACAAAGGATTCCATACATCCATCCTGTAGCCAAGACCAACGACAAGGGAGGTAACGACGTTAATTCGCTGCGGAACAACGTTCTGGCCCCAAAAAGACAACGAGGTTTGCCCAGGACGAAGCAACACTTACAAGTCGAGAGACCAATGCATTAACATAACCGCATACGTCACAATCTTCTCCTCACAGTACGCCCGCGAATAGGAGCGCAGGAACCCTTCCGCGCGCGCTTTCGCGCGGACCTCCGCGCGATTAAAGTGCGAGCGCACCTCACAAGCTTTATTTTTCCTTCTCGTTCACCCTGCCCTTTTTGTACGCGCGACCTACCGCCGACACCATGCAAATACACACATACACACACATATATCTATATATATATAATACAGGCTTATTAACGGTCCTTATGCTAAAGACCACGGATCATGCGGCATTTCCCATGCAAACCATTCCCGTCATCGGTTGCTGCTGGAAGCACCCAAGGATTTCCAGCAGCAACGTTCGGAGAGGGTCCGAAGTCCTCGAGAAGTTTCGGCCACCAACTTCGAAACCGTCAACGTTCAACTTGTTTTATCAGCTGACTGTTGTCAGATACGTTAAAGCGAACTGGAACTCCGACTTTCGCGTCAGGTTGAATCGACCTTCAAGTGAATCAAACTCCCATTTTGATTTAAATTTAATAATTCCAAAGTTAAATTTAACAAATCTAAAAATTTGAACAAATCAAACGTAAAATTTCCAAAAGCTTTAAACTTGAAACCATCGAGACCGAAGAACGGTTCCGAAAACATAAATGTCACTTTTGTCGCACCCAGGCGGACGTGACCAGCGCGAGCACTCCGCACCCTCTCGCATTTCTAGTTCGATTTCCTCTCCAAAAACATGCTCGACATATCCCAATTCTAATACTAGCGTCCAGGACTCCAGAGCGATCAACCGCCCGACAAACTCGGTCACACCAACGAATGTCATCACAAGCCCCATCACCAGCCAGCAGGTCGAATTAATCAATCACTCCCCGAGCAAACATCCAAGTGGTGATGTGCTCTCGAGTCACTGTGCAGCTAGCAGAAGAGAGAAAGAGAGAGAGAGCTACGTCAAAGGGGAGAGTGCGTAAGGTGGAGAGGGTGGATGCGTGCGAGGGTAGGTCGGGGGAGGGTCAGGAGGGAAGTGTCCAACAACGAAAGCTCAACGTGTATCAACCCGTATGTACACAATATACACACATATGTATATCGCATTTGCCTTTCTCTCTTGTTTTGCGAGCCCGTTCATCTGTGGCGGCAACCAGTTAGCGGGCTAAGGGCGGGCGAGGGTTTTCTGGCAGGGCGGGGCGGGGCAGGGCGGGGAGGGGAGGGGCGGCAAAAGGGTAGGGGATATGTACATTGCTTACTTAGAAGGTTTAGCTGTGAGAGTGCGGTACCTTGGTCGTCCTCCAACGGGGACAGCTCCGCACCTTCGTGCAGTGCTACATCCGACCCGCTGGAACTGCCCAATGTACGCCTCTTGCTCGGGGATCGTCTTCTAGGTTGCGGCGACCCGTCACTATCGGTGTCGCTGTGCACTTCGTGTCTCGCACTACCGTTCTTGTTGTTGTTGCCGCCGTCGTTGTTGTTGGCAGTGGCGTAAACGTCGCCGTTGCCGGAGCCAGGCGAGGTGTCTTGGGAGAAGCGCGAGCTCTCCCACTGATCTGGCCGTTCCTCTTGTCGCTTGGACATCGACACATCCCAGGCCATCTCCTCGGACTTCTCGTCCTTGACCAGCGGACGGCCGGCGGCAGCAGCCGTCGTCGCAGCCGCCGCCGCCGCCCACGAGGCGGTGTCCCCAATCTCGGGTTTCGCGAGCCGCTCTTCGAGGCTCCTCTTTAGAATGTCCTCGTAGCCGCCGCCGCCGCCGCCGGAGGTAATGACCGTTCTCACCACCTTCTCGGTTCTCTCGACCTCCGGCATCTCCATCGTAACGCGCTGCACGGTCGTGACCGTTTGCACGGAACCCTCCGAGTCCGTGGACTTGCCGGTCTTAATCGTGGTGGTGGTGCTGTTGGTAGAGTCCGGAAACTTGTCGCCGAAGTCAAAGATCTCGTTCGGCAAGGTGCTGGCTACCTGATTTATCCTCTTCACGACCTCCTCGCGCGTCATCGGTTCCAAAGCGCTGCCCTCCGCGGTGAGAGTCACGGTCCTCACCGTCTCCACGACTCCGCCCGTCTTAAGCAGCTCCTCCAGCTTCTCGGGATCGACCGACTGATCGTTGCTGGTCGCCACGGTGGTAGTCGTTGTTCTTCGTAGCTGTTCGATCGCATTGTCGCCCGTGGAAGAAGCTATTCCCAGCCCGCCGGTCATGATCTCGGTCAGATGCTCTGTCCCGACCATCTGGATCACGTCTCCCGGCGACACTCTCTCCTCTACTGTCTCTTTCGTCAGTTCCCCGTCAGTGTACTCCTTGGTGACGCAACGGACGGTCCGGGAGATTGTTCTCGGAGCGGCGCGCTCCTTCTTCGGGGACTCGACGACGTTGGGTCTTTCGGCTACCTTGTCGATTACCAGCGGGGGCTCCTCGCTGTCCGAGGACTGCCTCCTCGCTTTCACGGGTATCTTGCTCTTTGGGCTGCTCTTGCTCGGCGAGTGGCCCTCTTGCGTCGGCTTGCTGGCGGGCTGCTCGAGCGCTTTACCTTTGCCGGTGGAGCCGTGTGATGGTAATCGTGAGACGTCACCGAGCTCCAGACGGAGCTCGGCTTTGGTAGACGGCTTGGTGGAGTGACGCGGGGCGGGAACAGGTTGCTTTGATGGAGCAGAAGTAGCATGCCTCTCTACAGTCCCATCAATCTCAGCCGAATCATGCCCTGACCCATCCAAAAGGACATGGACAAGAACAGGAACGAGGACATAAAGCACATTGATACACACTAAGAATCTCAACTCTAGCCCAGCTCGCCAAAGTTGGACCGACAGAATTCAGCGTGTCTGCCTCGCATACATATGTGTGCGCGCATAACACATTAACGAGAGAGACTCTCTCTCGCGCGCGCGCCGGTGCACACGTGCGCACGTAGGACACGTAAGTGGACGCGACGCGCACGTACGCATGTACGCGCGCAAGCACATACACACACGCACGTATGACAACACGGGTCAGAGGTGCGTTAGACACACAGGTGAGATTCGGAAGAGAGAATGCGCTTCGGCGTGTGTGATGCGTGTGCGCGTGCACCGCGGCACACTACCCCGCGCGCGTATATGTATGTATATATATATATATATGTATATATATATAGAGAGAGAGAAAGATTTATGTTTTTTTTCTTTTCTCCGGGCTGTTGTTAGTCACGGTGTACCGCACGATTATACAGGATTAGTCTGTTTGTCAAGAAAAAAAGAAGTGTACACTCATTAGAAAAGAATGGTGTCTATCCGTGGCGCCTGAGTCTTACTAAAACGTACCGTACGTCGTTACCGCGGGAGAGAAGAACCGGAATTGCACTCCGAGAGAGAGAGAGAGAGAGAGAGAGAGAGAGAGAGAGAAAGAGAGAGAGAGAGACTGATTCACGTGAGTGATCAACAACGACGACGACTGTGCTAGGCTTACGTTACTCTCTACGGTTTTCCTCTTGAAAACTACACGACTCAACGAAGGTCTATTCTCTAGCTCCTTTGGACCCGATCTACGCAATGGGCGTAGGAAACCCATTTAGCTCCGGTGGTGTGGTAAGTCTTGGCCTCTTGCCCCGAACCCAGAACTGTAGAACGTAATGTCTGACAAAAAAGGCATTTCCTCCGCGCTGCCGGAAGTCGTAACGACGCTTAAAACATGGAGATTGCGATATCTGGTAGCGTGGGAGACGCCTTTCGTTGGGAAATACGCAACAGTTTCGGGTTCAGAGCCAGAGGCTACAGATTTGCTACACCTATTGTGGATTGGATCTTAGTCCCGGAGACCTTTAGGTTTTCGCTTTCAATCCAAAAGTATGACATATTTTCAACCAAAAGCGTTTCATCGACTTTAATCCTTAAGCCTTGGGCGAGCTTGCCAGATGCCGGCTGTTAAGACTGCGAAGGGCAACGCTTTGTGTGCCAGAGACAATAGGACTTGGAAGAAAAGGTTAAAGGGCCTACTACACCCATTGTGTGTGGATCGGGACTTACTAGTCTTCTCTGGGAAGGAAGCTACTTCCCGGCTCGGTTGTACCCGCAAGATGCCGGACATTCTGCGAGTTACAACTGGCGCTATCGACTACTCCGTTCGGGTAACACACTAATGACTATGTACAGATACTCGATCTTGAGATTAACGGTACGCGAATGCAACGCTCTCGCGAGAGAACTCTCTTCTCTCTTCTCATCGCGCGTGCGGCGATATGTATGTATGTAGAGAGAGAAAGAGAGAAAGAGACAGAGAGAAGATATATGTATATATCGGTGACGGAAGAGATCGGTAACTATTTAGTAAGAGACGTGCGCACAGTATCAGTTAGTGTGAAAGCGTCGGCAGGTGCTAACTATGGAAGATAAAGCTAAATATAAATGAGGGCACCAAAAAACAGATTTTGCTACCTTACTGATTTCTTCGAGAGACAGAGAGACAGTGAGAGAGAGAGAGAGAGAGAGAGAGAGAGAGAGAGAGAGAGAGAAAGAGAGAAATAGAGAGAGAGAGAGAGAGAGAGAGAGAGAGAGAGAGAGAGATGGAGAGAAAGAAAGAGAGAGAAAGAAAGAGAACCGGATAGTGTGATCCGCATTTTACGTGAAGTCTTTACATTTGTCTTCTTTTTTCTTTCGTTCTTATGTTATTTTTACTAAACTTGATTCAAGTTACGTTACCTGCTTTGCTCGACACGTACGCCTGTCCCGCCAGATTCTGCGCCCGCCTCGCAGCCTCTTCGGTCACGTCTGAAAGGTCACAGGGTCGCGAATTGAGTTTACATCGAGTATCGACAAGTCGTACATTGAAAGCAATGATTCAACAAAGATTAGATGAATGATGTTTTTCCCTGCATGGCATACCTCGGTTCATGCTTCGCTAGTGTTGTAGGTACTCCTGTTAATTCAATGAGACATATTACCGCATAATCGTATAACACGTGATCTCTATAAATGTTATGCTATAAACGAAAGAGAGATATATGGTTATAGCGAAATTATATATATATATATATACGTATGCATGTGTTTTTTCTTTTTTTCTTTATCTTTTCGTATATATTTATGATGATTGTAAAATAAGGCTCTGGCGTTTTCTCGATATGTGTATACACAGTGCCAAGAAAATTATCCATGTGAAGTGGTGAGTGACGTTTATATAAAAAACTAGCGCAAAAAACCTGGAATCATGCATCAGAGACGGGTGTGTTATCGACAGAACTAATGTTAAGACCGGAAAACTGAAAATAAGTACAGCAAATAAGTAAACCTAGTGCACAGGTATATCGTTTGTGCGTCTTGCGCTCACGTAGCGAGCGAGATAGACAGACAGACAGACAGGTAGGTCAAATTAGATGTCTCTTTGAATTTTCATACTGTTCCAAGTTGTTCCTGATCTTTTCGTCCCGGTTGAACAATATACCCGTCCAACGCAACACGGTAACACAACGCAACACAAAGAAAACTCCGAAAACAATAGGTCAACTAAACTAACTAAAACAGTAAGTGACGTAATTGAAACTAACTAAAACAGGAACAAGCGGTAGAGTATGAATCTCGAGTGTTCGTTGCTCCCCGATCGGCACGAGGAGTCGCAGGGACTGACATTAGTGAACTAGAAAATGATCGATCGAGATTAGAAGAGTGTGTTAGGCTTTCATTAACGAGGTGACAAAGATGCAAATGAAACTCTTTTATCTCTCTGATGTCACGAGAACAACTAGTCAAAAAGAAAACTGAAAACGTTACAGAGAAGCGTCAACTTATTCATTAATTATGTTACACACAGCTGGTATATGTAATATATATATATGTATATATATATATAGAGAGAGAGAGAGAGATATGGATAACGCAATTATTGCAAGATACCTTCGGTTCTACTGTCACTGAACTCGGCGAGACCGGGTGGTGGTGGGGTCGTTCGCACAGACTTTGTCACGACTGTGGTGACGGTGTGCCGTGTGTGAGGCTCGGGGTGCCCTACCATAGATACTGCCTCTAACCTACTCGAACCCGAAGCCGAACCCGAACCCGACCCTGAATCGTCCGACGCGGTGGCCAACGTGTGACCGCCGGCCCCGGTCCCGATATCCTTAGCCGGACTAATCTTTTGTGGAATGCGAGAGACTCTCTTAACCCTAACTGATTCGGATAAATGCTCGACGTCGGCGGGGGCCGACTTCTCCAGCCTGGCGGCCTCGGAGTCGCGGCCGACTATATCCTGAACGCGCTCGGACGCCGACGCGACCTCGCGGTGACCACCTACGCGCGCGTCTGTCAGCGTTGACGACGACGACGACGACGACGACGTCGACAAGGATCTCGCGCTCTCGAGCTTGGGGACTCTCGGGGAGACCTTCCTCTTGGCGTCTTTCACAGCGCCGTTGGACTTGTCCTTCGCGTCGCTCTTAGCCGGCTTCGCCGCGACTCTTTCTTTCGCGCGAGCCTCTTCCGCGATCGCTTCCTGCTTCGTCTCCTGCAAGAAGTCTCGCATGTCGTCAGTGGCGCCCTCTACTGCGTGTTTGGCGCTCTTCACTACGCCCGATAGGAAGCCTCCGGCCTTTTGTTTCGCCTTCTTCGTCTCCTTCACGCTCTTGTCCTTGGCGGCCTCCGCACCGTCGGCGACGGCTATTAATTTCTCCTTGACGACTTTCGCGTCGTCCTTCACTTCGCTTACGACAGCGTCCTTGGCGCGTTTAGCCTTCTGCGCCGCGTCTTCACCGCTGGACTTGGCTTTCTCGACCGCTATCTTTGTGACGTGCGTAATCTCTTCGACTACTTTACCGGTCTTCTCCTTGGCGTCCTTCGTTTGCCCGAGCTCCTGCAGTCTCGCCGTCGCGGCCTCTCTAGCGAGAGCCTCATCAATGGCTGCTTCTTGTCTCGTCATCTCCAAGAAATCCTTCAAGTCGCCGGTAAGGTCTTGTTTCGCCTGCTGCGCACCTTGGACTACCCCAGTTAGGAAATCCGAGCTCTTATCCTTCGTCTTCTTGGCGTCTTTCGCCAGCTGGTCCTTGGCCGCTTTGGCACCGTCCGCAACGGCTTCAGCGCTCGTCGCTAACTTGTCCTTCACTGCCTTCGTGTCTTCCTCGAACTTCTTGCCCAGACTCTCCTTGGCGTCCTTGATATCATGCGCGACCTCTGTCGCTTTGATTTCTACTTTTTCACCAGCTTTCTGGGTTTCGCTTGCCAGTTTCTGCACCGTGGCCTTCGTCGCGTCCGCGGCTTTTCCCGCTTCTTTGGCCATCTTGTTTTTCATCTCTTTCGTATCGGCGACCACGCTATCCTTCTTGTCCTTCAGTTCCTTCAATCCGGCTGCCGCTGCCTCCTTGGCACGAGCTTCCTCCAATTCAGCTTCATGTTTCGTTTCGTCCAGGAACTCCTTGACGTCGTCTTTGGCACTCTCGACAGCGTGTTTCGCGCCCTTGACTATGCCTGACAAGAAGCCAGAGCCTTTTTCTTTAGCCTTCTTTGCTTCCTTAGTCGCTTTATCCTTGGCTGCGTCCGCACCGTCGGCTACGGCTTCGACACCAGCCGCCATCTTGCTTTTTACTATCTTCGCGTCGTCCTGAATCTCCTTGACTGCTGCGTCCTTAGCGTCAGCGGTACCCTGTGCGATGTCGTGTGCCGTGGACTCTAGCTTCTCACCGACTGTCTTGGCACCTGAAGTCATCTTGTCCTTAGCTGCCTTGGCCGCTCCAGCGGCCTTGTCCAAATCCTCGGACACCTTCTCGGTGACTTTATCTTTCGTGTCCTTTGCAGCTGTTACAGTCTTCTCTTTGGCATCCTTCACTCCAGCGACAGTTCGATCGGCTGCGTCCTTAACGCCACTGATAACAGCGTCCTTTTTATGCTCCAGCTCTTTCAGACTGGCCGCTGCAGCCTCCTTGGCACTAGCTTCCTCCAATTCAGCTTCGTGCTTTGTCTCGTCCAGGAAATCCTTGACGTCGCCTTTGGCGCTCTCGACGGCATGTTTCGCGCCCTTGACTATGCCCGACAGGAAGCCAGAACCCTTTTCCTTAGCCTTCTTCGCTTCTTTAGATGCCTTGTCTTTGACTGCTTCCGCACCGTCAGCTACTGCTGCGGACCCAGCTGCCAGTTTGTCCTTCACCACTTTCGTATCTTTTTTAACTTCTTTCACCGCTGCATCTTTGAGATCCTTAGCACCTTGCGCAACTTCCGCCGCAGCAGTGCCGATTTTTTCGCCAATTTTCTTCGATTCCTCCGTCACTTTCTCACCAGCTGCTTTGGTAGTATCGGTGACCTTCTGAGTGTCCTTCGATACTTCTTCCGCGACTTTGTCCTTCTTCTCCTTCACAGCAGCTACTGTCTTATCCTTAGCATCCTTCATGTCAGCCGCGACTATCTCTGCGGCTTCTTGAGCTCCGCTTACGGCAGCGTCTTTTTTATCTTTCAAGTCCTTGAGACCAGCTGCTGCCTTTTCTTTGATGTGCTGCTCTTCCAGTTGAGTTTCTTTCTTCGTTTCATCCAAGAACTCCTTCACATCGTCGGCTGCTTCTTCCACGGTATGTTTCGTACCTTTGAATATGCCAGACAGGAAACCGGCTCCTTTCTCCTTAGCCTTCTTCACTTCCTTCGTTGTCTTGTCTTTGGCAGCTTCAGCACTGTCGGCCACGGCACCGACTCCGGCTGCCAACGTATCTTTCGCCAATTTGGCATCTTCCTTCACTTCCTTAATCGCTGCATCCTTGGTGTCTTTGGATCCCTGCGCTACATCCGCGGCAGTTACGCTGATCTTCTCGCCGATCTTTCTCGTTTCCTCTGCTACTTTTTCGCTAGCCGCCTTCGTGGTGTCGGCAACCTTCTGGGTGTCTTTCGCCACACTCTCCACGACCTTGTCCTTCTTCTCTTTGACAGCAGAAACCGTTTGATCCTTTGCATCTTTCACGTCAGTAATAACTTTGTCTGCCGACTCTTGGACTCCACTAACAACCGCATCCTTTTTATCCTTCAAGTCCTTGAGACCAGCAGCGGCTCTTTCCTTGGCCCGTTGTTCTTCTGCCTGAGCTTCTTTCTTCGTTTCCTCCAAAAACTCCTTCATGTCGTCGGTTGCATCATCTACGGCATGTTTTGCGCCTTTAAAGATACCTGACAAGAAGCCAGATCCCTTTTCCTTAGCCTTCTTCGTTTCCTTGCTAGCTTTATCCTTAGCAGTGTGGGCGCCTTCGGCTACTGCTTCAGCACCGGCTGCTACTTTGTCTTTCACCATCTTTGCATCGTCTTGAACTTCCTTGACAGCTGCGTCTTTGACATCCACGACTCCTTGAGCCACGTCGCGTGCTGTTGAGTCGATCTTTTCACCAACCTCTTTCGTTTCTGATGCCACTTTGGCCTTGGCAGCTTTCATAGCATCAGAAGCTTTGTCGATGTCCTCCGACACTTTCTCTGCGATCTTATCCTTTGTGTCTTTCACAGCTGCTACGGTCTTATCCTTGGCATCCTTTACGCTAGCAACAGCTCGATCAGCTGTATCTTTTACACCACTCACCACGGTATCCTTCTTGTGTTCCAGGTTTTTCAAGCCTTCCGCCGCTGCCTCCTTCGCACGTTCTTGCTCCAACGTCGCGTCCCTGCGCATTTCGTCTAAGAATTTGTTCACATCGTCAGTCGCACTCTCGGCACTCTGCTTTGCACCTTTGAACATGCCCGAAAGGAAACCGCTACCCTTGTCCTTGGCCTTCTTCGCTTCCTTGGCGACCTTGTCCTTGGCCGTTTCCGCCTTGTCGGCGACAACCTCCGCCCCAGCTGTTAACTTCTCCTTTCCTGCCTGCGCGTCCTCCTTCACCTTCTTTGCAATCGCATCCTTAGTATCCTTAGCATCTTCCACGAAATCTCGTCCGGCTGACTTTGTCTTCTCGCCGGCTTCCTTCACATCGGCCGCCAGCTTGCCACTCACGTCTTTCACGCCTTCGGAAGCCTTATGGACACCATCAGATAATTTTTCTGCCACCTTATCCGATGCGTCCTTCACAGCTGTTTTAGCGTCGTCTTTCGCCTCCTTCATGCTGTCGATTGCACTGTCTTTCTTGTCCTTCAAATCTTCCAAGCCAGATTCTGCCATTTTTTTCACGCGTTCACCTTCGGAAGCCGCTTCCTTCTTCACGTCGTCAACGAGATCCTTCGTGTCGTCAACTATCTCATCAGCGGTGTGCTTCGCGCCTTTGAAGATGCTCGAGAAGAAACCACTTCCTTTCTCTTTGGCTTTCTTCGCTTTATCTTTTACATCTTCCGCGGTTTCTGCGACAGCCTCAGAGCTAGCAGCCAATTTCTCCTTCGCCAATTTGGTGTCTTCCTTCACTTCCTTTACCGCCGTATCCTTGGCGTCCTTGACTCCCTGAGTAACGTCTGCAGCTGCGGCTCCTATTCTCTCACTGACTTTCTTCGTCTCCGTTGACACTTTCTCACCTGCTGCTTTCGTAATATCGGCAACCTTCTGGGCATCTTCGGAAACTTCCTCAACAACTTTATCCTTCTTCTCCTTAATAGTGGAAACTGTTTTGCTTTTTGCATCCTTTACATCAGCAGCTGCCTTCTCTACAGACTCTTGAACTCCGGCGACGGCAGCGTCCTTTTTATCCTTTAAATCCTTGACACCTGTGGCAACCTTTTCTTTTGCCCGCTGTTCCTCCAATTGAGCTTCCTTCTTAGTTTCGTCCAGGAATTCCTTCATGTCATCAGCCGCATCTTCAACTGCATGCTTGGCTCCCTTGAAGATTCCGGAGAAGAAACCACTAGTCTTCTCCTTGGCTTTTTTCGCTTCCTTGCTGGCCTTATCCTTAGTAGCCTCTGCGGACTCCGCGACAGCCTCAGCGCCAGCTGCCAATTTCTCTTTTGCCAATTTCGCATCTTCCTTCACCTCCTTCACTGCTGCATCCTTGGTGTCCTTAGCGCCTTGCGCAACATCAGCTGCGGCTGATCCTACTTTCTCAGCGATCTTCTTCGTCTCGATCGCCACTTTTTCACCAGCCGCTTTAGTAGTGTCAGCAATCTTCTGGGTATCCTTCGAAATTTCCTCCACGACTTTGTCCTTTTTATCTTTTACAGCAGATACCGTTTTGTCCTTGGCGTCTTTCACATCAGCTGCAACTTTTTCTGCAGCTTCGTGAGTTCCGCTAACGACAGCATCTTTCTTATCCTTTAAATCCTTAAGACCCGCAGCGGCCTTTTCTTTAGCACGCTCTTCTTCCAAAGCAGCTTCCTTCTTACTCTCGTCCACAAATTCCTTCATGTCATCAACCGCATCTTCAACAGCATGCTTGGCTCCTTTGAAGATTCCGGAAAAGAAACCACTGGTCTTCTCTTTAGCTTTCTTGGCTTCCTTCGTCGCCTTATCCTTCGCTCCATCAGCTGTTTCTGCAACAGCCTCAGCGCCTGCTGACAATTTCTCCTTCGCCGATTTTGCATCGTCCTTCACCTCTTTAACTGCTGCGTCCTTGGTATCCTTAGCGCCCTGCACTACATCAGCGGCAGTTGCGCTAATTTTTTCACTAATCTTCTTCGTTTCTTCCACCATTTTCTCACTAGCTGCCTTTGTGGTGTCGGCGACTTTCTGGGCATCCTTTGACACCTCCTCTGCAATTTTGTCTTTCTTGTCTTTAACAGCGGAAACTGTCTTGTCCTTAGCATCCTTGGTACCTGCAACAGCTTTGTCTGCTGCTTCTTGTACTCCACTCACAATAGCATCCTTCTTATCCTTCATATCTTTGAGTCCAGCAGCAGCCTTTTCCTTGGCACGTTCTTCTTCCAGTTGAGCTTCCTTTTTTGTCTCATCCAAAAATTCCTTGACATCGTCGGTTGCGTCTTCTACGGTGTGTTTCGCGCCTTTGAATATCCCGGAGAAGAACCCACTGGTCTTCTCTTTAGCTTTCTTGGCTTCCTTGCTCGCCTTATCTTTTGTTGCCTCCGCTGTTTCTGCAACAGCCTCAGCACCTGCAGCTAATTTCTCTTTCGCCAATTCCGTATCACCTTTCACCTCTTTAACTGCTGCGTCCTTAGTGTCCTTAACACCTTGCACGACGCCTGCTGCAGCTGATCCAATTTTTTCTCCGGCCTTTTTCGTTTCTGTTGCAATTTTCTCTCCGGTTGCCTTCGTAGTATCGGCAACCTTTTGGGCGTCCTTGGAAATTTCTTCCACAATTTTGTCCTTTTTGTCTTTCATAGCAGATACTGTTTTATCCTTCGCATCTTTCATTTCGATAGCGGCTTTATCAGCGGTCTCCTGTACTCCGCTCACAACAGCATCTTTTTTATCCTTTAGATCTTTGAGACCAGCAGTGGCTTTTTTCTTGGCACGTTCTTCCTCCATTGCAGCTTCTTTCTTAGTCTCATCTAGAAATTCCTTCACATCGTCGGATACTTCTTCTGCGGAGTGTTTTGCGCTCTTGAATATTCCTGAAAGAAAGCCACTACCCTTCTCCTTAGCCTTCTTCGCTTCTTTCGTTGCTTTATCCTTCGTAGCTACAGCGCTGTCTACCACTGCATCGCCACCTGCTTTGATTTTGTCTTTCGTTGTTTTTGCGTCCTCTTTCAATTCTTTCGTTATGCCATCCTTAGTTTCCGCAATACCTTGCGCGATATCGCTAGCAAGTTGTTTGGTATCAGCTACTGCTTTTTCTCCTGTCGCTTTGGTTGCATCAGCAGCTTTGCTGATTTTCTCGGCTATCTTTTCAGTTGTAAGATCCTTCGCCTCTTTCACATCAGCAACAGCACTATCTTTCTTGCGCTCCAGGTCCTTCAGTTCAGCTTCCGCTGCCTCTTTGACGCGCGCTTGTTCCAATGCAGCTTCCTTTTTGGTCTCTTCCAAGAATTCCTTCACGTCCTCCGCAGTGCTATCTACGGAGTGCTTGGATCCTTTGAATATCCCTGAGAGAAAACCACTAGTCTTTTCTTTGGCCTTTTTCGCTTCCTTAGCTGTCTTGTCCTTGGCAGCTTCCGCTGTGTCCGCGACGGACTCAACTCCGGCGGCCAATTTCTCCTTCGCCACTTTGGCGTCTTGTTTCGCTTCCGCGACGACCGAATCCTTGGCGTCTTTCACACCGCGGCCTACGTCAGCCGCTGTGGTTTCCGCTTTGTAACCGATTTCCTTTACTTTCGTGGTTACATCATCGCCGGCTGCCTTCAAGGTGACCGTCACTTTTTCCGCGTCCTTAGCGACTGTGTCCACGATCTTATCCTTCGTCTCTTTCGCGGCTGAAACTGTCTTGTCCTTGGCGTCTTTTGCACCCTCAGCTGCTTTATCCACGATGTCCTTGGCACTGTCTACTACAGTGTCTTTTTTACGCTTCAAATCCTCTAATCCTTCAGCTGCTTCCTTCTTTGCGTCGACCGCATGTTCCTTGATGTCTTCACTTACGTCCTCCGCAGCGTGTTTCGCGCCCTTGAAGATGCCGGAAAAGAAGCCAGAACCTTTCTCTTTGGCTTTCTTCGCCTTATCTTTGGCAGTATCCGCGGCATCAGCCACGACATCAGCGCCAGCCGTCAATTTTTCCTTCGCTAGTTTCGCATCCTCTTTGATCTCTTTAACAGCTGCTTCCTTAGTGTCTTTGACTCCTTGCGCTACATCCGCAGCAGTCGAGATTACCTTCTCGCCAGCTGCTTTCGTGACGTCGGCTGCCTTCTCAGCACCCTTAGAGACTTCCTCCGCAATCTTGTCTTTTTTATCTTTGACAGCAGCAGCTGTTTTATCCTTGGCGTCTTTTACATCAGCGGCAACCTTATCACCGGCTTCTTGGACTCCACTTACGACAGCATCCTTTTTATCCTTCAAGTTCGTGACTCCAGTAGCAACCTTTTCTTTTGCCCGCTGTTCCTCCAATTGAGCTTCCTTCTTAGTCTCGTCCAGGAATTCCTTCATGTCATCAGTCGCATCTTCAACTGCATGCTTGGCTCCCTTGAAGATTCCGGAGAAGAAACCACTAGTCTTCTCCTTGGCTTTTTTCGCTTCCTTGCTGGCCTTATCCTTAGTAGCCTCTGCGGATTCCGCGACAGCCTCAGCGCCTGCTGCCAATTTCTCTTTTGCCAATTTCGCATCTTCCTTCACCTCCTTCATTGCTGCATCCTTGGTGTCCTTTGCGCCTTGCGCAACATCAGCTGCGGCTGATCCTACTTTCTCAGCGATCTTCTTCGTCTCGATCGCCACTTTTTCACCAGCCGCTTTACTAGTGTCAGCAATCTTCTGGGTATCCTTCGAAATTTCCTCCACAACTTTGTCCTTTTTATCTTTTACGGCAGATACCGTTTTGTCCTTGGCGTCTTTCACATCAGCTGCAACTTTTTCTGCAGCTTCGTGAGTTCCGCTAACGACAGCATCTTTCTTATCCTTTAAATCCTTAAGACCCGCAGCGGCCTTTTCTTTAGCACGCTCTTCTTCCAAAGCAGCTTCCTTCTTACTCTCGTCCACGAATTCCTTCATATCATCAACCGCATCTTCAACAGCATGCTTGGTTCCCTTGAAGATTCCGGAAAAGAAACCACTGGTCTTCTCTTTAGCTTTCTTGGCTTCCTTCGTCGCCTTATCCTTCGCTCCATCAGCTGTTCCTGCGACAGCCTCAGCGCCTGCTGACAATTTCTCCTTCGCCAATTTTGCATCGTCTTTTATCTCTTTAACTGCTGCGTCCTTGGTATCCTTAGCGCCCTTTCCTACATCAGCAGCAGTAGCGCTGATTTTTTCACTAATCTTCTTCGTTTCCTCCGCCACTTTCTCACCAGCAGCCTTTGTGGTGTCGGTGACTTTCTGGGCATCTTTTGACACCTCCTCTGCAATTTTGTCTTTCTTATCTTTAACAGCGGAAACTGTTTTGTCCTTGGCATCCTTGGCACCAGCAACAGCTTTGTCTGCTGCTTCTTGTACCCCACTCACAACAGCATCCTTCTTATCCTTCAAGTCTTTGAGTCCAGCAGCGGCCTTTTCCTTGGCACGTTCTTCTTCCAACTGAGCTTCCTTCTTTGTCTCATCCAAAAACTCCTTGACATCATCGGTTGCGTCTTCTACGGTATGTTTCGCGCCTTTAAATATCCCAGAGAAGAACCCACTGGTTTTCTCTTTAGCTTTCTTGGCTTCCTTGCTCGCTTTGTCTTTTGCTGCTTCCGCTGTTTCTGCGACAGCCTCAGCGCCTGCGACTAATTTCTCTTTCGCCAATTTCGCATCGTCTTTCACTTCTTTAACTGCTGCGTCCTTGGTATCCTTAGCACCCTTCGCTACATCAGCAGCAGTGGCGCTGATTTTCTCACCAATTTTCTTCGTTTCCTCCGCCACTTTTTCACCAGCTGCTTTGGTAGTATCGGTGACTTTCTGAGTGTCCTTCGATATTTCTTCCGCGACTTTGCCCTTCTTCTCCTTCAAAGCAGCTACTGTCTTATCCTTAGCATCTTTCACGTCAACTGCAACTTTCCCTACAGCTTCTTGAGTTCCGCTTACAACAGTCTCTTTCTTATCCTTCAAGTCTTTGAGACCTGCCGCAGCTTTTTCTTTAGTACGTTCTTCTTCTAATTGAGCTTCCTTCTTTGTTTCATCCAAGAACTCTTTAACGTCGTCTGTAGCGTCTTCCACAGCGTGTTTCGCGCCTTTAAATATCCCGGAGAAGAATCCGCTGGTCTTCTCTTTAGCTTTCTTCGCTTCCTTGCTCGCCTTATCCTTCGCACTCTCTGCACTTTCCGCAACGGCTTCTGCGCCCGCTTCTAGCTTCTCCTTCGCCAATTTCGCATCGTCCTTCACCTCTTTAACTGCTGCGTCCTTGGTATCCTTAGCACCCTTTGCTACAGCAACAGCAGTGGCGCTGATTTTTTCACCAATTTTCTTCGTTTCCTCCGTCACTTTCTCACCAGCTGCTTTGGTAGTATCGGTGACTTTCTGAGTGTCCTTCGATACTTCTTCCGCGACTTTGTCCTTCTTCTCCTTCAGAGCAGCTACTGTCTTATCCTTAGCATCTTTCACGTCAGCCGCGACTTTCTCTGCTGCTTCTTGAGCTCCGCTTACCGCAGCGTCTTTCTTATCCTTCAAGTCCTTGAGACCAGCTGCTGCCTTCTCTTTGGCGCGCTTTTCTTCTATTTGAGCCTCCTTCTTCGTTTCATCCAAAAACTCCTTCACGTCGTCTGTTACATCCTCCGTGGCGTGTTTCGCACCTTTGAATATACCCGAGAAGAATCCGCTGCCCTTTTCTTTCGCTTTCTTCGCCTCCTTGGCGGCTTTGTCTTTCGCAGCCGCTGCGGCGTCCGCAGAGGCCTCAGCGGCGGAGGATAACTTCTCCTTAGCGATCTTCGCATCCTCTTTTGCCTCCGCAGTGACTGCTTCTTTGATATCTTTGCTAGCTTGAGCAACGTCCTTTGCGGTCGCTCCCACTTTTTCGCTGACTTTCTTCGCGTCTGCAGTCGCTTGGTCAGCGGCAGCTTTCGCGAGGTCCGCCGCCTTCTCCGCGTCCTTCGACACTTTTTCCACGGCCTTCTCCTTCTTCTCCTTCACTGTCGATACTGTCTTGTCCTTGACATCCTTGGCGTCCGCCGCTGCCTTGTCAACGGCCTCTTTCGCGCCAGTCACCATGGCATCTTTCTTCTGCTCCAATTCTTTCACGCCAGCGGCTGTCGCTTCTTTCGCTCGTGCCTCCTCCAGAGCGGCTTCTTTCTTCGTCTCGTCCAAGAACTCTTTTACGTCGTCCGTCGCGTCCTCAATGGCGTGTTTCGTGCCCTTGAAGATGCCCGACAAGAAGCCCGCGCCCTTCTCCTTCGCTTTCTTCGCCTCCTTCGTTGTCTTGTCTTTAGCTGCTTCGGCGGCGTCGACCGCGTCTGACGTCTTTTCGTCCATTTTCCTGGCAAGCGCGTCTTTGCCATCCTTCATGGCTTTCCCGACATCATCTACAGCAACAGCAACGTGCTGTTCAAACTTTTTCGCGTCCTTGGTCGATTTGTCGTCCGTCGGTTTGCCGGTGGCAAGCGCCATGTTGCGCGAGTCTTCCAGGAACTTCGCCGTTACCTCTCGCATGTCCTCCTGGCCGCTGTCCGGTAACTCCAGCGACGGGGTCTTCTCTTTGGACCTGCTTCTGGAGCTTCTCGCCTGCTTGGGGCTTCGGAATATACCGAAGATGCCGCTTCCCTTCTCCTTCTCAGTAGCCTCGTCCTCGCAGGTGCTGGTCTTCTTCAGCTCCTCTTGCATGATTTGCTCCAGGGCGGTCTTAACGAGCGCAGACACCTCTTGCTCCAGTATCTTTTCTTCAGACGGTTGCTGCATGCTGTCCGCCATCTGTCTGGTGTCCTCCAGTACTTTCGCGAAGTTCGCCAAGCGAACCTCCTCGTCCCCACTGTCGAAGGAGGTCTCCTTCGACGAACTCTGCTCACGGGACCTGCTGCGCTTCTTGCTCTTCAGCTTCGGGCTCTTAAACATGCCGAAGAAGCCGCCGCTCTTCTCTTTGCCGACTTCATCGGCAGCCTCCTCCTCGGGCACTTTCGGTTCCGTGCTTTCGGGTTTCACCTCCGAGACGACCTTCTCGGCATCTGCTTTGGCGTCTACTTTCTGATCCTTTTCCTTGTCGATGTCTGCCTTCCCGTTCATCTCCTCGCGAATTACGATCCTCTCGATCGTCGTCTTCGTTTGCATCACGTCATAGGACTTACCGGTCTTGTCGGCCGGCGTGTCGGCGTCGTAGAACGTGGCCGAGGTGAAGGTGCGCACCTCTTCCTGCGGAGTGACTTTGGTGCCATCAGTTTTGTACGCAACCGGGACGACGCTGACGTCGGCGATCTTCCGTGTGTCGTCCAACAACTTTTCCGTGACGACCCGGATCTCCTCATCGCCGCTGTCGAAGGACGTCTCCTTTGACTTGCCGAGCCGCTTCTCTCGAGATTTCGGGCTCTTGAAGATGCCAAAGAAGCCGCTCTTCTCCTTTGCCTCCTCGTCCTTTTCGTCGTCCTTGCCGCGCGGTTGCTCGTCTGTGATCGACGTGACGACCTTGCTCTTCGCATCTTCGACGGCCTTCGTGCCGTTCTTCACGGCTTTCTCCACCTGCTTCTCGACAGTCGCGCTCGGCAGGGTCACATCGGTGACCTTGGCCGTCTCGTCCTTCGCCTTCTCGCGCAGCTGCTGTTCCAGCTGCTCTTCGGTCTCCTTCACGAGCGCCGCCAGCTTCTTCTTCTCCTTCTTTGCGATCTGCTCCGCAGTCTCTTTCGGCTTCTCCACGTGGATCACGGGGATCACCGTCCCGTCGGCGGTCTCATCCTTCTTGGTTTTGCTCTTGAACAGACTCGAGAAGAAGCCGGCTTTGTCTTTGCCGTCGTCATCGCCGCTGCTTTCGACGGTCTCGGTCTTCGTCTCTTCTTTCACGGCGTCCTCCGCTTTACTGGGACCTTCGTAGAGCGCGTGCATGCCCGCAGCGACTCGCCTGGAGTCATCGAGAAACTCCATGGTGGCCGACTTCACGTCGGGCGCGACCATGATTTCCGGAAGCACGCTATCGAAACGAGAATCCGCGATCTTGTCGGCAGGCTGCTCCGCCAGCTGTTCAGGAGCCTTTATCGCGCCGGTCTTTGCTTCTTCGTCGCTGCTGTCGAAGGACGTATCCTTCGAGCCCTTCTTGCCCTTCTTCAGTTTCCCGCCCTTGAAGATACCTGAGAATATTCCGCTGCCTCTGTCCTTTGACTTTTTCGTCTCCTCCTCCGTTTTCTCTTCCGCGCTGCCTGCAGGATGTTGCGCGTTGTAAACGTCTTCGTAAGCAGATGCTTTCACCTGCTTGGTATCCTTATCCTTATCCTTCTCCTTGTCTTTCTCTTTATCCTTATCCTTTTTCTTGTCTTTATCCGCAGGAGCTTTCGCGTCCGGCTTTTTCTGCTCGACTCGTGCAGCCTCCACCTTCTCTTTCTCCTTTTTCTTGTCCTTATCCACAGGAGCTTTCACGTCCGATTTCTTCTGATCGTCCTTCGCCGGTTTCTGCGCGAGCGACGCGGGAGCCGACGACTTCTCGTCGACCTCTTTGCCCTCCTTCGAGAGTTTCTCCTTCTCGCTAACGGCGTCCTTTCTATCGGGGGAAACTATCACGCTGCTCTCTTTCGCGATAACCTTGGCCGGCGTCTGATCGAATTGCTTGATCACCGTGGTAGTCTTCGTCGTGACCACCTTCGTCTGACCTACTTTCGGATCGTCGCTGACGGAAACTACGGTTTTCGAAGCGCTAATCTTGGGTTCCGGCTTAACGTCGCGGTACTGCCTAACCATCGGCGGCTCGATAGACGGCACTTGCTCGGCGACCGCCCTCGGAACCACACCCTTCGGCTCGTCGGTCGCCTTCGGAATTATGCCCGCCGGCTCGGCGGCGGTTCTATCTAAATGTACGTTAATTAACGTCTGTCCTACCGCACCCCGCGCCTCTTTACTGTCCCGCGCATCATCATCATATACCACCGACCACCCTTCCTTCGCTAACTTCCCCTTCTCTTTCTCAGCGTCTGCTATTACACCTGTTAATTAAGTATCATATAATTTAGGCATCTGTATACGTGGCAAAAAATAAAGAAACACATTGTGTTTTTTTTTATTGTCAATTTCGTCATCATTAGTGTAAGCTGGCTCGCTCGACATTGCTCTTTGATTGAAACTGCGGTTAGACTGTAGTGTGGTATTGTGCGTGGAGTGTATGTGCTGTGGAGCAGCCATCTTCTCACTACTAAATGTCAACTCAATATATCAATATATGCTTCCCGGATACAGATTGTACAAAGTCAATAGGTACGGCTCTCAAGAAGGAGAAGTAACATCGAGAGTACACACAGTCACGCAACGACAATTATCTCGCGGTGCAACGCGAATTCTCAAGGCACACCAATGAGGTACACCTTCGATCACATCACGCGGAACCTTTACAGTAGCTTGCAATTCCGAAACTCTGTAGTTCACCGGCAGTATCTCGATTAGTATCGTATATATCAAACTGTGACCATTAAAGTATGAATGAATGTTGAAGATGTCGAAAAAAAAAGTGAGGCTGTTAGAGAGAATAAATAGCGGCAATATAAGTAATGTGTTTGATCAAACGTGAATAATGTAATATTAAAGATCCACAAAGAGAAAAAAGAAACGGGAAATTCTTCGTTACTGTCTCGCAAGAGAACTTCGCACTCGATTACTCTCCGTTAGTGATATGCGATATTTACTTTCTTATTTTACTCCATTTTATTTTATTTTTTAGTTAAGTCGTTTCTAATCTATCTAGCTGTTGCGAAAGGAAACAATTCTGATGGCCTACACACGGCAACGTCTAGTGATCTCTCTGTTTGCACATTCTTTTTCTTTTCTTTCTTTCTAACGACAGCTGCTCCGTGCGCGCACACAATTAGGCCACACATATTGGCCGTTCATGCAACGCCAAATAATTGCAGCGAAAACCCTGCTGAAACAAATTAATCGAAAGTGTCGGCAGAATGATGGGATATTAGTGGGACATGAGAGGGTATGAGAGAGAGAGAGAGAGAGAGAGAGAGAGAGAGAGAGAGAGAGAGAGAGATTAAATGAGAGATATGAAAATTAATGTACAGTATACAGTAAAGGTAAAGAGAGCTGCTCGACAGGCGAAATATAAATAATCCGTTACATATTAAAATCAAAGCAAGCTGATTGAACAAATTGAAGAGAAATCCGCAGACGGTTCGGCCTCCAGAACCTGTGAGTGGAAGTAAAAAGATGACGCAGAGGTAAACAAATGTTTTAGTGTGCTCACGCACGCCGAAACGTACGTCCGTTCGTTGCAAGCCGAGATGATATGGATTTTTTGGCTCTTATTTATCTTTTTCTTTTTTTTTTTTGATTATTGCGAGTTTGCACAGACGTGAATCGTGTCCAGAATCATTGTGCCACTATGCAACAACAATAGCAACGACGAGACAACAACAATTCTCTATTCCGCACTAGGATCAGGCTCGACCGCACGCGATGATCCGCCTGAAATGAAACATCGTGCGCATCGTCGACCCGACATACTTACATGAAAAGCAAAGAAACTTTCTTGCGCTTCTTTCAATGAACGACGAGCTATTCAAGAGCTTTACGTTAAGCAGACATAACGCGACTGCGTCGTTGAATTCAACGCTCGCGACGGGTCGGCATCGGTACGTCTTTCCAAAAGTCTTCACATTCTCTAGACTGTTCTTCGAGAGATCATCGACGAGATCGCTAAACAATCGATTCGCGCCGGCACGTGCCGATTCGTTCCCAACACGGCGGCATTCGCTGTTTCTCAAACAGTTACGTAAGTAATCATCTCTAACAGTGAATGAATCAGTACGTTGCTCGATATCAAGAGAAGGCAACAACAACGCGAACAATTGCACGAGATTTCTCGAGAGAAACCTGTACATCAAGCTTCGCAGATGCAGCAGTCCCACTCCCTAGCGCGGTGACATTGGAGATCCTCGATCAGGCTTGTCATATCTAAATATTCGTGAGTCATAATCCTGTCGAATAATAATAATCGACTGATTAAATAATAAAAGGGATTTTTCCTCCTTTTTTTTTCTCTCTTATTATTTTCCTTTCCTTTTTCTCTTTCTTTCTTTTTTTCTTTTTTTTCTTATTTTATCTTTTTTCCCTTTATTATATGAGAACCTTCTTACTTGTTATACTATTGTCTCAACTACTGTACACCGGTCAGACCCATATATTATTAGTAAATAAATAAATAAATAAATAAATGAATGCCCGTTACTCGCCTCTCAGGCTGATGCGGAAATTCCCGCGTAATCAACTTCGAGTTCTTAATTATCGACAAAGCAGCTATTTTCCACAAAGCTTGAGACAAGTGATCTGTGATTTTAATCAGAGAAGTGCCATTACGCGCGGTCGATGAAACAGCGCTCATACCACGCTCGGGGGCACGACTGATCGAGGATGAGTAACCGATTAATAATCAGCAGTCTCAATGCGTGTTCGGATATTTAAATAAGACGCGCCTGAGCGGAAATGTCAAGTGTCACTGTGCCAAGGAATGGGACTGCACACGTGAAGCCCAGTGCACAATCCCGAAGTACCCGCCCGAGAGATCTATCGAAGGCGGCGCGGAAAAAGCACGAGTAGAGCCTCATAACTATGAACACGATATCACCGAGGGAGGGAGGGGTGTGAATAATCGTCTGCGATTATATAGCGAGTCCTAGGTGGTAGCGGCGCCGGCGAAACGTCGACGGCTGGTTAATACGAGTCAACAAATCGATCTCCTGCGTAGGCTGAAGCGTGCGCCCGCAGCATTATATAAATGTTCGGTCATGCTGCCGAAAACTCGGCGAAACAAAGGCGTAGTAGCCCCGTGTTCTGCTTGATTATTATTATTAATATTATTATTATTATTATTATTAACTTCATCATCGTCACTATTATGATTGCGATGATGACGATGATTATAATTATTATTACGAATATTAAGATATTATTTGGTTTTATACTTTGGCGAGACGTAGTAGCTCCGCGCTTAGAATCGATTAACGGCTGCCTGCTCTGCCAGCAGAATGAAGCACGGCCCCTCAACCCACCATTCCATTGTCGCGTAAGCACACTCGTGTCACTTACCAGAGACTATCTTGTTGGCGTCGGCGATCACTTTCTGCCGTTTTTTCTCCGGATCGTCCAGTTCGTCGCGCGACTTTTTGCTCATCGTGTCGGCCACGTGACACTTGTGCGTAAGGTAATCGGCCATCATGTCGCCGAGCTCTTTCTCGTCGCTCGCGTATTTGTCTTTGATAGGGGTCGAGGTTCCGTTGAATACAGTGCCGTTTGTGATTGTGACGTGCTGTTTGGCTGTGAAGTGCGTAAGAAAATGCATAAACGACCAGTGACGGTATACACGAAACAGAAAACGGTAAAATATTGCTGACGACGAAGATAACGAGGACGACGATGACGATGACGGTCGTGATGAGAGATGCGAGACAACGGATTCGTATCGTATGGAATGTAAGACGAATGCGAGAGGGGAAAAGTGTGGCCGTTGTGTAAAAATATCGTACACCAAGCATTGACTAATGTGTTTTTCTAGGTACAAGCGCGAGCAAAGGTGCACGTCTTTCGTGTAAGTGTGTATGTGTGTGTGTGTGTGTGTGTGTCCATATAATTTGCCTACTGATATATAGCGCGTCGTATGACTTGACGTGTAGCAATCATTCAAATAATGCGAGCCGCGACGTTCCCATCGCGAAGAAACGCGACAGTAACAGTACACGGCGGAGAGAAAATGTAATTTTGAAAGGCACCCGTTCGGCTCTCCGACGGTGTGTAATGTAATATATAAGAGCGCAATGTAAGAGCGAGTAATGTAAAAGAATAGTCAATCGACATGGAGCCACGTAGCCGTTATACTTACTTCGTTTGTCGTGTACGCTGCCGGTGATACTGAGATCCTCGACCGATTCAGAGTCCTGGAACAAAGCGAGTCGGAAATTACACGAGAATCTTACGCTCGTGGAAATGCAGTTATTCGAGCAAATTGCTGCTGCGCATTAAAGGGAGAGGAGATGGAGCGCCTTCTGACTCGCTTAACGGCCGCATAAAAAAGCTATCGTGAGAAAACGCGCAGAGATGAATCGTATCTTTTTAATTTTATGCTCAGCGTGTACTTCAGTATGTTGTATCTCTTCAAGGCCAACCAGGAGCCAATTAGTCAAGAAGGAAATTTACTTCCAGGCACTTTGTGGCACACAAATGTATTCGACAGGTGTTTGATTGGCCTGGTTATGTGAAATCTTCCGGATCAGCGCGAAATGCGTACCTTCATTCTGTCAGGCTCTTCATAATCAGGGTCCATCTTAGGATCCATCGTTGCATCACGACGGAGCGATGTGTTTCGCGACGGCCCCAATTCCTCCTTCAATGAGTCAAAGCCGGGCTGATCTAATCTGACTCGCGCGACAGCCTTCTCCACGTCGTCCGTCACCAACTCGACGTTGAAGATACACTTGTTCACGATATCCTCACGACCGATCTTGTTGAGCGCCTTCTCCAGCGTGTTTCCTGTAAATCGGAAAGGCAACACGACACACATTAAATCCGATGCATTTTTCGAAGCGATCTCGCGACGTTTAATGAACGTTACACAAATCACGCAAATTTTCACTCGTATCATCATCAATATTTGTATCCGCACTCGCCCAACGTACAAACCTGAAGTCACCGAGCATCGCGGCCGTGAGCAAGGACATCTCCGAAATATCAACAGCAGCTCGCTCGTGTAATGATCTTGCCTCTCGTATTCTTGATACAGAGATATGAACATTGTTCTTTTTCCTCTACTTCTACTTTTTAGTTTTCTATCTTAGATTCCAATTATAAAAGGTCTCCTATACGAGCCGCACTCTCGCGAAAGAAAAAGAAAGAAAAAGAAAAACAAACAAATCAGCGGTCACATAGAAAGTACAAGTGTTCTTGAATTCCGACGGTCACTCGGCTATCAGGCGATTTGCAAAAACCGGCTCGAGCGGAAAAGGAGCACGTCGCTACGGAGGAGGACACTTGTATCACTAATCACTTTCGCTGCTCGACCGCCGATCACGTACTATGCCACTGACTGCTTGTTATTTCTGCCGATTGCAGAAACTGCCGCGAGGCAATGCCATTAGCAGGAAGGAGAGGGAGCAAGCTGTATAGACTTATGTCAGGCATAATAATGCACAATGAGATCATCATCTACGTAGCTAGGTTGAGATTCCTCGCATGTGACTCAACTGTAGCGCGCGCGTCCGATTAATTGACCTTGCCGGTGGGACGGGTTCCTCTTTTTTTCCTTTTCGAATGTTACCGAGAGGCAATTAGCGGTCACCTCGGTCTCATTCACCGAAAGTTCGGCCGATACTTTCGCTTCGCGCTTTGGTATATACAGAGTGTCCGGTAATTCGCGCTGTGCGCTTGTTTACACGGAGCTGATCCTCGTGAAAATTCCTGCCGATCTGTTTCTCAGCAAAAATGTCAAGGAAGCTCGCGCCTTACGGCGGTTTCTCAATTTTCGTACATAACACATATTTTTCGATATTAGACCTTGGATTTTAAGATTCCGTTGAGATAAAGTCCGCTTATGGACTGATCGAAGAAAATTATTTTGTTGGAACACACCGGTTCGATATTTTTGCTAAGAGCAAAAAGTCAACTTTTCGAGGTGAAAGATATTGCATCGTGTGAAAGAGTAGAGAATTATCGGACATTCTGTATACACCGGCACAGGACGAATTACGTAATCTGCAGTGCTCACCTGTGGCTTTGTTTCCGTTGTTCTGCCAGATCTTGAACATTGCAGCGGCCTGCTGCGCGGGTTTGTCGGGGTACTCCTGCTTGATTAGAGCCACGTCGTTAGGCGGTATGTTCAACTCCTCCGCCAACTGTTCCCAATCTGTATTCAGCAGATTGGCGATGTCCGTCAGACGGATAGTCGCTCTATGGATGGCGTCTGGTCTGCCTAAAAGGGGAACATACGACGCTACGTGTGAGATAAAAATCCCTATAATGTAATCCGCTCTCAACCGCTCTCCGAAGTGTGTAGAAGGCAAACGAGAGTGTCCGACGATAGAAGATAACGCTCAGGCAATAAACGAAAGATATGGGATCACGAGATCATTGCTATTAATCAAATGAGCTCAAGTACGCATCTGTTTTGTACGTGTCTGTCGGCACGCTGTCGTCATATATGTGGAAAGAAATAGGAAAGAATAGCGTGGGAAAAGAAATAAAATATTCAGTAACTTCAGAATATAGAGTTCTGTGTGTAAATTAAAATTCTGGTCTAAATTTAGGTCAGGAAAACCGGCGGGGGTTTATTAATTATTTGCTGTTATTTGATTTTGTAATTCCCGTCTTAATAAAATCCAAGAGTGCCGAAAACTGGCACAGAGCACCGGCTACAAGATGAGTCAAGTGTCCCAGTCACTTACTTATTCCACCGTCGCGCAAGAAGCTGTAGTTCTTCGACAATTCGAGCAGGTCGAGCTCGGAGACCGCAGTATCCGGCGAGATCTTCTCCGGCAACAGGATGTTCAGCGTACAGATGGGTGTTTGTGGTAATTCACCACGTGGCACCTTGGGCTCGCTCATGAACATGATGCGACCCATCATGTCCGCGGCGTCTGGGTCCTTTATCCTCGCGGTGAACGGTACTCTGTTCTCCTTGAACGCCCTGAACGGCAGTTGAAGCTGCTCGCCGGTCTTCAGCACAGGCACGAGATTGCCCGTGAACTCCATATATTGCGTCTTCCCTTCCAAAACCTGCGATGTCAAACGAAGATTTATGACACGTCTCACGTGTCGGAGTTCACGGTCGCTTCGACAGAAAGTGTCCATACTGATCACCTTAAATGATCTATCTTGAAAATACAAATTTTTCAAAGTTATCCCTGGTACATTAAAAAAAAAAAAAAAATGTTTGAGCAAGGACATAGGAAAGTTTCTCACAGACGTGTCAATCCAGGTGGCGAAAAATTAGTCCGGGGGAAAAAATAACTGCCATTGAAGTACTGATATCAGTTATTCCCTTGTGAGTTCTCCAGACCTTGTAAGAGAACTTGGGTAAGTGTTGCGAAAAGTCTTGAATTACCTCCACATCCCTGCTCTTGGCGACTTCCGTGAAGTGCTCCTGGTGCTCCAGAGTCTTGTCCTCCTTGTCGTCCGTCATGCAGAACACGCGCAATCTCGCCTCCATCGGATCGACTCGTTTCGCAAACACCACGAACCTGCGGGAAGGAAGGAAGAGAACGCGTCAGAAGAGCCACATCATCGCTCTTACCTGCGTCTCGCACTTGCGTCCGGTAATATTGAGTTCACGTGCGCGACGCGTTACATCATCGGGGAATACGTACTTGGCCATGAACGGCACATGGGTCGCGTGCGTGTAGAGTTCCGTGGCCATTTTCGTGGCCTCGGAGATGTTGCGGCAGTCCATCAGCCAGAAGCGGGCGGAGACTGTAGTGGTGAAGGACACGCAATCTTTCACAAAAGTCAGCGGCGTCGAACCTGTGACATCCTCCCAGACTGCCCGAGTCTGACCCCCTGAACGACATACATGCCAAGTCCAATAACATTATTAAAATATGTCCGTGTTGCAAACGCGCAAATGGCAATAGTAAAACGTGTGTTTGTGTATGTGTATTTGTTTGTACATACATGTGTGTGTGTGTGTGTGTGTGTGTGTGTGTGTGGAGTACTTCGGTAATCTCGCATGACCAGAATTAAATACGAGCAATTGGCAGACGTAAATCAATGGCTGCTTTCAGTAGGAAGAATAGCTCAGTAAGCGCTTATCGCTGCGCTGCTAATTTTTCACTCAACGGTCCGTATTAATAGTTATTGCGTGTAACTTGTCCCGAGTCAGATATTCAGGTTTGAATTTTACACTCAGATCTGAATTATTTGAATTGAGAGAATTAAAAATATATACAAAAAAATATACAAAAAAATATACTGGAATAAAAGGCGATCGCTCAATAGACATGTTGGACAAACGTAAAATATTACTGTCGTTCAGCAGAAAATTTTACGGCAGCTGCTGGCAGCGCAGCGTAAAATACTTACTAAACTGCCTTTTTCTTATTAAACGTAACCAAGACTTACCGCGGAGAAAAGAGTGACGCTTGAAAAATGAATGACAATAAAATAAAGAAGGCGTCGTATTTAAGAACGGTCGATGTAACGGTGCGTTGACGACAGGTGCTTTTTATCAGTGTGTGTAATAAGTAAAAAGTAGATACGTAATCAAAAGACCGAGAATGGTAATGCTTGCAAAACGAAGAAGAAGCGCTTTTCGAATTGTGTAAAAAGCAGTGGTGAGTGACTGAATGTGAGTGTGTGTGTGTGTGTGTGTGTGTGTGTGTGTGTGTGTGTGTGTGTATGGAATAGATAATAGTTAAGCGACAAATGAAAGATAGAAGATCATGAGAGACTGTTAATCGGATTACGACGCTCAAGTATGCGTCCGTGTTTTGTCACCGGCACAATGTCGTCATGTGTGAGTGACGAGGAAAAATGTAGATTTTCACGAAAGCGATCTGAGAAGAATCGAATACACGAAGCAAGTGTATATGACACTTCGTACTCAGAGTGAAGATTTTGCACGCGTGTTGTCCCGAGAATAAGAAATTCGCTACTTTCACTGATTCAAGTAAGATTAATTCTTGTAAGAATATTCAGTGTGTATGTGTGATACACGTTACAACGACAGAAATCCCTTCGGACTGTGGATATCACAGAGGACATTATTACGACAGCCTAAGATGCACACATCTCATGAGCACAGTTTCATGTAAACGATGATTCACACTAATATACAGAGATCGAAGCGATTACCAGTCAAAACGGAATGTGCTGGAACAAAAGTCTTGGCAAGTTAACGCTCACAGTGGGCTAGGTAATAAAGAATGGTATCTACTTTAATTGATAATCCATACCTAAATGACTCAATCCTAACAATATGCAAGCATTAACAATGAATCACAACAAGATATGTATACAATAATGATACTCAACGAAATGTTTCTATGAGACATGCAGCTACCATCTCCCTTTTAAATCTCTATCCGAAGGTCCTCGGGACGTCGTCCCCGCGTCGTGACAATGCGCGCGCGCGTCTCTGTGCGTCGGAGAGAGCGATTCGTTCACAATAGGAAAAGAAAAGGAAAAAAAAAAACAAAAAGAAAAAGAAGAAAAAACCCGCGACGTATCTTTTAACACAGACAGAAACACACACACACACGTGAGGTCGAGCCCGAGGTGAGAGAACGTCACACTGGCGCGCACTACGTCGTTATCACACTGCTAGTGCAAACCACGAGGATTCATTCGTCCGTACCGCGTTCGCCGTACATACAAACACGAGTTGCAACAGTGCTCTACTACCATTTAAGCAATCACCACCACTTTCACGTGCAACGTACAATATGATCGTTGACAGTCCCGACGACCTGAGAGAACACTCGAGGATAGCCTACCGTCTGCGTTCATGCCTGCTAAACTACACAATCGATACTCGAATGCGCAATTATGGCAATTCGGCAACGAGAGAGCATGTATTCTGTATATATATATATATATATATGTACACCAAAGAGACATATGTAGATAAAAAAAAATATATATATGTATATGCGGTTTATATAAATATATGTATTAGTTTCTGCCATCTATCGGTAAGAGATTTTCCAGTAAGACGGTACGCTGCTCTACAATGTTACGTGCAAGCATATATTACCAGTTATGCTGCACAGGAGCCTCAGGGTCGGCGCGTCTCCGGAGTACTGGTTGATCATGCCTTTATTGGCCGCTTGCGGCACCGGGATGGTTAAGGTTATCGGCTTGTGGAACTTTCTTCGTCTCGGCTCGACGGTAACGATCGGCGACACTGCCACTCGGTTCCCGAGTAATTTAGCCACGAGATCCGCGGGTATCGGGTGTGCCTGCGCATAGTAATAAGAAATCGTGTAAGAACTTTTGCGTCGCGTAATTGACAAACTAATTAACCGATAACCACGACCGAACAATTGGTTCTTCGTTCGACGCTCAACAGAAAAACTAACGGAGTAATGAAATTATGGTAAAGTGAGAAGGAAGATAAACTGCAGAAAAGAAACAGCTGGTATAACAGATTCACGAATAAGAAGCGACTAACGAGATATAAAATGATATATTACATTAATTTGTTAGTAAAATTAATAAAATTCATAAATCATTAATAAAGTCATTAACATTAAAATTAATTCGTTAAATGAATCCTTAAAAGATTAATTCATCGAAACGAGTTTATGAAATTATGATTGCGACTGAAAATCGCGCCACGGCGTTGGGTAAAAACGGAAGACATACCTGCAGACCGACTCTGATCTTCTTGGTAAGGGCCGCTTGCGGGAAGACAGCTTGTACTTGTGGCACGGCGGACGACGATACGGTGCCGCCTTCGGGACCAACCGCATGTACCTCTTGTCTGATGCGAGATACTACCGCGAAGTAATGTGGGAAATCTACGGTGAGTATCCTAACGATGCGAGACGTCTGGAGATCTTCCAGCTGGCTTAGCTCTGGGAATTGCGATATGTTATTAACGCGACTCCAACGATACCGCGCGCTCGTACGTGCAAGTGTTTCAGACTTGCGAGAGAGCGAAAGATGGAAGCTCGCCCGAACATCGTACCTTCTCCCTCAAAGCTCTCGTTAAGCACATCCTGGACAGCCTCCTCGCTGGCTTCCAAGGTGTGTTCGCGCCAGGTCTCCCCGTTGTCTGATCGGAGAATCACTATCTCCCGCTCTTTTCCACGCAGCGACGCGAAGTGTGGTACCTCGATGATAACAGGGCTGTGTGCAAGAGACAATTAGAGATGAAAATTCATCCAGGTAACAAAGGCAAATCTTTCAACGAATTTTTTTTTTTACACGAAAGAAAAATCTCAGAGCTCGTGCGACAGAATGGAAAGCAGACGGAAAAAGCGATGACGAGAAAAGCGTATTCGTCTGAGCATTCTCAACCACTCGGTTAAAACTCGGTTGAGATAAACTGAGAACAATGGGGATAAGCAGAGATGATCTCCTACTGAAATCTTCAGGTCTGTTCTTTCAGGCTGAAGTAGCGCAACACCGCACTAGTACTTTTCATTTCTCTTGCCTTCAACGATAAATTCTATTCTTGTTTCATTGATGTGTTCGAAAAAAACGAAACAGGCGACCTAGCTGAAAACAACAAACCTTTTGTCTTCTTACAACCGAATTTTCGTCTGAATCTTAAACAGAAAATCAGTTGCACGAGCCGAGGTTTCTTTCTTCGAAAATACGAAGACAGTAAATCACGAGACACGCATAAAACTTACCCTAAGAATTTTGCACCCACTGGCCCCAGTTCGAGGATGCGGCTGGCCAACGCCTCCCCTTCCATCAAGGGTGGTGGATTCGTTAATTTGTCCCTCCTCAAGTACCGGCATGTGACCCGCATGGGCATCGCAGCTTTGCGCGGCGGAACAATCACGCGGACGCCGCTGTGCCTGCATCCGCGCATTGCACCGCCTCTCGCGTCCACCAGAAAGGAAACCAGGAAGCTGAAGAGATTTAGGACGACGGGTTATACGATTGCCGGGTCGGCGACGCGAGGCACCGCGGTACGAGACAGCGTTGCAGAGAAGAAAAGAAGAATTTGCATCGGGATGCTTTAGAAAAGACACGCAGTCCAAATCTATCTTACGTATCCAAAAAATAGAGAAATATATATCTATATATGTATATATAAATGCGCTGTCCAAAGTTTACAAAATACGAAAATAAAATGGGGACATCATCCTCGGCTTTCAAATCTCTACAGCGGTTTACAGTGACTTTACCACATACGATGATACAAAAGTGACCTATATCTGTCGTTACACTTGATTGCGAAAAAACAATATGGACGCTGTGAAGTAAGATGCTCATTGTCACGATTGGAAGATGCTACCGACGGAATTGCGCAGTAATTGACTATATATAATCGAAGCAACAGCATACGAGCCATCCGACATCACAAATGCGACGCAAGATTTAGAAGAGAAACTCAAGTATTATTATATTCTTATCTGATTATCTGTCAGTTAAGAGTATAATAAAAATCAATATTACGCCACAATTTAAGATTATGCTATATAATAAAAATCTATTGACAAAGGGCCAATGCATATTGCATAATTGCATCAATATAAATATTTACACCGTGCGCCACCACTTCGATGTGAAACCGATTACTGCGCAAGCCCGACAGCAATATCTCTCAATCGTGATAATTTGATTGCGCTTCTTATTTCATTGCGTCTAAACCGTTTCGTAAGCAAGCGTACATATCGCAGTGTTGAACGAGAGACTTCGCGGAATGGCCGATCTTGTAGCGTAAGGAAAAAAAGAAAAAAAAATATATAAAAAAAGCGCTTCAAATCTACAGATCGATTCACGGAGATCGCAAGGAGCGAGGATGTACCGCGACGACAATCTCTCTCGATACTTCAACTTTGACTCCGGTCACGATGTATTGCACGGACTGACCAACGCGAATTGAATCTCTAGCACTACGAGTTTTCGAGATTTGCGGAAGCGAGGAAGCACAGTTCTCGAGTGGGTCGTAAGAAGCGCAATGACGTTTATATACGTTTGGATTACGGCGAGAGTTGTCTGTGGCGAGGGTTTTGTTAGGAATCACAAATCCGCGCGCCAGTTGTGCGCGCGTGTCAATAACGTGGCGTCGTTTGTATTAGCTGAAGGAACGTGTATATTCCTTCTGAAGTGAGACGCGAGTGTGACTTTCGGCGAGATGACGCTACGCTGCGCCGACACTGAATTATCGTGCGTAGATGTAAATTATTCACGCAATGTAACCGGGTAAGACAATGACGTTACGACAATGAGCGTAGTACGAGGTATGCGTGTGGGTGTGTACGCGTGTATACGTGTGTGTCGCAAAATAAGTCATAAATAAAACAGCTGCACTGACAGAGAGAGACTAAAAATGGTTGAAAAAACAGAAAATAGCTGCTCGGTAGGCGCTAATGGTAAGATGTTTATCTAAATCTAAACTCTCTCTCTCTCTCTCTCTCTCTCTCTCTCTCTCTCTCTCTCTCTCTCTGAAACGATCACTTTGGCGAGAAACGACGATTTCACACACAGAAAAATGTCTATTCTCATTCGAAAAGATTCTCAATGCAAGGCTACGCATAATTAGCGTAAGGAGACATGAGCGCCCACCGAATAGATATCTTCTATTCTTTTCAGATTTTCTCCTCCCAGTGTGTCTATAATATCGATGCGTCTATATAAATCTGTGTGTGTGCGTCCGTACAAGGCGGCTATTGGATGGGCGTGTAACTAAACAGCCGCAAGCGCCAAACTAACGTATACACATGGCAGCGCAACGAAAGTATCGGCTAATTCGATTCAAATGAATGGGGTCCATTCAAAGTCGCCTTCGTCGACTGTTACTACACACACACACACACACACACACACACACACACACACACACGTACACTGCGGCGGTGCGAGAGGAGCTAGCGCTGGCTGCAGAGAGCTCCGCTGATGTAGCCTATTAATTATTCACAAGGAAATTGTGTAACGCGCGTATGCACAGTGAGTACAGAGGCTGCGAATCCGACAAGGACGTCTTTCAAGTTGAGCAGCGATATTGACACTCGGCATACACGCAGTCATTACGGCGCTCGTCGAGTGCGTAGCCGTCGAGGAGCGCCCGCGATACAGGAATCTGTCCCCTCGCGAATGAATTCTCGCCGATCGAGCCGCGATCCACGTCAATCGGGTGTGAGACGCGCGAAGGGGTTTACGGAGAAGCCTGGAAAATTGCCGAGAAATCTGTCTTATTCGTCACTTGCTCGTATTTCTCGCGATAAGCTTCGCCAATTGCTGCTCTTTCTCTCTTCTTCCAGCTGAGATGCGATCTGCGCAGAATGTCTCAGAGAGATGAGAGCAGGTTGCGACTGCGTGATCTATCTTCGACTCGTCTGACTAGCTAAGACGACACGTTGACACGAAGAGAGAGAAAGGATCTGCGACTTGATTCATCTCGAACGATCGTCGGAAGACTGTGATCACTGAGCGATAGGATGATGTTTTCTAGGAGTCTATGAAGATTCAGCGGCTACGGGGGCTGCATGGTGCGGCGACAGATAGGCTGTGTGTACGACAAAGGGATGAATAATTGAAAGAAAATATCGAGAAGAGTGAAACATATATGTGTGTATATAGATGTATATATATATATATAATATATATATATATATATATATATAATATATATATATAAAATGTATGTACGGCAAAGGGCAAAGAGAAGCTAAGAGATTGAAGAGAAGATCACTTACTTTCTCCACTGTGGAATTCTGCGAGTAGCGCAAATAAAATAACAGAGAGGATCGGGAACAAAATAAAAAACGCGTTAGTATTCATTCGTTCATAAACATGGTAATGAGATGACGAAATAGAGAGAGATGAGACTGTGATATATACACATATATACATATATATATATATATGTATGTATATATATATATGCATGTATGTATATAAAATACGTGTCGCTAGAGTACCAGCGCATCTTTACAGATTTTCGAACGTATCGGATTCATAATCAGCACGATGTGTGTATGTAAGTAACATCTCTGTTCCTTTTGTTGCATAATTTTTTTCTCTCTTTTTGCTCTTTTGCTCTTCTTATATATATATTTTTTTTTTTTTTTTTACTTGGATATGATCGTCTCTACGCGCTCACGAGAAACGCTTCTAGTCTGGTCTGGTGATGATGTTTGTCGTCGCTGATCACGTCGAAAACCCGCATTCATCACACGCAAGCCACTTTTCTATTGTACACGACTACGGAACGGAGAAGTAACAATAATAATTATGTATTATAGTAGAGTACGCAACGAGGTATAAACACACACCACTCACTCTCTGCGAAAAGAAGACATACCTCGGGGGATGGAAACTCAAAATAACGACGCGTCGAAATCTGTTGTAGTCCTCCTAACCGAGACGATCGGTCGTCATCACCGTGCATGCATCATCAACAATTGCTTCGATTCAATTTTCCTCGTTGATTTCGTTCAACTTGCCTCTTGTGAGGAGAAATCCCGATAGCCAATTCATCAACTGTGATTTACGCTAATGGAAGGAAGGCAGCGCTGGAGCGCAACAGATTCCGCCGCATCCGCGCGAAATAGCTCAACTCAAATGAATCATACGAGAAGAAAACATCCACGATATAGCAGCAGCCGTTGCAACGTCGAAAAATCCCCTACTTTCTACTAGTCAACAATTCGTTGGACAAACGATTCTTTTCTCTCTCTCTCTCTCTCTCTCTCTCTCATAAGCTGTCTTCATCTGCAAAGAGAAGATATCTAAGAAATATTTATTCGACAAGTACTAACACACATTCACTTAAGCCCCTCTTAAATTCTTTTATTTAATAGAATAAATAATCATTCTTTTTTTTTTAACAGAATGAATAATCTTTTTTTTTCTTCAGGAAGAAAGCTACAGTCTTGAGAAAATATATATCTTCTTATTAAAAAAATCTCTTCTTCTGTGCAAAAATATACTATACCAATATGAGTAAATGAAAATACAATAAAATGAGCAAATTAATACGAGTGGTTTACTTTTACATCGGCAGAAATAAATATGTTATCAAAGTACCCACCGAATATTTCAATTTCTTAGACACTTTCTCCCTCCCTGTCTCTCCTCTCTTCTTTCCTCAATGTATCCACCGCAAAAATGTCACTCAATTAACATATCACACATAATACCTACGCTGAATACGTGTATAATTCACGAGCGCGGCGCGAACGGAACAAACTCTCGATCTCCGGTCGGATCCGTCAGATAGACGCGTGACAGACACGAAGCAGAAACAAGATAACGTAAAAAAAAGATATTGGTGTACCTGTCCCTCCACATTCCTTGTCCCTTCGGCGCGGTACTGAGGGCTGCCAGCGAAGTGCATAGGGACTCTAGGGACGCGCTAATCTCGGAAAAGAATCGACTTTGATTATCCATCGTCGTGTCGCGCGTCATGCTCATGCTGTCTCTCGCGCGTACAAATCGCAACTTTCTCTCCGTCGCGAACGACGCGTTCGCATGCGTACGTCGCTAAGAGAGCGTGTCCCGTGCACTTGCCACACGTGCAGAAACCAAACGCGCGCACCGGCGGGATGCTTCTCGTCATACACACACACACACACTATCGGTTAGAACGCGATAACGGAAAACGGGGGTGGACTAACGTGGTTACGATGCTCAAGATTTCTACGGGAGGAAAAATTCGCGTGCGAACGAGAGAGCGAGAGACTTGGTCTCTCCTCGACGAGCTCGGCTCTTATCACCATTCACGAGCTGGTTAGTTCGGCACAGGTCGCAGCGCGACAACTGACATCACTCACACGCTGTGAAAGAATCGTTCATCCAGGGTGACACGTGAAAAGAAAGGAGAAAAACAACGAGAAAGAAAAAGAAACTGCATGCTTAGAACTATAGTAATAATAATCGAACTCCGCTACGAGCAAGCAGGCTGTAACGAGAACACCAAGCGTTCCTTGTCGAGCTGGCTGAGTGGTGACTGTAAAGTAAATCGCAAAAAGGTCTTGTCGAGTGAACCGTCCGGGTAAGAAAGAACAGGTAGCCGAACTCACATGGTGAGCACCGTTTCGCTGTGAGGACTACTCGTGTCTCGACACTACGTCATCGTGTTGTGATCTCGTATGAATGCTACATACGTAGTCAGACTCTAACACGACTCTCGATCCGAAGCTGAATGCTGAATGATTAGCGCTTTGAATTTCGCTTTTGATTGTACGAAAACTCGATCGATAGGCGGAGCCACCAAGAACAAACAAATGCAGCTCGAGATGCGTGCATCTTTCCACCTCGTTCCGTCGGTCATCTACCGGCCGTATACGATCGGTTTGCAATTAATCGTACTTTACACGTAACTCGATTAAGACGCGGCAATGTGACGGAGCCCGGTCACCGTCAGGACCTCCGACGTGTTCAGGACTGACAAGAATGATTGCGGGCGGTGGTTGCTCGTGGTCGAATGCATCTTGCATCTGACATCGTCTTGAGTTTATTTCCAGACGCTACGCAGATTGTCTCGTTGGCTGCGAAATATCTGAAGATTAACTCAGGACGATCTTGCAAGCAAGATCCGGCCGCGTGAACCGCGACCCGCATCTCGCGAACATCCTTGGACCGAAACGACCTCGACTGAAACCTCACGCACATGCCACCAAGTTATCATCTTCCTTCGCGCGTCAACCGGACGTTTCCGTCGAAATTCGCGCGTCGGCGCGCTTTGGACACTTCAATTTCATCGGACTCAAACAGAAACTCAGACTCGAAGGATCGCGCGATTTTTCGACTCGACGTCGTCGCGATGTGTTCGCCGACCACTCGACCGCGATCGAAGATCAAGACGGCAGGATTAGGGTTGTGCAGAGAATAATCTCGGATTTTTCAGGCGAGACGAAACGATCGTTTCTGCATGTTATAATTTTATGAGACAATGCGTGCACCGTTCCGGCCTTCTCCGCCATCTTCTGCACGCATTATTCGTAAAATGCTAACGAAAATCGTTTCGTCTGGCCCGAACAATCCGAGACCGTCGACAAAGCGAGTCGACAAAGTCGATATAATTTGTAACAGCAGCCAATCGTCCGCAGGGTTAATCACAGCGGGAAACTTTCACCAACACACACTGTATCACACTATAATACACATCATTATTGTTTCGTAGTATTAATACAGTGCCAATCGCGCGTTATGTACACCGGGTATACAAGGCCGCGTGTAATATCGCGGATCGCATTGCAATCGCGCAAATATTGGATATCGTTATTCTTCACGCTACAGTCTTTCTTGCTCCATCATCTCTCTCTTTCTCACTGCGCGATCTTTTACAATAGACAAAAGTTGCTGCGTGCAAAGCTCGTCGGACAAAATTTTGCGACGCGCGCGCGGTGAGAATTTTGCACACGTATAAATATTTCACGAAGAGACTTTCTCGTGACGGCACGCAATATGGCGCACCCTGATTATCACGATCGCAAGAATCCAAAAAATTGCAACTCGTCGTACGCGGAGATTTCTGATCGCGCAGCCCGGTCGAGATTTCCCGATTTGACTCGATTTCTCGACTCTATCGACGCGATTCTCTCCTCTGCTGTCTCAATCATGAACTTTCGAGATGAGATAAAACTCGCGACTGGTGAACAATGTGAACTTTCCTCCACACGGGGTAATTTTTTGCTACGTGCGCATCGTTACGTTATATTTTGATTGAAACGCGTTGGAAAATTAACAACGCTTTCCGATCAGGCTCGTCGTGCGACTCTCTCTCTCTCTCTCTCTCTCTCTCTCTCTCTCTCTCTCTCTCTCTCTCTCTCTCTCTCTCTCTCTCTCTCTTTCTCCCTGATACAAAGGAACCAAATGTACCTTTCCAGATTCCGAATCCAATGAGATCTCGTAGAAAATCATCGCGTGTACTTCTCGGACGATCATTATCAGACAGAAGAGTCGCGGCGAGTAGACAAAGTCGAGAGTCAACCATTCGTATTCCCCCGCGAGATTTCGCTTGCAATAGTAAGGATAGTCATGAAGCGCTACGTACCCGACGTGCACTGGGTGCCTGTTGATGTCCACATTGTCCGGCTTGAGATTGGCCGCGTTCGTACGCTGATAATTCTCCTTCGTGATCATCTCCGTTATGGTCGGCGCTGGAAAAGAAAAACATCCACGCGCGGGCGCGCGGTCGTTTTAATCTCGCATTCGGAGAGGCCGAGGCTCTCTAATCTATTCAATTCGAATTAACCGTGGATTTGAGCCGCGAAGTTGATCCGGATTAATAGCCCGCACGGCGATCTCGGGGTGACTCGGGAGGGCGCTTCCGCACCTCGGAAATATCCTCTCATTGAAAATAATGCGCGAGAGGAGAATACTTTTAGAGATTTTATTTTGGAGAGATATTTTTTTGGAGAGATATTAATATTTCTACGCTGAGAAACTTTCACAGCTGAGATATTTGAAGGCAATACGAAATTTCACGCAATTTCGCATAAATTTCCGCATTTATTTGTAAAGTTGAAGAGATTTATCCGAGGAGACCTAATTAACTGGTAATTAACTGTTGTGATTATAGAGCTTGATGCTGGCATTAAAATATCATGGGAAGACATTGAACAAACGAAGCGAACGCATTACGCTTGGGAGGAACCGAGCTTCCGGTTCCCAGGACCAAATTCTGTTTCCTCCGATGAGGAACGCGATGAAATTGTCACATTATAATTCAGCCTCAGTCCATTGTCACAGACAATGGAAAATTGTCTCCGTGTGTGCGTATAACGACGCGACTAACAGCTATCCACGTACCTCCGGAATGTCGATTATCTCTCTCGTCGTCCGTCACGTTCACACGCATCGAGTCATCCCCCATGGATTTCATGTCGTCAACAGTCATGTATCGATACTGCTGTTGGTCGCTGAGCATCGGATCCTCACCTGCGGTAAATATTAGACGAATAAAGTAAAGCGTAGATGCGAGACCCACACGCACACACGCACGCACACACGCATACACACACACACACACACACACATATGGTCATCGTGTTACGTTCGCGCGATGGATCGACGCGCAGGTGAGCCGCGTCGTGCTTCTTGAGAATAAAAAGGTATCGCTGAGAGAATTCAGATGAGACACGTCTCAAGTTGCACAACAAATGATGAACGACGCAAAAGATGCTCTCTAAAGTATGCGGAAATATTATGCTTATTTAAGTGGAGGAATATATGAGTAATACATGAGAGCCTGCAAAAAAAAGGAGAAACCATTGCCAAATATAACATCGTTGCAAGTCAAGCCGAAAAAAGCGAGATTGGTGGTTCTGTGGTGTTATGTCGGTACCTGGCCGGTCGATTAACGATTGAAAAACGCCGGGGGTGTCTGTCGAGTAAATGGAGAAACGATCGCGCGTGTGAGGTCTCTCTGTGAAAGAAAGAGAGAGAGAGAGAGAGAGAGAGAGAGAGAGAGAGAGAGAGAGAGAGAGAGAGAGAGAGAGAAAAGTAGAAAGAGAAAGAGAGGAAGAGACATCGTCGTCGTCATCAACAACGTTTTGATGTTGCGATGTGATGTGTGAACGAAATGAAGAAATTATCGTTAAAATGATATAAAGCAAACAGGACGAAACAAGAACCAAGTTTGGCTTCTTACTGGTCCGTTCAGCTTGTATCATTTCCATTTTGATCAAAGAGTCGCTGCAAGTCTCTCGATTGGAAATTATAATTCTTAAAATTGTTAGCTGGATTAAAAATGCTCGGAATTGTCTGACTAGGCTCTTTAGACTTGTATCTCCCATCTCCCTCCCCTCGCGGGAAATCCTAACTGTACCGATGCTTCCTCCTGCGCGCAGCCTTCGGCCTCGATCGTCTGTTAATTTTGTCTAATCGTTGTCGCAAAATAACGTTGTAATTTATTAGCCGCGCATCGAGAATACGAAATCACTCCTAAAGTGGCCCGAATTACGGCCGTTCCGCTCAGTTGATCCCATTAACTTAATCCTATTCAGCTCCGAACGCTTTGTCGAGCATTAGTCGAACGTTTCTTTCGACAGGATACTCGGATGCACAGTTTTCAATTAACGTCAGATCTCACTTCCGGGTTGGTGGCGGGTTCAAACTTTTTACAACCAGGTCGCTCTTCTTGCCAAAATTCTCAAACTGCCAATTACCTTCACGAGATGCTGGAGACAAATCCACAGGAAACGTCACGCGACTCTAATCGGGAAATCCTTTGGAATTAATATCCTTTCACACACTCAGAGTGAAAGCCGCGCGTGAGTCTTCTTCTTCTTCCAGAAAACGGACAGGAAGATTCAGAACGGCACGGTCGTTAAATCACGTTATACCTTGTGTCAATTGGGGTCACGGTTGGACACATTTTACGAGCCGGGAGATAACGTAAACGAGCCGTAATTCGGTGGAGCCGAAAGCCGGGCTTTCGTATGAGAGCCACGTAGTGCGAGCCGTATCACATTTTTCGTACGACTGAGAGTCGCCAGCTTTGCGATGTCGCGCGCATTATCAGACATTCCGCAAGAATGTAGGGCACAATTATCTAATAAATGGGCAGCCCACAAATTCGCCCCACCCACGTGCCGTTTGCGTACCGTTAGCATAATCGCGTATTAACTGCGTGCGCTCATGCTAATCGTGAATATTTCCAGTCGGAATGCGAGAGCAGTGCGCGTGCACGCCGCGCGCGGAGCTACCTGACGGTCGCGTGTGCTCTGGAAAGCTGACGATTCTTCAATTCATCACCTTCACTTGGTGCTATTGAGACTCAACAGCGGACCCTCGGTGTTGATCGAATCAAAGACGAAATCGATCGATCGTAGTGCAAATTATTGTATCTGGCGAGAAGGCTGACAAAGGCTGATAAACACCGCCGCGCTGGAAGGGTTAAAAGTCCGCGAGTAAAATCCGGCCCGCTGGAGCTCGGCGATACACCGAGGGTGGGTCTTATTGGTTGGTCATGGAGCTAGTTAGTTAGTCCCCCGCTTCCCGCCGAGCGATTGGAGTTTCGGCCGACGTGACGCGACGTTGAACACGCATTGTCCCGAGAGGTGTGCCGAAATTGGAAAAGTTTCATTCGCTCTTCGCTTTTCTTCATTCTTTCCTCTTCCCTCCTCATGCACTTTCTCTTATCCTGCGGCCATGCCGCCAAGAGGATTTTTCCCGTTGAAACAAATAAATAAACAGCATGATATATTTCAGGGTAATTGCTCGGCGAATTGTCCCGGTCTTCGAATTCCGAGGTTTGGATTTTTCGAGACAATGTACGTGTCCATCAAGACGCGGCGAATTTAACGCGGAGAATTCTTGGCTAGCTGACTCTGTCTCTTCCTCTCTCTTTCTCTCTCTCTCCTCCACATCTCGCGATGTTGGTGGTCTCCTCGTGGTGGATTCCAAGAAGATCGGATGATGACACTACTCGCTGTTACCCCAAATCCCTTACGTTTCGCTCATCGAGTGACGTCACGCGCTATCCGGAGAGCTCGCGCGATTCGCTCTCACTTAATATCTAAAATTAATGTAAACATCCGAATCTGCGAACGCGATGCCGCGATGCGGGCGACTCTCGTCCGCACATTCGTGCTTACATACGTATGCATGTACATATGTATGTATACGCACATATACAACGCCTTCCCGCGGAAACTGTAACGTAGAAGCGCTAATTTTAAACGATGTTCAAGGACGACGACGCGCGGCTCCTCGGCGGCGGTGCGCGCGTGACACGCGCGCACGCTCTCTCTCTTTCTCTCTCTCTCTCGCCCTGAAGTCGCTTCTATCTGCGCTACGGACGACCTCACATAGGCAGTGACCTACATATATCTGTTGGCCGTGCGCGAACTACGTCGGCGAAAAGGCGGCTCCGCGAGCGATAATCACCGTCGGAGGTCCCGCGGAGTGCAGTTTAACGCGCGACGCGTCATGCACCAGAATAGTATAATATACTAATCGCAATCAGCGCGGGACGACGTCGCGAGCGCGCGCGCGTCTCTCTCTCTCTCTCTCTCTCTCTCTCTCTCGCTGTCTCGCTCACTCGATCGCGCGCGCGTCGGGATTAATCGGATCGGCGCGCACGGAATTCAACAACCGAGCGAGAGCGTTCACGGGCGAGGGAAGGCCTTCGCGTGTTCCGTGCGCGAAATCTGCTCCCAACGGCGCGGTGGCGGCCGATCGCTCGCGTAACGCGACGTTTTTACATTCACGAAGTAATTACCCCGCGGTGTAATTGCATCGACGACGCGTCGCGCGCCCGTCCGTGGCCGCGCGACGAAGGCCCCCCTTTGTGCGCCCGTTATCGGGCGCTGCCCGTGATTACCGTATCGCTCGCCGGACTCCGACGGTAGCGTCGACGTGGTGTTACGCAAAAGTCAAAGTGAAAAATCACGGGAGGAAGTCGCCCCACGTGTCTCGACTCGGTTCGCCACTTCGACTGCTCCCCGAGGAGAAACGGCCGAGAGGAGCGGAAGTTCTCGAGCTGGCGACGTCCCGCCGAGAATGCAGCGTTTTCCCCCTGCGCTTCCTCTCCCGACATAGTCGTTCGACGTAGTCGAAGCTGCTTGCGCCGGCGGTGCGAGCCTTTAACCTTCAGATCGTGGAAGCGAGATGAAACGGTCGGAACGTAAGCGACGAGCAAATCCACCGAGTGCAGTCTCTCCGAGGACTCTCCCGACGATTCAGGGATAATCGAGAGCGCGATCGGCCGATTTCTCGGCCGCTAGGCGCGTCTTCTCATAGATTCTAAACCAGGAGCACGCGAAAGGAGCACGACGGAAGCAGCGAGAGCAGCATCATATGGGAAACTCGACCGGTTACGAGCGATTGTTCTTCAACCCCGAGGAAAACCTGATCGCAGCTGGTCGACTCATTAGCTGACTTCCACCGCTTACGTTTTCCTCGGCCTTGCCCTGCTAAAGTCGTCACAATGACGCGTCATTTCTGTGCGCGTTGCGAGCATCAACAGCCTCAACGAATGTTGTAACCCGTTCGCGCGCAACGAGCGCGACCCCGAGGGTCGTGATCGCTCCCGAAAATCCTGAAAAACGCCATAGCGAAGTCGAAGGGTTCGCTGCGAGGAAGCACCGAGGCTCCTGGCAGCTCAACAGCGACCCAGTTACATACTCGCCGAGCGACTCGTCGGGCGACAATTAGCTCGAAGTGATAGGCGACTTTATCGCGGTCGTGTATCCCAGCGGCGCGCGAACGCTAAAAATACGGCGGAAAAGCCGAGCGGAAAGCGCCGAGCGAAACGGCCGGCGTCTCGGAGGAGCGCTGCTCCTCTTCCGATGCGACGCAACGTCCGGCGCCCTTGATCGCCCGCCATCACCGTCGTCGTCGTCGTCGTCGTCGTCGTCGTCGTCGTCGTCGTCGTTGTCGCGGCGAAGAGCACAGTCGCTCTCGTTATCATTCACTACTTATGTCATTGATGTCTCCTCCGCCTCATTGTTACGTCGCGTTTGCAAACGATACTACGACACTGCTGGTAGTAGTGTGGCCGAGTATCATCGGGTCACGTTTCCCGCGTCGAGTCGGGTTCGATCGAGCCCGAGGCGGCGGCGACGACGACGACGACGACGACGACGACGACGACGACGACGACGACGACGACGACGACGACGACGACGACGACGACGACGACGACGACGACGACGACGACGGTGTTTTCGCTCCGGAATACTGTATCCCCCGCGAGCCGTATTTGGCCGTCGCGCGATCACACTCGCCCCATTCCGGAGCGACGATCGCGCGCGCGTGTCCGATACCTGATACCGTTGCGCCTGATAAAAATGCACACGTCCGCTCGTCCAACCTCGTTGTTCCTCCTTCTCCTCCTCCTCCTCCTCCTCCCCCGCAACAGAGAGATCCGCCGGTGAATTTCAGAGCGGACGTCTGTCCGTCACCACGCCACGCCGTGCCGAGTCGGACGATGC